CATGTTTAAAACGTGTATTATTTAAAGAAAAGGTTTCAAAACGTGTATTTTAAAAAAAATGTTTAAAAACGTGGATTTTTTAAAAAAAAAATTTAAAAACGTGGATTTTTAAAAAAATGTTTCAAAACGTGTATTTAAAAAAAAAATGTTTAAAAACGTGGATTTTTTAAAAGAAAATGTTTAAAAACGTGGTTTTGTTTAAAAAAAAATGTTTAAAAACGTGGTTTTGTTTAAAAAAAATGTTTAAAAACGTGGATTTTTTAAAAACGTGGTTTTGTTTACAAAATGTTTAAAAACGTGGATTTTTTAAAAACGTGGTTTTGTTTAAAAAAAAAATGTTTAAAAACGTGGATTTTTAAAAAAAAATGTTTAAAAACGTGGATTTTTGGAAAAATGTTTAAAAAGGTGGATTTTTTAAAAGAAAATGTTTAAAAACGTGGATTTTTTAAAAGAAAATGTTTAAAAACGTGGATTTTTTAAAAGAAAATGTTTAAAAACGTGGATTTTTTAAAAACGTGGTTTTGTTTAAAAAAATGTTTAAAAACGTGGATTTTTAAAAAAATGTTTCAAAACGTGGATTTTTTGAAAAAAATGTTTAAAAACGTGGATTTAAAAAAAAAATGTTTCAAAACGTGTATTTAAAAAAAAATGTTTAAAAACGTGGATTTAAAAAAATGTATAAAACGTGGATTTAAAAAAAAGGTTTAAAAACGTGAATTTTAAATATTTCTTTTTTTCAAAGTTAAAAAACGTGGATTTTCTAAATTATTCTTCTTTTCAAAGTTCAATAAACAAATTTATTTGAAGTAGATCATACCACCTATTAACATTTGCCTTTAGAGCAGTTATAGATTGGTTTCAGAGGGGACTAAGATATGGGAAGCATATCCAATTCTGAATCGATTTTCACTAAACTTGACGGAGAGTGCACTTCAAGTAGGATTATATTTAAAAAAATATGTATCGGAGGCGAGTTCCACAAAATGGAAACGTACGTCCCGAAATGAACTCCATTTGGGTGGATATTAGCCATTATTAGCACAATAAACCTGAAATCGGATTAAGGATATATTTGGGAGCTATATCAAAATCTTAGTAGATCTCGATAAAATTTCGCAAAGGTATTTCCGAGCTTTAAAAGATATCTGGTACCTAATCCCCAAAAGTAACAATGGGTCTATCTCGCTTCCTTCTCCATGTTACCCATGGTATCTTTAACACTATGTGGTGTAGGGTATAATGAACGTATGTGGATAATGTTCTGCAACAAAAGATAGAACCCATTCAGAACTGAGCCTACCGAATTGTATACCATTACTTTAGGAACTGAGGCTAAAATGATCAAAATACCAATTATGGGAATACACTGTTATATAGAGGCTATATGAAAACGTTGACGATACAGCTAATCATCGAAATTGACCTGCTTGCAGACAAAAAAAAACTACTCTATGCAACATATATGACTTCTACCACATGCCATTTGAATCTAGGGTGATTACAATAGACAAATAAAGTGTGCTAAATCGACTTAGAATTTTAGGCTGATCTGGAGTATATATACATTATTGGGCCTAAAATGAATATGTCGAGCGGTTATAAATGGAATAACAAACTTAATATATCCTCCATACTATGCAGAACAAAGAAGTATCAATCACAATTGGCCTATCAATTGTTACATTTACATTTCCGGTCAACTTGTTGTTATACGGCCAAGTTCTACTTGTCTTTCACTCGAACCATTCTAGAATGATGTCTTCATTCCATCACCTCAAAATATTTGGATGCTTTATAATGATGTGTTGCATGACCGCTTTTCTTAGGAGGCTGTAATAGCCTCGTGTGCAACCGTAACCAATCTCGTTTCCATTGAAATCATTTCAGCGAAGGTTGGTAGGTACCTTTTAAAATAAAGACATTTCCCAAGAACCATCAACGTAAGGGATTAAGAACTTATTTCTGGTATTTCTTTGCTGCAATTCTCCGTGGCCATTAGCACCTTTGGTTTGAGGAGGAGCACAATTTTACCTGTTGTTTCGAAATCTCTTCTACCTGCCAAACAAAACGAGTAATCGGTTGTGTGTGCGCCCATGTGTGTGTGTTTTGTTTTTATTCGAATAAAACCAGCAGGGGAATGTACAACACAATTGTTGATTGGGCTCTCTCGAAATTGGGTTTTATTAATTCTCTCATGTTCACTTCCTCTCTGTCGGCGACATAAAATGTGCAGAGATGCCAGATATTAAGTTTGGAATGGGGAAACGGAGACAACGTGTTGGATTAATTTGAGCAAAGCTACAAATTATAAAACAAAAGTAATGGGAATTAATCGAAAATTGGTAGGCATTGGATTCCACTTCGACCATTCTATGGAGGGTACATTAGAATATATTAGAAAATTCTGTGTATTCTGGATCAGAGTATATATTCTGAATCACGCTATCTTTCGAACAAATCGAGACAGATGGCTGAAAATTTGCAGACGTGTGTATCTTGCCAGTAGGCATGTTAAGTTAGTAAATGGGCCATGCCTGTTTCGTAGTATAGTTCCCACATAACGGTGCCCCCTAAATTCGGTATTTTGACGATTTTAGCGACTTTATTCACCTGAATTATTTCAAATTTCGTATTCGAAGTTCGTAAAGGGTACTACAACCCATTTCAAAAAAAAATTGTATACAGGTAAAGGTCTTCGATATAACGAAGACCGTATAACGGAACTTACCTTTATTCGAAATGTTGACGATTTAAGCGACATTATTTACCGAAAGTGTTTCAAATTTCTTATTTGAAGATCTTAGTGAGTACTACAGTCTATGAAGAAAAAAAAAATATTCCCAACAAAGCTGTAAATACGAATTCTCTGAAAATTTTCGATTTTAAGAAAAACTACAGATAAAAGGATCTATTGAACAGAAACTAATAACGAAACGGAATTAAAGCTGGGCTCAAACGAAAAGGCTCGAGGAGTAATTTATGAATAAAAGGCAAAAAATGATTCGATCTTAAGAATTTTTCAAATTTTTTAAAAATGTTTCGCTCAATTTTAGGGAAATTAAAGATTACTGGACAAACCTGGACTGGACAAACCTCGAGACCTTTCGCTTAGCCTAGCCTCAACGGCCAGATAACTTTAAGTTTAAATGAACATCTAATAATTAAATTCGGACTGAGTAAGTCAGTGCCAAACCTCCTCAACCGTCCAGAAGACGTTCACCATCACCCCAATCGTCCCCATCAAGTATTGATACGTCAATGTAATTAAAATGGAAAAAGTTCAAATGTAGCTGTTCCATTTATCACCTTCACCTACGATATTCCTACTTATTTGGTATGTCCAGAATTGTAAAATTGTCTTCCTACGGGATTCCATAGTTAGAAGTTGTGTAATCCTAACTGCTTGAACTTGAGCTAAAAATCCAATAGCTGGAAGTTTTGTCAATCGGACTGACGGGTGCTCTTGAGAGTTCCGGATCTGCCAGTAAGAACGCCGCTTTTTGCATGATGGTTTATTTGGACATAAGCGATCTGGAGTGAAGTACCAAAAATAATACTGATACTAATAATAATACTGAATAAAACTGATATATTCCATTTTTACACTTGCTCTAACGAAAATTGAAAAATATTGGGATGCGCAAAATTTGGGAATTGATTTCCAATTTTAGACGCCTATTTTTATGATTCCAATTTTCGCCTTTTGTGACAGAGGTACTGGAAGGAATATTGTCCATCATTGCACCTGAGCTAATGGTTTCAAATTTCGTATTTGCACTTAGTACTGGGTACATAAAATTATCTATGCAGGTCCATGTCTTCGTATAACCCCCCTATATCGGTATATCCCTATAGTCGGTATTTTGAAGATTTTGGCCACATTATTCACCGGAACAGTTTCAAAATTCGTATTTGCACTGCGTAACGAGTACTGCAACCCGTCACAGGATATTACCTATGCTTTCCAGGTCTTCATATAGCTCCCATATAACGGTATCTCCCTATATTCGCTATTTTGATGATTTTAGCGATATTATTCTCCGGTAATGTTTCAAATTACAGACAGAAAATTTTCTACGCAAGTCCAGGTCTTCGAATAGCCCCGATATAAGGCTGGAAATACATAAAGAGCATATTTGGCTGACTTAAGTCATCGGCTGGCTTCTTCGTAGATGAACAAAGGAGTTTTAGGTTGACTTAGTTCGATTTTAGCCCTGGGCTCCTTTGTTCATTTCCGAAGAAGCCAGCCGATGACTTAAGCCAGCCAGATAAGCGCTTTATGTATTTCCAGCTTAACTCTAGACTCCTGAAAATACCGAATATAGGGAGGTATAATTCGGTATTTTTATGAGTTTAGCTACATTGTTCACGGAATTTTTCAAGTTTCGTATTTGAATATTGCAATGGCCTATGATGAAATTGCCTATGCAAGTTCATGTCTTCGTATAGACTCCAATATAATGGCTATATTAGGTATTTTTAGGGTTTTAACATAATTTTTAACGGATTTTATATATATTTTTTTTAATTTCCAAATTTGTTCCAAATTGTGGAGCGTATTCAAAATGGCTTGTCACGATAAACGATTTTCCTTTATGATTACGAAAAAATTTCAAAATTTCAGATTTAGAACAATAACGCTGTTTTTATTGTTTAAAAATTAAAAATCGACGATAAGAAAAAGCGCACATTGTGTGGCGCGCATAAAAAATATAATTCTGTTGAGTCATGGGATTGAATAATTAAAATGTAGTGATGATATTTTTGAAAAAGTTTCAAGCATTTCCTCCTTATTGTACCATTTGTTCTGATATTATGAAAAGCATGCCGCACAATTTTTGAAGCATCTGTTTCATAATATCCGAGTATTAGTCACAATTTAGTTTCTCCACAATTTAAGGTTAAATACTTAATTTTGTTTTATGAGTCCCTCGATTTATTGATTTACCTGTCAATTACATCTCACAAAAATCTCCTTTCCTACCTGCCAATACCGAAAACATAACACAAAATAAATCATGTGGCAATACTGTTACTCAAACAATGCGATTTGGGTGGTCCTCCCATTCACTCTCAGTTTGTCTCTCGCGCTCTCTCTCTCTCGGCGGCAGCAGCAGCTCACCGCAGTCTGTGTCATTTAGTTAATTTCATTTAAGTTCTGCGGTAGTGTTTCTTTGACTCGTTCGTTCGTTGTTGATTTGTTTTCTTTGATTTTTAATTTAAATTCGAGTTTGTTTTATTTGTTAAACAAAAGAATATGACTAAATAAGTATTAAAATTAATAAAGAAATTCACACTGCCAATAAAATTATACCCTGGAAAGGAGTAAAAAAGAAGAAAAAAAAACGAAGAGAAATTCCCACAAAAAGAATCTTGAAGATTGCCAGACAACAAAAAAGTCGCCGAAATTGCTTTTAACAACAAATCACACACGAAAAAAAAAACATAAACAAATCCGGTGCTTTGATGGAATTATAACAACAACAACAGCAATTGTGTATTAAAAGAATTTATTAAGAAAATGTGTTAACTAATTTCAAGTTATTTTACCAGTTTCATTTAGTGGCCATAACTTTCTGGTCGCATTTTTATTTCGTTTTGTGGAAATAAAATAAAAAATACAACAGCAGGCCAGCCACATTGTCTCGTCTCTAGACGAGAAGAAGACAAGTCGAAAAAAGCCATGAGTCCCACCAGCAGAATGTAAGTTCTTGGAACATTTGTTCAATTTTTTATGTGTTGCTATTTTTATTTAATGTCTTCTTTATTTATGTATTTTGTGAGGCGGCTGCTTCTTGTTCCTCCTCCTTGAAGGGGAACGTGTAAAAGGGGTAGAAAACTGAACTGGGTGTGAAAAATGTAAAGAATTCTGGTGGTGGTGGTGCATCTTTGGAGAGCCCATATCATATTACTCTTAATGTACCTTCAATACCGATCTGGCCCGTTGCTGCTGCTGCATACAAATTAAGTTACTTAAATGCACAAAACAATCTGTTCTTGCTATGTGATCGGTATTGAAATCTGCTTCATTAAAGGGGTTATTCCATCAACAACAAAAAGTGGCCTTCCCCATCTTCCATTGTCATTGTAATGAAAATATTTCGTTCACACATTAGGAGAGTTGCACGCTGTGATGATCTCGTTTTTTCCACCCAAATCTTGTAACGCTTTGATGGCTTTAATTTCATTTGTGGTTGAGAAAAAGGGGTTCATTAATCGCATATTATGGAATATAGGGTGTATCATGACACGTTGTAATAACTGAAAACATTTGCTCATGAACTTAGAATGCGACCTAACGCAAAATCGATTAAATAACTACAGATGCTACTCTATCTTCCTTCAAAAGGTGTGTATATCTATAGAAGATATTTAGACGACCTTTTTAGGCCTTACATTTAGTTGGATTTTAAGATATATCTTCTATCTATGCTAAGCCTTCTCTTAATGGAAGATAAAATGGATCTCCAGTGTAATGCTAAATTGTGACCCTTTGTGGGTGAAGTACCAGAAGGGGTTTCGCAGATATATATAATTTTCACAACAGATCTATATATTTAAAAAAACGTTATGTTGGTGAAAACATTGAGTTGTACCAAGTCTGAATGGAATTGGATGCTGATTTCACGTTTTGTAAGCTTCTTGGATACTCAAAATTTTGACCCTCTGTTGAGATCTACTTCTGAGAAGAGCGTTCGAGTTTCTATCTCCCACCTATCAAATAGTCTGTGTATCCTGTTTGATAACATGGGACATCTACATATCGGGTATTCAATCGTCTCTACATCATCTTCATCCTCATTCAGTCTACGGTAGGCCAAGCCAACGTTAACGTCTTATGTGACTACTAATTGAAAGAGTGACATCCAGATGGCCTTAGATAACTTGCAACCAATTTCCAAGTGCCAGCTTGTTCGAGAAGCAGCTTATCGATGATTTGACTGTCTCACCAATCGGTAGATATATCAAATGGACACCATCTTGAACAAATTCATCAGCCATTTATGTTGCTATACCCTGGAACTAAAATCAGCTTAACGAATACCCTGGCCCTTATTCGACCATCAACATATACAGGGTGAGACAAAAAATTGCAACAAAGTCAAACGCCATAATTTTTACACACACAATCACCATGACCGGGGCTTGAGTTCTGGTGGCCAACCTAAGGTGCATTTTCAGCTGACCTCTTTGGCAAGCGCCTATTATACGATCATTTTGTTTATTTACAAACTGCTGGACAACGAATGTTTTCTCATCGGAGAAAACCATATTCGGCAGTTCACCACTTTCGGACAAGCAAAGCAACTCTTTAGCTCTTTTGAGTCTATTTTCTTTCAGTTGCGGTGTAAGTTCTTACACTTTTGGAATTACCCCGAGCTCATTTTCACTATTTGCCGAATGGAATATTGCGATAAGTTCAGATCACGAGCCATTTTTCGGCCACTGCGACGCGGGTTTCGATCAAGTCGCTTCTTTACTTTTCGAACCATTTCTGCTGATGTTGCTGTTTTCTTCCGTCCACTCCCTTGACGTCGGCCTACGCTACCAGTATCACAATAACGAGCGATGGTACGAGACACAAAAGATTTTTTCAATTTAAAAGCTGGAGTGCTCTAACGATAGCCACTTGTAGTTTTCCAGCCATATAATGAGCTGTCACTGGAATAATTTTAACAGCTGTCGGACGAGTGACTTAGAAATGATATCAGTCTGAAATTGGTTTCAGTTTTTTCAGCTCACCCTGTATTTTGATGATTTTAGCTACATTATTCACCGGAATTGTTTCAAATTTGGTATTTGATGTTAGTAATGAATACTACAGCCTATGACAGAAAATTGGCTGTGCAGGTCCACGTTCTGGTATAGCCCCCATATAATAGTGCGTATTTCACTTGCGGAATTTATTGTTTTAAAATTTTCCCAATGGTCGTCATTGTGAATCCCTTAAGGGCTTGATTCCAAGGTCATAATTTTATTTTCTCAAGGAAATCAGCTTTTCCGAAAAATGAGCCTTGGTAGTGAAATAAGCCGAAAAAAATTACATTCATTTCATTAGTTGGGAAGGTATGACTTCCACCTATGCACAGGTTCCAAAAGCGATTTGTGATAAATCAACTTTTTAAACGGATATTTTTGTAGATGGTCAGACTTCTGGTATATTTTTTTGCAGATTGTATAGCTTTGGTAGTAGTAGCAAATTACCTCCCCATAGCTGTGGAAAAGTTATTGTTTCCGTAACTGCCGATAGTATTACAACTAACTGCTGGGTGGGAAATTTCATAGACATACAGAATAGTGAAAAGTTCTAAATTATAGATAATTATCATGTCAAAAAAGTTAATAATTTCGACGAAGCACGAACCTAGTAAGATCGGTAAAAATATAATAATCAAAGCGTTCTGCACAAAACTTACCGGAAGAAGAATTTCGGTGCATAGACTTGAGCTCCTTTCAACTCAGCCACTTCGAAGGGTTATATCCATAAATCTTCAGTAAGTATGCGGTATAGTATGCTATCCTGAAGCACAGTCTGGACAAACTCATTGCTGTCTAAGCACGCCGAATACGAATTGATACGGCTGCATCATCTTGAACATAGTTGGACCAAAATAATCCCACCTTGTACAGGCAGACAACTTCTTTCACTGATGGAGTTGGAATGCGAGATTTCATTGACTGATGACAGTGTTGGCAATATCAATGTGAATAATACACAGACTTGGACAGTAGATTTTTGATCTTACTTCGGAACATTCTAATTCGTGTAGGTCTTTTGTGAAAAGTTGGGACGGGGGAGTTTCATTTGCCTTTATTTGGAAAACTCCCATTTATTCTGACGTACGGAAAGAATCTTCGTTTCATCAAGTCCAAATACTGTCATGTGGTTCTTATTGCGGCGCTGTAACCTTACTTAATATTTGTCATATGTATTGTTGTTGTAGTAGTAGAACGTATGGGTGTTTGAATTCTGCTAATCTGGTTCAAGCTCCAGATTTAGAAATTTGGCTACTTCGGGTAGGTTTAGCTGTGCAATTAAAGAGCAATCCCACTTCAGCATGTTCTACGATACCGAATTCACCCGAAACAACAACATTCCAGTTTCGTCCAGCGGCTGCCAACCTAGTATGTACATGTTCGCTGAGTTCACTGGCGTCGAACATATAAACACAGACAGCATTTAAAGAAACCAACATGGTATATTCATCTGAACCCAAAAGTAATACCGGCCTTCAATTTGCGGACCTTCATTTTCAATTTATCGTAGACGACTGCAGCTTCCACGGACGACTTAAAGCTACTGTCCCGGAGATATCACTTCAGCTCGGGAAGCTTTTTTGTTTTAACTTTCTACACTGATATGCATCGAACGAACAACTGATTCCACACAGATCGACATCCTCAAAACGTTTTGCGTGATCAGAATTTCAAATGCTTCAATTTTTGTAGATGAGAACGAATATTGATGATCGCCAACTGGATAGCTATTCCGAAATGTCTCAATGCTGTAGAATACATCAATCACAGTCACTGGGTTTCATCCTGAAAAGAAGAAGAAGAGACAATGTTAAATCAAAGGCAATAGAGAAGTTGTAGAAAAAGCGACGAGAAGTGTTGGGCTGAAGTAGATAGTATTTTCCGAAGGTCTGCTGAAAAACGTATCCGTCAAATTTAACTTAATAATTCTATGAAAATTGGTCTTCGTCTTCCATCAAAAAATCTGACCCGGAGACATAACAAAAATATGATATCGGTACCTAACACATTGGTTTATCATGATTTGTCCTACCCTTTAGCCTCTAGCTACGTTCTCGAATGCCAATATCAATCGTGTACCACCCTCTTAACCACTTGTTCCCTCTTCATACCCATATATTATTTTAAACAGTAGTTTTAGGAAAAGACGCAGACGTTTTAGGAATATAAACATGGACTTTTTTTAAAAAATATTTCTTCGAGGACTACCGGAGCAACTGATCTGTAAGACAAGATAGACAAACACTCACATTTAAGTCGAACTAAAAATGGGGAGTTTTAAGAATTTTTGAAAAGATCTATTAGAGCAACAAAACGCGGATTTTTTTTTAAATTTGTTTCCAAAGACAAGAATAGGTTTTTTTCAATTTTTTTCCGAGGACAAAACGAGGATTTTTTTTAAATTTTTTTTCGAGGACAAAACGCGTATTTTTGAAATATTTTTTTCAAGGACAGAACATGGAGTTTTAAAACATTTTATATATTTATATATTTATATAAATTTTAAATATAAATACCTTTAATGAAATATTCAATTTATATTTACCGACTTCTATATTTTCATTTAAGAAAACTGAAAAAAGATCCTCTCACCTGTCGATGTCGACCACCCATTCTATTCCTCGCACTGTGTATAATCTTGTTAAAACTATCGCTAGCGGAAGCTAATATCACAGCTGCCACCTCCCTGCTAGCTGTGGCCACAGCGCCCAATGTTATATCGCCCGCCGCCATCACCAACAGTCAAGCAACAAACCACCTACAAATCCCCTTGGAACCCATAAATGGTACCAGTAATTTCCGCATCTATAAAAAAGGTAAAGATGATAAACATTGGTTGGATGGTCGTGGCCTCAGTATGCAACATGTGCAGTGTGTGCGCAAGGGAAATTGTGAAAAACTACAATTTTCCACATGTTTGGGTGTTAAACTGCCATATACACATACCAGTTTGGATTTGACCATATCGCACAGTCAAAAGGATATCCAAGAGAGATTGAAAAATATGATGGCACTGAAACATGTACCCAAGTGCTGGGCTGTGATACAGGTGAGTGTGACATGAATTTGGAGAGAAAAAGATTTATTTAATTAATTTATTTTACTTTTTCACTACAGCCCTTTATATGTGCCGTCTTGGCTCCCAAATGTGAGAATATCAATGGCGATGATATGGTGTATTTGCCTTCGCTGGAAATGTGCCGCCTTACCTTGGAGCCCTGTCGCATACTCTACAACACTTCATATTTCCCCGAATACTTGAAGTGCAATGAAACACATTTTCCCTCAAAATGTAATAATGAAGTACGTGAAATGAAATTTAATCTAACCGGTCAGTGTTTGGATCCTTTGGTACCGGCTGAATCGAGTGTTAGCTATCATCCCGGCGTGGAGGGTTGTGGTGTACGTTGTAAGGATCCTTTGTACACCGATGGTGAACATCGTCAAATACAGAAGTTAATTGGATGGGGTGCCACCTTGTGCTTCCTATGCAATCTGTTTGTTGTGGCCACATTTATGATTGATTGGGAAAATGCCAGCAAATATCCAGCATTGATTGTTTTCTATATCAATATGTGTTTCATGATTGCGTGTTTGGGGTAAGTGATTGGCGGAGTGTTTTAGAAGTTAGTTGTAGAATGATTTGTGAGACAAGGTAGACGATGTACTGGCATTAGACCGGCAAGGACTATTAGAGCATTTAAATGTTGATATCTTAATTTTCCCAAGGACTAAACAGGGATTTTTAAAAAATATTTCTCAAGGACTAAACGTGGATTTTTAAAGAATATTTTTTGAAGGACCAAAAACGTGGATTTTTAAAGAATATTTTATTAAGGTCCAAAAAATCAACTGGATTTTAAAAGAATATTTTTTCAAGGACCAAAAAATCAACTGGATTTTAAAAGAATATTTTTCAACGTCCAAAAAAGTGGATTTTTAAAGAATATTTTTTCAAGGACCGAAAACGTGGATTTTTAAAGAATATTTTTTCAAGGACCAAAAACGTGGATTTTTGAGGAATATTTTTTCAAGAACCTTCAGAGCCATCAAACGTGGATTTTTTAAGAATATTTTTTCAAGGACCAAAAACTTGGATTTTTTAAGAATATTTTTTCAAGGACCAAAAACGTGGATTTTTAAAAAATATTTTTTCAAGGACCAAAAACGTGGATTGTTAAAAAATATTTTTTTGAAGGACCAAAAACGTGGATTTTTAAAAATTATTTTTTTGAAGGACCAAAAACGTGGATTTTTAAAAATTATTTTTTTGAAGGACCAAAAACGTGGATTTTTAAAGAATATTTTTTCAAGGATTAATATTTTTCGAGTACTAAATGTGGATTTAGTCCTCGAATATCAGGTTTAGTTAACGTGTCCTTGTCATGACACGGAGGTCGACCTCACGAAGACGACAGCATAAAAATGAAAAATATTAAACGTCCCTTTCACCTGCCGCCCGTGTGACCTTGGTACCCTCAGTCAACAAAGCTACAAGTGCGACATTTACCTCCACCTCAACAAGAATGGCTCTAAGATCGGACTCGGAAAGTGATTCAGTTTCGTTTGCTACCAGTAGAATAACAAAGCGGACGGGACCTCAGGGTGCCGATAATGCTCTGACATCGGACCTGATAAAATATATTGTAGCCAGACAGCAGCAGCGGTTATTGACTCGTTAAGGCAGAGTCCGGACAGCATCCCTGTATATCTCTGGGAAACCCCCTGCTCAATGAAGAAGAGGACATGGGTAACACGATAATCCATGACTCGACTTCTAGTCAAGGGTTGACTCCAAAGGTAGTCGACCTGAAAAGTGCCAGCGGTCCCAAGACAAATTGGACGGAAAGCCCACACTCTCAAGGCTTGAGGTAATAGAAGTAGTAGGAGAACAGAGTGGGGTCTGCATTGATATAATCGAAGTGCCGCTGAGCTCTCCCGCAACCAAGAGCGCCAAATCCAAAGAGATTTGACCTGAGTAGTCCCAGCGGTCCCAATACAAATTGGTCGCAAATCACACACTCTCAAGGCTGGAGTTAATCAAAGTTATAGGAGAACAGAGTGGGGTCTTCCAAGAGCTCCAAATCCAAAGGGATAAGGGGAATCGGTGAACAGTAAACTACTATAGTTGATATGTCGATGGATCCATTAAAGCTCATTGATACGGAGCTGCAGCTTATCAGGACAAACCTGAACCTTAGGAGGTTAGAGAGGACGTATCCTATCCCTATAATTAATATCCCCACATGCAGAGCAGTGATGAAACTAGTCGAGGCTTCGAAAAATACGACGACTGCGGGAAACCCCTGCTCACTTGGAAAGGTGGTATCAAAGAAGACTCTAACAATGAGGCTTTCAAAAAAGACCACTGATGTACCAGAGACGGAGGTATCATCCTCCAAATCAAGGAAAGGCTGCGAGAAGGAAGAGGAAATCGAAACATAGATTTTGAAGTTAGACAAATTAGCCATTAGTCAAGACTTCATATGTTGAAGGGCATACAAATTTCGTCCCTGCCAGAACTAGATTTCGTGTTTAGTAGTCCTCTTAAGACAATTTTTCAAGAACTATTAATTTTTTTAAATTAATATTCATAAAGTTATAGCTACTCCAGATAACTAATCATTTTCTCCATTCCCTCGTTTCAGATGGTTGGCCCAATTCACACCTGGTTCGCGCGAGGACATTGTCTGCCGTAAAGATGGCACACTGCGTCATTCTGAACCCACGGCAGGAGAAAACCTCTCCTGTGTTGTGGTCTTTGTAATTGTCTATTACTTTCTGATTGCGGCCATGGTTTGGTTTGTTTTCCTAACCTATGCCTGGCATTTGCGAGCTGTAGGCAATGTTCAAGATCGCATCGATAAGAAAGGTTCCTATTTCCATTTGATTGCCTGGTCTTTGCCACTGGTGCTAACCATTACAACATTGGCCCTCAGTGAAGTGGATGGCAATAGTATTGTTGGTATTTGTTTTGTGGGCTATCGTAACCACCCCATTCGTTCCGGATTGCTGCTGGGCCCTCTGTGCGGTGTTATATTGGTGGGTGGTTATTTCATAATTCGTGGCATGATAATGTTGTTTGGTTTGAAACATTTTGCCAATGACATTAAGTCGACATCGGCGAGTAATAAAATCCATTTGATTATTGTGCGGATGAGTGTTTGTGCCCTGTTTACGTTGCTGTTTATTTTGGTGTCGATTGCCTGCCATGTCAATGAATTTCGCCACTCGCAGGAGTGGGCGGAGAGTTTAAGGGAGTATGTGAAGTAAGTAGGCCTTATTTCTTGGGTGATTCAATTACTAACAAATTTCGTTTCTTTTCCAGCTGTACAATTTTTGGCCGTTTCAACAATGAATATGTCCAGTGCAAATTGTCCCAGAGACCCAGTGTTTCGGTCCTGCAATTACATTTGCTGTGTCTCTTTGGTGCCGGCATTGTCATGTCTACTTGGTGCTGGACGCCCAGCTCTGTGGAAACCTGGAAACGTTATATCAGAAAAAAGTGCGGGAAAGATGTATCGGAGGAAGTGAAAATGCCCAAACACAAAGTCATAGCCCAGACATGGGCCAAGCGCAAAGAATTCGAAGATAAGGGGAGGCTCTCCATAACCCTTTGCAACACCCACACCGATCCGGTAGGTTTAAATTTTGATGTCAACGATTTAAATTCCTCGGAAACGAATGACATTAGCTCCACTTGGGCAAATTATCTACCACAGTTTGTAAAGAGAAGAATGGCTCTGACAGGAGCCACTGCTGCCAACAATGCTAGTCATCATGCCGGAGCGGCAGCTCATCATAATCGCAAAAATTCCTTAGATTCGGAGATAAGTTTTAGTGTGAGACATGTTTCGGTGGAGTCTCGGCGGAATTCCGTTGACTCCCAGGTCTCGGTGAAGATACAGGAAATGAAAACCAAAGTGGCGCGATCAAGGGGTGGCAGACATCACCATCACGGCAAACATTCGGCGGGGAAACGTTATCAAAAGGCTCGAGACTTTAATGCCGCCGGCGGAGGAAGACGACACAACGGAAGGCGGGAGAGTAGTACCTCCATAGAATCACAAATTATTGCGCTACAAAAAACCACCTATCCCAATTCACATCACAAACTGGGACTCTTTGCACAGAGTACAAAAAATCATGGTGGCTCAAAGAGGAGGTCGGGGCATGGCACCTTGGATCCAAATGATATAACCGAATTTTTGGCCAGAAATGGTCAACTGATATTGCCATTTTTACAAAATCAGGGCATGACCACTTCCTCGGATGAAGAAGAAAACTCGAAGGGATCTTTGAAGATACAGGGGTCGCGTTTGGATGTTGTACTCAAACAGGATTTAAGTGATGATAATTCGGAGGAGTTTGAAACAAGGCATCACAATGGTCCCCAAATAGAAGAGATACATGATCATGATAATGAAGAGGATGACCATACTAATATGCATGGGAGGAGTAGTAAAACCAAACGTCAATCTGCCTATGAGGAGCTGCTTAAACAGACCCAAAAGTCCCATGATTCTAATCATAATCACAAACATTCACGCAATTCCACACGCAACTCAAGGCATTCACGGAAGTCGCAGGCCCTTAACACCTCCCAACACAAGCGTTCCCTTAAACGCAATCAAACCGCCAATTCAAATCGTCGAAAATCTACCAATTCGAAAATATTCGAAATGGATTCCCTTAACACCTCGGATTTAAATTTACAGCTAAAACGGGAATTAACCTTTGGCAGCCATCGTGATGATGAGGATGATGACGAGGACACGGCCAGCAATGATTCATTTTCTTCGGTGGACTTGGATTTGCCGCTAAATGTTTTCCTACAACATTCTCTCTCCGGCCAAAGTAAGACCAGCTGTGATGTGGGTATTCAGGCGGACGCCTTTGATCTCTCCAATCGCACCTCAGCCGATGAGGATGATCTAAAGAAATGTGTACGCCACATGAATCACCATAATCAGCGGCGTAATCGTTACGAAGCCGATGCCTATGAAATGCAGTCACTGGTGGATAAACACAAAAATACCCCACTTATAATGAGTGAGGCGGAAAAGCTGAAAATGTTATTGCTACCTTCAAAGTAGGGAGATTTTTTTTTTCCAAATCGTATGAAGAAGGTTTCAAGTTGTTTTTCCTCAATGAGGAAGTGTCTCGGAATTAGGTAGCTTATGAAAATGAGAAAAATTTTCGGTTCATTTTTTATGATTTAGTATTTGAAAAATACTCAATTTATTTTAAGATAATTGATAGACTAAGATAAGATGTAAAGCTTTACAAAAACACAACAATATATTTACATGGAAGGAGGGAGAGACGAAGAAAAAAATTCCCTAAAAATTGGTTGTTCAGATCTTCCAAAGAGCCCCACAATAATGTCCTGTTTTTCCATGGCGATCTGAAAGTGAACTCCAACGAAAAACATCCATTCCAAGAATATTTTTTGAATTGAATCAAAATCTAAAGTTTGAAAAACAAATAAGGAATGGGCGTTGTTTCGGCTTAACTCAGGAATCGCCATTTGGAGTCAGGTCATACATTTTATATCAAGAGTTTTCAACTCAATACAAAACTCCAAATGTTTTGGGAATAAAATACGTCAGGGTGAGATAAAAAAACTGCAACAAAGTCAAACGCCATAATATTTACATTTTTTTTTTAAATTTTATTGAATGAAAGCAAAAAATGTCGGAAATAGCATCAAATTTTAAAATTAGTTTAGATTTGCTCAAATTTGTCACCATTGGCACGAATTATGGCCTTCAAACGGCCAATGAAACACCGTCACACACTGCCCGAATATTGCTCTGCGGTATTTTAGCCCATTCCCAGCGAAGTGCTTGCTTTAGGTGATCGACACTTTGGTATTTTTAGTGCCAACCTTGCTTTCTAAATTATTCCAGACACAATAGTCCAACGGATTGGTATCCGGAGATTTTGGTGGCCATTGTGCGCTGGAAATGAAGCGAGGAACCTGATTTTGTGCTGAGCGTGCTGAGTGCGATGATGCTGGAGTCCTGTTGGAATGTTCAAGACCTGCAGCCAAAATGTTTGCGTGCCCAAGGCTTGAATACACCCTCCAGAATATTTTCGCGATAATATTCGGCATTTATACTGATGCCATGGTCGATTAATACGAGCGGAGAGCGATCATCAGCTATTATGGCGGCCCACACCATCACCATGGCCGGCGCTTAAGTTTTGGTGGCCAACCGAAGGTGCACATTTTCTGCTGACCTCTTTGGCAAGTAAACACGATCATTTTGTTTCTTTACAAACTACTGGACAACGAATGTTTTCTCTTCGGAGAAAACCAAATTCGGCAGTTCACCACTTTCGGCCAAGCGAAGCAACTCTTTAGCTCTTTTTTGAGTCTATTTTCTTTCTTTCTTGCACTTTTTGGAATTTCAATGGCTTTACCCCGAGCTCATTCTTCAACATTTGCCGAATGGAATATTGTGATATGTTCAGCTCACGAGCCATTTTACGGCCACCGCGACGCGGTTTTCGGCCAAGTAGCTTCTTCATTTTTCGAACTATTTTTGCTGACGTATCACTTTAACGAGCGATGATATGAGACATAAAAAATTTATTCACATTTAAATGCTTGAGTGCTCTAACGATAGCCACTTACGGTTTTCCAGCCAAATATAAAGAAATCACTATCACGCTTGAATTCCATCACGAATAACTTTTTTTCTGGAAAATTCTCGCTCAGATGCTTTTGTACGCTTGTAAATAATATTATGAGCTGTCACTGGAACAATTTCAACAGCTGTCGGACGAGTGGCTTAGAAATGACAGCAGTTTGAAGTTGGTTGAAGTTTTTTCATCTCACTCTGTAATTTCATGGAAGGAGAGAGAAAAGAAGAAACAAATTCCTTAAAACATTGGTTGTTCAGATCTTCCAAAAAGCGCCACAATAATGTCATGTTTTTCTATGACCATTTGAAAGTGAACTCGAAAGGAAAACATCCATTCCAAGAGTATTTTACAAATTTAATCAAAATCTAAAATTTTAAAAAACAAATAAGGAATGGGTTTTATTTCGACTTAACTTTAGAATCGTCATACAGAGACAAGTCATACATTTTATATCAAGGGTTTTCAACTCAATACAAAACTCTCAAAATTGTTGGGAATAAAATACTCTACATAAATTATTTTTATACAGTGCTTCCAAGTCAATATAAAACACATAAACTTTGGAAAAAATATTGCTAATTTTATAAAGAGCTTCCAACCCAAAAAAAAACAAAACAAATAACTATTTAAAAAAATACAAAAAATCAAACAAAAGCTATTCTTCAATAACAATGAGAAATTTGAAAAATTTTCAAAAAAGCTAATCCCAAGTATTATTTTGAAATCATGTCCTCAAAACTAAATCTCTAAAGACTGTAATTTTCTCATTAAGAACACAAACGAATATTTTACAATAACAATCAACTGTATGTATACTCCGATTATCATCTATTACTAAATAGTACATTTGTATTCTGTGCTATAAAAACTGCTTTACTTAATTTATATTATATTTTGTTGTATACTTTATTTTTTTTATAAAATTTTTAGACTAAGAACATTTTGTATACAAAAAAAAAATATAGATGTAATTTAATTAAGCTACTTTTGATACATAATTCATTTATTGTAGATACAAACATACATCTTTTTTTACAATTTTAAATTGTATTTTTTTATACAGCGCCTGTGCCTTGTAAGAAAAAAAGGAAACGAGAAATAAAATATTAAATCAAAATAAAATAAAAAATATAATATACGTATGTTTTGTACGGAATGCTGGAATGCGATTTAGGAATTCTTTTTAAATATTCAACGAGGAAAAAGATGCCGAAACATTCAGTGTTAATGGTACTGAGTTATATTTTGTCCTGTAAATCTGGATTTTGGATGAAACTCCTAATATTGCATACTTTCATGGCTTGTATTGGGTAATTCTCAGGAAATGAGTTGGGAGAGAGTTGGGTAATTTTTGCCAGGTCGCAAACATTTATCCAATAAACATGTGCAACACTCACGCCGACCTGGTAGATTTCAATTTCGATATCTACAATTTTAACTCCTCGGAAACAGATGATATTAGATCAATTTAGACAAATTATCTACTACAGTTTGTAAAAAGAAGATCTGGATCTGGCAAGAGCCACAACTGCAACAGTGCTATTCATTATGCGAGGCGACAGCTAATCATAGTCCAAAAAAAATATTTAGATTACAAAATAAGTTTTAATGTGAGACATGGTGCCACGGCGGAATTTCATTGTCACCCAGATTGAACAGATACAGTGCCTAAATGAAATTGAAAGTTCGCTTTTTTGTCTACAAAGAAAAGACCTTCTGGCATTAAAAAACCAACTTCTGGAAATCTAAAAGCAGAAAACTCTTTGATGTTCTATGAGAAGACCTTCCTTTTTCCTATGAAATTATCTGTTGGTCTTATATGGGAAAATTTTCGGATCAATCAGATTTTCTGTGAGAAGCCTTTCCTACCTTCTTCGAAAATATTTCTTTTGATCTTCCATAGGAAGACCTTCTGGTTTTCAATGAGAAGACCCTCCATTGTTCTGTCAGTAGAAGAACTTCTGGTTTTCAATGAGAAGACCTTCTAGTGTTCTTTGGAAAGATCTTCCGGCCTTATATGAGAAGACCTTCTGCAAGAAGAAAGTATTTTGGTCTTCTATAAAAAGAAGTCCTTCTGGTCTTTAATGGGAAGATCTTTTCGTATTCTACGAGAAGAGCTTCTGCTCTACTATAAAAAGGCCTTTTGGTCTTCTAAAAGAAGTCATTCTGGTCTTTTACTTTCAGGTAATCAAGGAGAAAGCCGTTTGGTCTTCTGTGGGAAGACTTTTTGGCCTTCTATGGGAAAACCCTTCTATGAGAAAACCAACTGGCCTTCAATGGGAAGACCTTTCGCCTTCTATGGGAAGACCAACTGGCCTTCTATGAAAAGGCCAACTAGCTTTCTATGAGAAGACCAACTGGTCTTCTATGAGAAGACCTTGTGACCTTCAATGAGAAGACCTTGTGACCTTCTATGAGAAAACCTTCTGGTCTTCCATGAGAATACCCTTTGGTCTTATATGAGAAGACCTTCTGAACTTCTATGAGCAGACCTTCTGGTGTTCTAATGGAAGACCTTCTGACCTTCTATGAGAAAACCTTCTGGTCTTCTATGAGATGACCTTGTAAAAGACCTTAAGCCTTATATGGGAAGACCTCTTCAATGAAAAGATCTGCTCTTTTTCTTTAGGAAGATTTTCTGGTCCTCGCTGGTCTTCTATGAGCAGACCTTCTAGTGTTCTATGAGAAGACCTTCTGGCCTTTTATAAGAGCACCTTCGGCTTTTTTGAGAAGACCTTTTGGCCTTCTATGAGAAGACCTTCTGTCCTTCTATGGGAAGACCCTCTGGTCTTCTGTGAGAAGACCTTCTGATCTTTTATGCGAAAACCTTTTGGACTTCTATGAGAAGACGTTGTGGCCCTCGATGAGAAGTCCTACTGGCCTTCAATGAAAAGTTCTTCTGGCCTTCTATGAAAAGTCCTTCTGACCTTCTATGAGAAGTCCTTCTGGTCTTCTATGAGAAGCTATATTGGCCTTCTATGGGAAGACTTTTTGACCTTCTATGGGAAGACTTTCTGGCCTTCTATGAGAATAACTTTCAGCCCTCTATAAGAAGATCTTCTGACCTTTTATGAGAAGACGTTCTGGTCTTGCTATGAGATGACCTTGTGGCCTTCTATAAGAAGATTTCTCGCTTCGATTTCTTCTTCTCCCTGAAGTCATTGCTTTCCCTTGTTTTGAAGTGTGGTACCACCGGTTTTGGCACCTCAGAGACCTTATTTAAAGTCCCAGATGAGCAGAGGTTTCCCCCAGTTTTTGAGCCCTCGACTGGTTTCGCCATTTTTCCTTCCATTTTATCAAAAGAGACCCTCTGCTCTGTCCTCCTTCTATTTCGATAGCCTCCTTCTACTTCGAAGGCTATCGAAGTAGAAGGAGGACAGAGCAGAGAGTCTCTTTTGATAAAATGGAAGGAAAAATGGCGAAACCAGTCGAGGGCTCAAAAACTGGGGGAAACCTCTGCTCATCTGGGACTTTAAATAAGGTCTTGTGAATGTGCTTACCAACTAATTTGTATTTGGACCGCTGGGACTTTTTTGGTCTACTACCTTAGGAGTCAACCCTTGACTTGTTCTCTTCCTCATCAAACAGGGGGTTACCCAGAAATCTTCGGGGATACTGTCCTGACTCAGCCTTAAAGGCCCCATATCCTCAATGATTTGGCAGATTGCTTGCTCTTGTCGCTGTTGTTAATTAAGTTCAGTGTCATATCATTGTCGGCTCCTGAATCATTTCTAAGTTCTATTTTGAGATAATTTTTATTGAGGCGGAGGTAAACTTTGGTAAAGCCACGACTCCTCCAGACCCGCAGGTTGTCCGCGACTGCTTATTTTAAACGGAGCTTCCCAGTATATCTATTGGGCTTTCCACTATCCGCAACCTGTTGAGGCGTCCCATCCGAAGGCAGAGAATTACACTCTACCATACAATGAAGGGTGCATTAAATTTTACATCGGAGACCCCATAAAGGATTTCCTATAATTCTTTTTTGTGTTGCTCTGTGTAATAATACATATATTTTTAATCCAGCCGGCATAAAATTTGAACTGTTTTCATTTGTTCGTTGGCAAATTATCATCAAAATTAAAACAAAAAACTGCAATAAATTTTAAAATAACTAAAATCTACAACAACAAAAACAGCTATAATCTTCATCAGCAGTAAACGAGCGAAACTGCGAGAAAAACACAACCAAAATCAGTTCTTATCAGGTTTCCAAAAAAAGAAGCGCAGTTCACACAAATGCCAACCAGCCTGCCGGCACTCACTGCAGGCAAACCAATGGACTTGACAGGCATAATAATGATGTTATTTTTAAATTATCAGGGCGGGCCACCGGGTATCGCTAGGGGGTGGGTGGTGTTTGAGGTTGAAGGTATGTACCCATATTAAAATGGAGGGTAAATTTGTCGGACCCATTATCTTCCAGCTAAGTGGAGTTACGTAGCTGGGTGGCCTTGTCAATCTAATGGGAGATACAAACGTAGATACATATTTCGATAGATAGTTGGGTGGTAGGTACCCTTGAAAATCAATTTAAGGCCAACACACATCCAGACAAAGATAACCACGGCAGGCGGACATGTACGCACGCACGCACACGAACACACCAACAACAACATTAACTGCATAACCATATTTAAGGACCTGTTAAATAACAATAGAGAGAGGAAAAGGGAGGGTGGGGGTCTTTGGCTTTTTCACCTTCATGCCATGGCCACAAGGACAATAGCTTGAGATTTCTTAGCACATTTTTGTTTAACACTCATTTGTCATTCATTTTTCCTTCCTTCCATTCTTTGTGTTATGTTTTGGTTTTTCCATTCCAGACTTTCTTTTTTCTCGTTCTTCGTTTGAGGTTTTGTTGTTATTGTCATTTGTTGTCAGTAGTCACTCGGCCTACTGCCACACGCAACAAATGAATTTCGCCGTCATTTAACAATGGAGAGCAACAATCTGAAATGGAAAGCCAAATCAGTTGGTGGGTCGGTCGGTCGGTTGGATGGTCTGACGGAAGGTTAGTCGGTCGATTTGTTGGTTGGTTAGTTGGTAATCAGAGCACCCAACGCCAGCAGTAGTGAATGACTAACGACCCCTTTCGCCCTTGCCGACCCACTCAGAAGGTGAAATGATGCAAGTTAAAGGAAAAATTTCCAAACATGCGCATTCGTCGACCGTCGTCGCACACACTGCTCAATTTCGGTTTGATTCTGAGTTGGGGAGGTACGTCTCACTTCTCCATTTGTTTACCCCTTAGTTAACGAACGAAAATAAAATCAACTTCATACCGTTTACGGCAGTGTATCTACAATACACGAGATGGACAGTGGTTTCGAGGTAACGAAGGAGGAGAAATGGGTCAGCTAAAAGAGCGGGACCTTCAGAGTTACAAACGTGGATTTTTTAAACATATTTTTAGAGGCATCTTCAGACCAATATTCGTGGATTTTTTAAACATATTTTTAGAGGCATCTTCAGACCAATATTCGTGGATTTTTTAAACATATTTTTAGAGGCATCTTCAGACCAATATTCGTGGATTTTTTAAACATATTTTTAGAGGCATCTTCAGACCAATATTCGTGGATTTTTTAAACATATTTTTAGAGGCATCTTCAGACCAATATTCGTGGATTTTTTAAACATATTTTTAGAGGCATCTTCAGACCAATATTCGTGGATTTTTTAAACATATTTTTAGAGGCATCTTCAGACCAATATTCGTGGATTTTTTAAACATATTTTTAGAGGCATCTTCAGACCAATATTCGTGGATTTTTTCAACATATTTTTAGAGGCATCTTCAGACCAATATTCGTGGATTTTTTAAACATATTTTTAGAGGCATCTTCAGACCAATATTCGTGGATTTTTTAAATATATTTTTAAAGGCATCTTCAGACCAATATTCGTGGAATTTTTAAACATATTTTTAGAGGGACCTTCAGACCACCAAACGTGGATTTTTTAAACATATTTTTAGAGGGACCTTCAGACCACCAAACGTGGATTTTTTAAACATATTTTTAGAGGGACCTTCAGACCACCAAACGTGGATTTTTTAAATAAATTTTTAGAGGGACCTTCAGACCACCAAACGTGGATTTTTTAAACATATTTTTAGAGGCATCTTCAGACCCAAATTCATTCATTTTTTAAACATATTTTTAGAGGCATCTTCAGACCAATATTCGTGGATTTTTTAAACATATTTTTAGAGGCATCTTCAGACCAATATTCGTGGATTTTTTAAACATATTTTTAGAGGCATCCTCAGACCAATATTCGTGGATTTTTTAAACATATTTTTAGAGGCATCTTCAGACCAATATTCGTGGATTTTTTAAACATATTTTTAGAGGCATCTTCAGACCAATATTCGTGGATTTTTTAAACATATTTTTAGAGGCATCTTCAGACCAATATTCGTGGATTTTTTAAACATATTTCTAGAGGCATCTTCAGACCAATATTCGTGGATTTTTTAAACATATTTTTAGAGGCATCTTCAGACCAATATTCGTGGATTTTTTAAACATATTTTTTGAGGCATCTTCAGACCAATATTCGTGGATTTTTTAAACATATTTTTAGAGGCATCTTCAGACTAATATTCGTGGATTTTTTAACATATTTTTAGAGGCAACTTCAGACCAATATTCGTGGATTTTTTAAACATATTTTTAGAGGCATCTTCAGATCAATATTCGTGGATTTTTTAAACATATATTTATAGAGGCATTTTCAGACCAATATTCGTGGATTTTTTAAACATATTTTTAGAGGCATCTTCAGACCAATATTCGTGGATTTTTTAAACATATTTATAGAGGCATTTTCAGACCAATACTCGTGGATTTTTTAAACATATTTTTAAAGACATCTTCAGACCAATATTCGTGGATTTTTTAAACATATTTTTAGAGGCATCTTCAGACCAATATTCGTGGATTTTTTAAACATATTTTTAGAGGCATCTTCAGACCAATATTCGTGGATTTTTTAAACATATTTTTAGAGGCATCTTCAGACCAATATTCGTGGATTTTTTAAACATATTTTTAGAGGCATCATCAGACCAATATTCGTGGATTTTTTAAACATATTTTTAAAGGCATCTTCAGACCAATATTCGTGGATTTTTTAAACATATTTTTAGAGGCATCTTCAGACCAATATTCGTGGATTTTTTAAACATATTTTTAGAGGCATCTTCAGACCAATATTCGTGGATTTTTTAAACATATTTTTAGAGGCATCTTCAGACCAATATTCGTGGATTTTTTAAACATATTTTTAGAGGCATCTTCAGACCAATATTCGTGGATTTTTTAAACATATTTTTAGAGGCATCTTCAGACCAATATTCGTGGATTTTTTAAACATATTTTTAGAGGCATCTTCAGACCAATATTCGTGGATTTTTTAAACATATTTTTAGAGGCATCTTCAGACCAATATTCGTGGATTTTTAAAAGATATTTTTAGAGGGATTTTCGTGGATTTTTCAACATATTTTTAGTGTCATCTTCAGACCAATATTCGTGGATTTTTTAAACATATTTTTAGAGGGATTTTCGTGGATTTTTCAACATATTTTTAGAGTCATCTTCAGACCAATATTCGTGGATTTTTTAAACATATTTTTTGGAGTCAAATTCAGACCAATATTCGTGGCTTTTTTCAACATATTTTTAGAGTCATCTTCAGACCAATATTCGTGGATTTTTTAAACATATTTTTTGGAGTCAAATTCAGACCAATATTCGTGGCTTTTTTAAACATATTTTTAGAGTCATCTTCAGACAAACATATTTTTAGAGTCATCTTCAGACCAATATTCGTGGATTTTTTAAACATATTTTTAGAGGCATCTTCAGACCAATATTCGTGGATTTTTTAAACATATTTTTAGAGGCATCTTCAGACCAATATTCGTGGATTTTTTAAACATATTTTTAGAGGCATCTTCAGACCAATATTCGTGGATTTTTTAAACATATTTTTAGAGGCATCTTCAGACCAATATTCGTGGATTTTTTAAACATATTTTTAGAGGCATCTTCAGACCAATATTCGTGGATTTTTTAAACATATTTTTAGAGGCATCTTCAGACCAATATTCGTGGATTTTTTAAACATATTTTTAGAGGCATCTTCAGACCAATATTCGTGGATTTTTTAAACATATTTTTAGAGTCATCTTCAGACCAATATTCGTGGATTTTTTAAACATATTTTTAGAGGCATCTTCAGACCAATATTCGTGGATTTTTTAAACATATTTTTAGAGGCATCTTCAGACCAATATTCGTGGATTTTTTAAACATATTTTTAGAGGCATCTTCAGACCAATATTCGTGGATTTTTTAAACATATTTTTAGAGGCATCTTCAGACCAATACTCGTGGATTTTTTAAACATATTTTTAGAGGCATCTTCAGACCAATGTTCGTGGATTTTTTAACCATATTTTTAGAGGCATCTTCAGACCAATATTCGTGGATTTTTTAAACATATTTTTAGAGGCATCTTCAGACCAATATTCGTGGATTTTTCAAAGATATTTTTAGAGGGATTTTCGTGGATTTTTCAACATATTTTTAGAGTCATCTTCAGACCAATATTCGTGGATTTTTTAAACATATTTTTTGGAGTCAAATTCAGACCAATATTCGTGGCTTTTTTAAACATATTTTTAGAGTCATCTTCAGACCAATATTCGTGGATTTTTTAAACATATTTTTAGAGTCATCTTCAGACAAACATATTTTTAGAGTCATCTTCAGACCAATATTCGTGGATTTTTTAAACATATTTTTAGAGTCATCTTCAGACCAATATTCGTGGATTTTTTAAACATATTTTTAGAGTCATCTTCAGACCAATATTCGTGGATTTTTTAAACATATTTTTAGAGGCATCTTCAGACCAATATTCGTGGATTTTTTAAACATATTTTTAGAGTCATCTTCAGACCAATATTCGTGGATTTTTTAAACATATTTTTAGAGGGATTTTCGTGGATTTTTCAACATATTTTTAGAGTCATCTTCAGACCAATATTCGTGGATTTTTTAAACATATTTTTAGAGGCATCTTCAGACCAATATTCGTGGATTTTTTAAACATATTTTTAGAGGCATCTTCAGACCAATATTCGTGGATTTTTTAAACATATTTTTAGAGAGATTTTCGTGGATTTTTCAACATATTTTTAGAGGGATTTTCGTGGATTTTTCAACATATTTTTAGAGTCATCTTCAGACCAATATTCGTGGATTTTTTAAACATATTTTTAGAGGGATTTTCGTGGATTTTTCAACATATTTTTAGAGTCATCTTCAGACCAATATTCGTGGATTTTTTAAACATATTTTTAGAAGCATCTTCAGACCAATATTCGTGGATTTTTTAAACATATTTTTAGAGGCATCTTCAGACCAATATTCGTGGATTTTTTAAACATATTTTTAGAGGCATCCTCAGACCAATATTCGTGGATTTTTTAAACATATTTTTAGAGGCATCTTCAGACCAATATTCGTGGATTTTTTCAACATATTTTTAGAGGCATCTTCAGACCAATATTCGTGGATTTTTTAAACATATTTTTAGAGGCATCTTCAGACCAATATTCGTGGATTTTTTAAACATATTTTTAGAGGCATCTTCAGACCAATATTCGTGGATTTTTTAAACATATTTTTAGAGGCATCTTCAGACCAATATTCGTGGATTTTTTAAACATATTTTTAGAGGCATCTTCAGACCAATATTCGTGGATTTTTTAAACATATTTTTAGAGGCATCTTCAGACCAATATTCGTGGATTTTTTAAACATATTTTTAGAGGCATCTTCAGACCAATATTCGTGGATTTTTTAAACATATTTTTAGAGGCATCTTCTGACCAATCGTGGATTTTTTAAACATATTTTTAGAGGCATCTTCAGACCAATATTCGTGGATTTTTTAAACATATTTTTAGAGGGACCTTCAGAGTCACAGACGGGGATTTTTTAAACATATTTTTAGAAGGTCCTTGTCACTACCATATTTATACATCTTCTTCAAAAAAAAACCCGATTTTATAGACCGAAAGATCTTCTGAAAATCTCGCAAAAATCGAAATTCCCTAACTACCAAACCACTGTACCCACTGCGCGATATGAATGTATCGTATCTTTGCGTACATTTTTTTTATCTGCTCTGCACACTCGGCGTAATGTATGAAGAGGATTCGGATTCGAAATCGTTGAATGAGTACACCGCTGCCGAGAACGCCAGTGAGTGAGTAGACAACAAACAATCAACATTCTCGGTCAGTAGAGCTTTTCCAAAAAAATTTCATCATCATCAACATCACCATCTTTTGCTGCGGCAACAACCCAAACAGTAGTAGTACTTCAAAAGTTATCGACGTTGAAACGCTCGTTCGTCCGTTCGTTCGGTCATTCGTTCTTTGCGGTACTTGAAATACGGATAAACAGTTCGAGGAAAAGAAAAAAAAACAATCGCAAATTGAAAAAAAGAAACGTACGAAAGATAAAAAAACCACAAACCTTTTTTTATAAAATGTTCAAAATGGAAAATTTGCTAAAAGGACATGTTTTGCAAAAAAGAAAAAAATAAGAAATTAATTAAAAAATAATAACATTGTGTTAAAATAATGAGGAGAGCAGATCCTGATGGGACTTTGATTTCTTTTTTTTTTGTTTTTCAATTTTGCTTTACCAAACATTTATAACTCCATGTTTCACAAAGCAAAATTGAAAAAAAGGCACATCAATGTCCCATCCGGACCTCCGACAAATGAATATCCTGCTGATTTGCATTAGTGATTGAGCACCCCTGTTAAGATGTTTAAACTAAAATTCCATTTCTTTGGGGCAGTCTCATGGAATGCCAATACAATGTGGGTCGCCAACAATCAGCCATGGTGTCAACGGGGTTATCGCCGTCATCTTGACTTAATTTTATTCTTGTTCTACGTCGTTTTGAAAACTGTGACAAATATTGATTTAAATTTTTCACTGCTTATCACAGCTACCATTGACACCAACAACAGCAACACATGCGTTTTAAAGCGCAATTTTATGTATTTAACTTTTGGGTATACAGAGTAAACATTTTAAAAAATAACAAAAAATATCACTAGCTTTAAAAACGATTTGGTAAGGGGAGTGACACATGTCACCCAGGTACTAGAGGAGTCACTAATAAGTGAAAATTTTAAATTAACAACGATTCTGCTTCGGAAAAAACTCTCTAAACATTTTCCATCAAACCCTCGTACATTGGTCTGAAGGATCCCTCTGAATGTCCCTCTGAAAAATATGTTTAAACAATCCACGTTTATTGGTCTGAATGTCCCTCTGAAAAATATGTTTAAACAATCCACGTTTATTGGTCTGAATGTCCCTCTGAAAAATATGTTTAAACAATCCACGTTTATTGGTCTGAATGTCCCTCTGAAAAATATGTTTAAAAAATCCACGTTTATTGGTCTGAAAGTCCCTCTGGAAAATATGTTTAAAAAATCCACGTTTGGTGGTCTGAAAGTCCCTCTGAAAAATATGTTTAAAAAATCCATATGTTTAAAAAATCCACGTTTATTGGTCCGAAGGTCCCTCTAAAAATATTTTTAAAAAATCCACGTTTGGTGGTCTGAAAGTCCCTCTGAAAAATATGTTTAAAAAATCCACGTTTATTGGTCTGAATGTCCCTCTGAAAAATATGTTTAAACAATCCACGTTTATTGGTCTGAATGTCCCTCTGAAAAATATGTTTAAACAATCCACGTTTATTGGTCTGAATGTCCCTCTGAAAAATATGTTTAAACAATCCACGTTTATTGGTCTGAATGTCCCTCTGAAAAATATGTTTAAACAATCCACGTTTATTGGTCTGAATGTCCCTCTGAAAAATATGTTTAAACAATCCACGTTTATTGGTCTGAATGTCCCTCTGAAAAATATGTTTAAACAATCCACGTTTATTGGTCTGAATGTCCCTCTGAAAAATATGTTTAAACAATCCACGTTTATTGGTCTGAATGTCCCTCTGAAAAATATGTTTAAACAATCCACGTTTATTGGTCTGAATGTCCCTCTGAAAAATATGTTTAAACAATCCACGTTTATTGGTCTGAAAGTCCCTCTGGAAAATATGTTTAAAAAATCCACGTTTATTGGTCTGAAAGTCCCTCTGAAAAATATGTTTAAAAAATCCACGTTTTTTGGTCGGAAGATCTCTCTAAAAATTTATTTAAAAAATCCACGTTTTTTGGTCGGAAGGTCCCTCTAAAAATTTATTTAAAAAATCCACGTTTTGTGGTCTGAAGGTCCCTCTAAAAATTTCTTTAAAAAATCCACGTTTGGTGGTCTGAAGATGCCTCTAAAAATTTGTTTAAAAAATCCACGTTTGGTGGTGTGAAGATTCCTCTAAAAATTTGTTTAAAAAATCCACGTTTGATGGTCTGAAGATGCCTCTAAAAATTTGTTTAAAAAATCCACATTTATTGGTCTGAACATGCCTCTAAAAATTTGTTTAAAAAATCCACGTTTGGTGGTCTGAAGGTCCCTCTAAAAATTTATTTAAAAAATCCACGTTTATTGGTCTGAAGATCCCTCTAAAAATTTGTTTAAAAATCCACGTTTAGTCTGAAGGTCTCTCTAAAAATTTGTTTAAAAATCCACGTTTAGTCTGAAGGTCTCTCTAAAAATTTGTTTAAAAAATCCACGTTTATTGGTCTGAAGGTCCCTCTAAAAATTTGTTTAAAAATCCACGTTTATTGGTCTGAAGGTCCCTCCAAAAATTTGTTTAAAAATCCACGTTTCTTAGTCTGAAGGTCCCTCCAAAAATTTGTTTAAAAAATCCACGTTTATTGGTCTGAAGGTCTCTCTAAAAATTTGTTTAAAAATCCACGTTTATTGGTCTGAAGGTCTCTCTAAAAATTTGTTTAAAAATCCACGAATATTGGTCTGAAGGTCTCTCTAAAAATTTGTTTAAAAATCCACGAATATTGGTCTGAAGGTCCCTCCCAAAATTTGTTTAAAAAATCCACGCTTATTGGTCTGAAGATGCCTCTAAAAATTTGTTTAAAAAATCCACGTTTATTGGTCTGAAGGTACCTCTAAAAATTTGTTTAAAAAATCCACGTTTATTGGTCTGAAGATGCCTCTAAAAATTTGTTTAAAAAATCGACGTTTATGGGTCTGAAGGTCCCTCTAAAATTTGTTTAAAAAATCCACGTTTATTGGTCTGAAGGTCCCTCTAAAAATTTGTTTAAAAATCCACGTTTATTGGTCTGAAGGTCCCACTAAAAATTTGTTTAAAAAATCCACTTTTATTGGTCTGAAGGTCTCTCTAAAAATTTGTTTAAAAAATCCACCTTTATTAGTCTGAAGGTCCCTCTAAAAAATATGTTTAAAAAATCCATGTTTGGTGTCTTAAGGTCCCTCTAAAAATTTGTGTAAAAAAATCAACGTTTATTGAAGGTCGCTCTAAAAATATGTTTTGAAAAATCCACGTTTGGTGGTCTGAAGGTGCCTCTGAAATATGTATAAAAAAACACGTTTATTGGGCTGAAGGTCCCTCTAAAAATCCACGTTTATTGGTCTGAAGATGCCTCTAAAAATTTGTTTAAAAAATTCACGTTTGTTGGTCTGAAGGTCCCTCTAAAAATCCACGTTTATTGGTCTGAAGATGCCTCTAAAAATTTGTTTAAAAAATCCACGTTTATTGGTCTGAAGGTCCCTCTAAAAATATGTTTACAAAATCCATGTTTGGTGGTCTGAAGGTTCCTCTAAAAATATGTTTCAGAAATCCACGTTTATTCGTCTGAAGGTCCCTCCAAAAAAATTGTTTAAAAAATCTACGTTTATTGGTCTGAAAGTTCCTCTAAAAATATGTTTAAAAAATCCGCGTTTAGTAGTCTGAAGGTCCCTCTAAAAATCTGTTTAAAAAATCCAAGCTTACTGGTCTGAAGGTCCCACTAAAAATATGTGTAAAAAATCCACTTTTATTGGTCGGAAGGTTCCTCTAACTATATTTTTAAAAATCCAGGTTTATTAAACTGAAATTTCTTTAAAAAATCTACGTTTATTGGTCTGAAGGTCCCTCTAAAAATTTGTTTAAAAAATCCACGTTTATTGCTCAGGAGGTCCCTCTAAAAATATCTTTAGGAAATCCACGTTTATGGGTCTGAAGGTCCCTCTACAAATATGTTTTGAAAATCCACGCTTGTAACTCTGAAGGTCCCTCTAAAAATTGTCCATAGAATAGTTCCTTGCCCCCAAGGGCATACTTTTAAGCTCTGGGGCAATAGAGAAACTTTAGAAAATGTGTAACAGATTTTTGCTGTTGTTATTGTTGTTGTTTTTGCCAAATGTTATGGTTGATTGCATCCCCCTTTCGAACAAATTTCGATTTTAAATAAATTGGCAAGCCTGATTGACTGTTGAATTGAAATTATTACTTGTCTGCGTTTCGAACTGAACATAGAATTTTTATGGAGATAGTCATCGGTGTTGTTGTGGTTGTTGTTACTGATGTTGTTGTTGTAGTTATTCTCATTTCAAACAACGCTGAGTTTGTTTACATTTTTTTTTGTTTTGCTGGCTCTTAGTGCACATTGGCATTGTTTGATGATGACACAACAGCCAATACCCACCCACTCGCACGCTCACTCACCCATTCAATCTCACAGATATATGCTCAGATCTTAAGACCGGCTTGAAAAGAGTAAACAAATAGAGACCATATGGATATGGGTGACTCCATGGGAAATTGGGGGATACGAGCCAGATTATGGATATATATAATCTGAGCAATCTTCCTTTTCCCTCAAGTACCTTATAATGGCTCACACTTCACACTTTATTACTCTAATATTAGGAGTCTAATCTCTGCGAAAAAAAATCGCCCCAATTAACAAACATTAGCTAATTTGAAAAATAAACCCCAATTAAGTTTTTCTTTTTATTGTTGTCCCTCTGCCATTGCGTGTTCTGGAGCAATATGGTTACACTACAATTTACCTCCATTGACTGTCATCGTAAAATACGCAACAGAAATCGCCAACAAAATAATAGGTGTTTAGACAGAACACCAAAAAAAAGGTTAAATTATAATTTTCGTGTTTTGTGTTTATGATATGGACTCAATGATGCCAATGGCCAATGGCTGGCTGACAGACTAGCCAATGGAGCGCTTGAATAGCCCCAAACGGCGCTGAAATTAAATGTTTATTTATTTAATTGCATTTCAATTGAACGGTAACATTTGTTTGGAATCAAACAAATATTCAATAACCATTAATATTTTTTCTCTGTCGAGATGTGTGTTTGTGTGTGTCTGTGTTTCGATATTTTTATGATTTAAACAAATGTACACAATTTAAATGAGGTCTTGTACACCAGGAGAATTATGAACGGAAATGAGAAAAATATTTTTTCAAAAAATCACGTTTATATAAATGAATGTCCCTCCAATCATAATGTCCCTCCAATAATATATTTTAATATTTCACATTCATTGGTCTGAAAGTCCTCCCAAAATATTTAAAAAAATCAAGGTCCCTGAAAGTCCATTTAAAATAATATTCTTCAAAAATCCATTTTTTTAAATCAATGTTTATTGGTCTCTTAGTTCTTGAAAAAATATTCTCTGTTGGCTCTTGAAAAAATATCCAAGCCTTGTGTTCTTATAGTCCTTGAAAAAAAAAAAAAAAACAGTTTTTCAAACCGAAAATAATATATTGGAAGTATATCCTAATCTGAATCGATTTCTATTAAATTCAACGGAGGCATTTGTGTCTCTCGACTTTGAGAACGCTTATACTAAGAAAATATATTTTTCGGAGTCTTTGCTATATCCTTACCAATTTTCATCAAAATTCATCCTTTATGAGCTGATTTTTTACACTTTAGGTGTAAAATACACGTGAAATCATATTAAGATATATATTGGAGCCTTATATCCACATCTGAACCGATTACGATAACATTTAGCAGGTATTTCTGAGCTGTATCTGATAACTGGCACCAAATATCGTCGTTATGGAGTGCATTTTGCGGTTGTGAGGGACTTAAATGTTAAATCGGAGGAAAAATATTTATCGGAGCTAAATCTATATCTGAATCGATTTCCACCAAATTCGACACACCAAATTTGATTTCAGGTGAAATTCGGTCGTATGTGCCAACATCTATTCAATTTAGGTTATTTTAAAAAATTGGTGCATAATCAACTTGATATCTGATAAAGATATATGGCTATTTCTGAGCTGTATTTGATATATTTTCTAATATATAAAATTTTGGAATGTATTCTTGAAAAATTCAAGTTTTTTGGTCTGAATATACTAATAAAAAGAATTACACGTTTGTTGGTCTAAAGTTCCATCTAAAAAAAAATTTTTTTTAGAAAAATCTACGTTTTTTATGGTTTGGAAGATCTTTACACTTTTTTTAAATCCACTTTGATGGACCATTGAAAAAAAAATAAAAATCCACGTTTTTAAGACCTTTGAAAATTTTTTTGAGAAATCCAAGTTTGATGGTTAAAAATACACGTTTTTATGGCCTGGAAGACTTTTGAAAACATTTTTAAAGAATTCGGTTTAATGGGACATTGAATTTTTTTTAAATCCAATTTTTTATGGGCTGGAAGACTTTTGAAAAAAAAAATAAAAAAACGAAAATAAAAAATCAATTTTGATGGACCATTGAAAAATATTTAAAAATTTCACTTTTTTATAGTCTGGAAAACCTTTGAGAAAAAATTAAAAAATCGATGTTTAAAGGCCTGCAGCAACTTTAAGAAAATTTTTAAAAAATCCACTTTGAAAATTTTTAAAAAATCCACTTTGAAACAATTTTTTAGTCCACTTTTTTACTTAAAAAAAAAAAGAAAATAAAAATCATAGTTTGATGGATTTTAAGACCTTTTAAAAAATATAAAAAAAATCAAATTTGAAAATAAATAAAAAATCCACGTTATTATGGTCTAAAAAACCTTTGAATTTTTTTTAATCCACATTTGATGTTCTGGAAGACCTTTGAAAAAAAAGTTTACAAAAATACGTTTGATGGTGCGAAAGACCTTTGAGAAAAAAATAATAAATAAACAATTTTGATGATGTGCAAAACCTTTGAAAAAAATTACAAAAAATCCACGTTTTTAATTTTTTTTAAACTCCACTTTGATGGACCTTTGAAAATATTTAAAAAAAATCCACGTCTGATGGTGTTTTTAAAAATGCCACGTTTGCAGGCCTGACCTTTGAAGACCTTTGAAATTATTTTAAAAAAATCCAGGTTTGATGGTGTTTTTTAAAAAGCCACGTTTGATGGTCTGACCTTTGAAGACCTTTGAAAATATTTTTTAAAAAACACCATCAAACGTGGGTGTTTTTTAAAAAGCCACGTTTGATGGTCTGACCTTTGAAAATATTTTTAAAAAAAGCTACGTTTGATGGTCTGACCTTTGAAGACCTTTGAAAATATTTTTTAAAAAAGCCACGTTTGATGGTCTGACCTTTGAAAATATTTTTTAAAAAAGCCACGTTTGATGGTGTGAAAGACGTTTGAAATTATTCCTAAAAAAATCAATGTTTATTGGTCGGAAGATCTCTCTAAAAAGTTGGTTAAAAATTCCACGTTTAATGGTTTGCAAGACTTTGAAACATATTTTTCACGTTTTTTGGTCGGAAGGTCTCTTTAACAATTTGTTTAAAAATCCACGTTTCTTAGTCGGAAGGTCTCTTTGAAAAGTTGTTCAAAAATCCACGTTTCATGGTCGGAAGGTCTCTCTAAAATGTTGTTCAAAAAACAACGTTTATTTGTCGAAATGTCTTTCTAAAAATTTGTTTAAAAAATACACGTTTATTTGCAAGAAGGTCTCTCTAAAGATTTGTTTAAAAGTCCACGTTTATTTGTCGAAATGTCACTCTAAAAATTTGTTTAAAACTTGCACGCTTCTTGGTCGGAAGGTCACTCTAAAAATTTGTTTAAAAATCCACGTTTATTTGTTGGTAAGTCTCTCTATTTTTTTTTAAATCCACGTTTATTGGTCGGAAGATCTCTCTAAAAATTTGTTTCAAAAAATCAACGTTTATTAGTCGGAAGATCTCTCTAAAAATTTGTTTAAAAAATCCACCTTTATTGGTCGGAAAGTCTCTCTAAAAATTTGTTTCAAAAAATCAACGTTTACTAGTCGGAAGATTTTATAAAATCCACGTTTATTGGTCGGAAGGTCTCTCTAAAAATTTGTTTAAAAAATACACGTTTATTGGTCTGAAGGATCCTCAAAAAATATTTTTAAAAATTCACGTTTATTGTTAAAAAAATATGTTGAAAACTGTGTTTATTGGTCTGCTTGGTCTTCAGAAAATATTCTTAAAAAAATATTTGTTTGGTCTTTTGCCCCTTGAAAGAATATTCTTAAGAAATCCCAGATTTTTGGTGGGAAGGTTCCTCCAAGAAAATTTGATCCTTGATTTTTTTTTAAAACCAAACATAGAGGTCTGCTTGTTCTTGAAAATATATTCTTAAAAAATCTATTTGTTTGGTCTTTTGGTTAATCTAATGGTTTCTTTAAACATATTGTCAAAAATTTATAATTTTGAAAAAGTGTAGATTTTTCAGAAATCTTAAAGTGAGTCAATCTAAATTGCATCCGTAAACGAACTCTCCAAAAAGTCATCAAAATGACAAAAGTCGAATTATATAAATCGCGGGTATTCGTTACCATTATTCATCTCTTGGCTCTCGGCCAATTTGTGTATGCCCTGTATTTTCATAAATTTGAAACGCAACGGAGTTATAAATCAAAGCCAACGGAGGTGCAAAAAATGGTACCCGATACCATGGAGAAGAAACTGCAGTATTTGACCTATTGGAATTTGGTAAGTGAAATTGAATTTTACAAATATTTCGATTTTGTTTTATAAATTAATCTCCTACGTAAAAAAAGAATACTCCGTCGTAGCTTAACTTCCTGAAAAATGTGTTTCCTTTCACACATTTTTCAACGTTGAATTTCCTTGAAAGAAAAACAATAAAAACGCGCCATACGCCATTGTCATTTCAATAACCACAAAATAAAACAACAAATTCAACGGTCATCAAACTTTTCAATGATGTTTCGCACATGTTGTTGGACAAAAAAATTGTTTGGCTGATAATAAATGAAATACAAAAGTAGAGAAATGCGTTTTCGATTGGAAACGATTAATGAAGTATACTATATAAATTTTCCGGACATACAACAAGAAGGGTAGAAGAGAAGTAAGGAAGGAACAGAGAATACTAAAAAATAATCTTTGCTGAGGTCCTCGACACATAGAACACCATTTTGATGTTTTTTTAACAATCTTCTATATAGAGAGTTTCCTGGTGACTCTCTACAAAAAAGAAGTCCTTTCATATTTACGAAGTTTCCAAAAAATCCTTTTTAGAGATCTTCTATGCCTCAGAGTTCCTTTCATTATATCAGATGGCAATCTTGACTGTTTGAGGGTCGTCTATACAAGGTGAGATAAAAAAAACTGCAACAAAGTCAAACGCCATAATTTTTACATTTTTTTTAAAATTTTATTGAATGATTTTAAATGATTTTGGTGGCCATTGTGCGTTGGAAATGAAGCCAGGAACCTCATTTTGTAACCATTCTTGGGCGGTGCATGCTGAGTGCACCATGAGTAGTGTTGGAATGTCCAAGGTCTGCGGCCAAAATGTTTGCATGCCCAAGGCTTTAATACACCCTCCAGAATACTTTCGCGATAATATTCGTCTTTTATTCTGATGCCACGGTCGATTAATACGAGCGGAGAGCGACCATCGGCTGTTATGGCGCCCCACACCTGTGGTATTTTGGCCCATTCCCGGTGAAACGCTTGCTTGAGGTGATGGACACTTTGGTATTTTTTTAGTGCCAACCTTGCTTTCCAAAATACTCCAGACACAATAGTCCAACGGATTGGTATCCAGAGATTTTGGTGGACATTGTGCGCTGAAAATGAAGCGAGGAACCTCATTTTGTAACCATTCTTGGGCGGTGCGTGCTGAGTCCTGTTGGAATGCACAGGGTCCGCGGACAAAATGTTTGCGTCCCCAAGGCTTTAATACACCCACCAGAATATTTTCGCGATAATATTCGGCATTTATTCTGATGCCACGGTCGATTAATACGAGCGTAGAGCGAACATCGGCTGTTATGGCAGCCCACACCATCACCATGGTCGGCACTTGAGTTCTGGTGGCCAACCGAAGGTGCACATTTTCAGCTGACCTCTTTGGCAAGCGCCGATCACAATATCATTTTGTTTGTTTACAAACTGCTGAACAGCGAATGTTTTCTCATCGGAAAAAAACAAATTCGTCAGTTTACCACTTTCGGAAAAGCGCAGCACTCTTCAGCTCTTTTGAGTCTATTTTCTTTTTGTTGCGGTGTAAGTTCTTGCACTTTTGGAATTTCTATGGCTTTACCCCGAGCTCATTTTTCAATATGTCCCGAATGGAATATTACGATATGTTCATTTCACGAGCTATTTTTCGGTCACTGCGACGCGGGTTTCGATCAAGTCGCTTTACTTTACTTTTCGAACCATTTCTGCTGATGTTGCTGTTTTCTTCCGTCCACTTCCTTGACGTCGGTCGGACTACGTTACCAGTATCACGCTACCAGTAACGAGCGATGGTACGAGACACAAAAGATTTATATACATTTAAGTGCTGAAGTGATCTAACGATAGCCACTTACGGTTTTCCAGCCAAATATAAAGAAATCACACCATCACGCTTGAATTCCATCACGAATAACTTTTTTTCTGGAAAATTCTCATCTAAATGCTTTTGTACGCTTGCAAACAATAAAATGAGCTGTCACTGGAATAATTTTAATAACTTTGGGACGAGTGGCTTAGAAATGACAGCATTCTGAAGTTGGTTGCAGTTTTTTCATCCCTCCCTGTAGAACACTATTTTAACGTTTTTTTATACCCTCCACCTTGAAAAGGAGGGTATATTAAATTTGTCATTCCGTTTGTAACATCCCTAAATATTCGTCGTAGACTCAATAAAGTATATACATATATATATATTCATAATCAGCATAAAATTCGAAGTCGATTTAACGATGTCCGTCCGTCTGTCTGTCTGTCTATTGAAATCACGATACAGGCCACATTATATGACGTAGAGCGTCAAAATTTAGCAGAATAATTTGTATTGGGTCTAGGATGGTTGGTATTGAAAATGAGATATATCGGTCCCCATATAACGGTACCTCCCCATATTCGGTATTTTGATGTTTTTTGTCACACTTTTTCACGGATTTTTCTAAAATTTGGCATTTGTTGGTCATAATGGGTTCTATCCTCGGTGGCGAAACATTGCATGTATAGGTCCACGTTTTGGTATAGCCCCAATATAATGGTACCTTTGTAGAGATATTTTATACCTCGAAGTTCTTTTCATTATATCATGTTCAAAAGTTCTCCATATTTTAAAGGCCTCTCTGATCTTCTCCTCTATACATTTTATTATCAACTAAAGTCGTAATTGAACTTTGTTCAATATACTATATACGATCTCATTAATATATATGTATATCTGCACATGTAAATATTTATGAATTCAGATCATACACCACCTCCTCAAGGCAATTACTTTATGCCTCGACTTTGATTACCAACTTAAAAAACACAAAAATCTTCATGGACGAACGAAAAAGAAATCTCATAAAAAGTTTCAGAACAAATTTGCAATGGAAATCCATAAAAATGTAATGACCTGCATTTGTCAGGAAATTATTAACAAAAAACACAGCAAAAAATCTTTATTAATAACAACAATAACAACAGCAACTACAACACTAATTAAGCACATTTATTTAATTGATGGTGAAAATAAAAAACGAAAAAAGAAACAATAACAAGAGAAAAGTAATAAACATTTTTCCGAAAGAAGCATTGACCCATATCTCTTGAAATGCGAACGATGAACGAAAGAGTGAAAAGTAAATAAAATATCAGAGCCTACCACATGAATGCCGTCCGAAATGGAAATTATTACTATAATCAAAATGTATGTGTAGGTATTATTGCCAAAAAATATAAGTACGGTGCAGTCCCTTGCCTTTAAGATTTGAAGGTAAACAAATAAAATAGTATCAGTCGATCAGATGTATAGTCCTCGCCTTGAGTTGTGATTATTCAAACTGTTGACCCTTTATGGGAGAGGCTCCGAAGCAGTTGGCCAATATTGACCAATTCGTATCTGACCTAAGACTGATATACAGGGTGATATAAAAAACTGCAACCAACTTCAGATTGCTTTCATTTCTAAGCCACTCGTCCGACAGCTGCTAATATTATTCCAGTGACAGCTCACTATATTGTTCACAAGCGTTCAAAAGCATTTTGGTGAGAATTTTCCAAAACAAAAAGTTATTCGTAATGATGATGGAATTCAAGCCAAAATATAAAGAAATCACACTATCACGCTTGAATTCCATCACGAACAACTTTTTTTGTTAGAAATTCTCACCAAAATGCTTTTGAACGCTTGTAAACAATATAATGAGCTGTTACTGGAATAATTTGAACAGCTGTCGGACGACTGTCAAAATGACAGCAGTCTGAATTTGGTTGCAGTTTTTTCATCACATCCTATAGATTTTTAAAAATATTTTTAAGGGGATTCCTGGCCAAGAATCGCGAATTTTTTAAAAATACTTTTCAATGAGTTTCTGGTCAAGGGTGGGCATTTTTTAAAAATATTTTGCAAGGAGTTCCTCGTTTTTTAAAGACCTTGGACAGCAGATAGCGGATTTTTTTAAAACATATTTTTTAAGGACTTCTTATCAAAGTATCGTGGAGTTATAAAACTATTTTTGAGAACTTCCTGTCCATGAATCGTGGCTTCCTTTAGCAATGTTGTTCTTTATATTTGGCTGGAAAACTTCAAGTGGCGATCGTTATAGCACTCCAGCATTTCAATGTGAATACATCTTTTGTGTCTCGTAACATCGCTCGTTACCGTGATATTGGTGGCGTAGCCCGACGTCAAGGAAGTGGACGGAAGAAAACAGCAACATCAGCAGAAATGTGTTTGTTTTGAATGGTTTGAAAAGTAAAGAAGCGACTTGATCGAAACCAGCGTCGCAGTGGCCGAAAAATGGCTCGCGAGCTGAACATATCGCAATATTCCATTTGGCAAATATTAAAAAATGAGCTCGGGTTAAAGCCATTGAAATTCCAAAAAGTGCAAGAACTTACACCGCTACAGAAAGAAAATAGAATCAAAAGAGCTAAAGGGCTGCTTCGTTTGGCCGAAAGTGGTGAGCTGCCGAATTTGGTTTTCTCCGATGAGAAAACATTTGTTGTCCAGCAGTTTGTAAACAAACAAAATTATCGTGTGATCGGCGCTTGCCAAAGAGGATCTGCAGAAAATGTGCACCTTCGGTTGGCCACAGAACTCAAGCGCCGGCCATGGTGATGATGTGGACCGCCATAACAGCCGATGGTCGCTCTTCGCTTGTATTGATCTACCGTGGCCTAAGAATAAATGCCGAATATTATCGCGAAAATATTCTGGAGGGTGTATTAGAGCCTTGGGTATGCAAACATTTTGGCCGCAGACCTTGGACATTCTAACAGGACTCATCACCATCGCACTCAGAAAGCGCCACCCAAGAATGGTTACAAAATGAGGTTCCTCGCTTCATTTCCAGCCCACAATGGCCACCCGATACCAGACTATTGAGTCTGGAGTATTTTGGAAAGCAAGGTTGGCACTAAAAAATACCAAAGTGTCGATCACCTTAAGCAAGCGCTTCGCCGGAAATGGGCCAAAATACCGCAGAGCAATATTCGTGTGACGGTTTCATTGGCCGTCTGAAGGTCATAATTCGTGCCAAACGTGACCAATTCGAACAAACTTAAACTTATTCTAAAATTTGAAGCTATTTCCGATTTGTTTTTGCTTTCATTCAATAAAATTTAAAAAAAAAATTAAAATTATGGCGTTAGACTTTGTTGCAGTTGTTTTATCTCACTCTGTATATGGTGAGTAACAACCATAAAATCGTATGAAGATGTGTATCGAAGCTATATAAAAATCTGAACCGATCTCTATAAAATTTGGCAAAGGTATTTTCGAGCATTATCTGACACCCGGTGTCAAATATCATTGTTGCCCATTTGGGATGATTTAGACATTTGGTTCACATTAAACTGGGATAATATAATTATATGTATATATGGGAACTATATCCTAATCTGATCCGATCTCGATAAAATTTGGCAAAGCTATTTTTGAGCTCCTTATCTGGTACAAAATATCATTCTTGTGGAGTACATATTACGAGTGTAAGGGTCTTTAAACCCCAAATCGCTTGAAAAATATTTATGGGAGCTATAGCTATATGTGAACCGATTTCCACCAAATTTGATGTACTTGCTTTTACGCTAAATTCGGTCGAATGTACCAAAATTCAGGTCATTTGGACTGATATTGGCTATTTGGTGCACAATAAACCCGAAATCGGGTGAAGATTTTTATATGGGAGCTATATCTAAATTTGAACCGACTCTCACCAATTTCAATAGGGTTCGTCCTTGAGCAAAACAAATTGGAAAATTTCATCTCAGTCGGATAATAAATGCGACCTGCATTATGTTCACAAAAATACATGGACTGACGGACGGACAGACGTACTGACATACATAAATCGACTCAGAGAGTGATTCTATGAATATCTCCAAAAGTAACTATGGGTCTATCTCGCTTCCTTCTGGATGTTACAATCAAATGCACAAAGACATAATACCCTTACCACTACATATGCGGTGTAGGGTATAAAAATACGCGATAAAATGTACCCCAAGTAGAAGGGAAGGAAGAAACAGATAATAAAAACAAACCAGACGCCCCCTAATTAAATCACAGAGGTCTTCATTTAAATCGCCCAGCCACCACTTCAAACATTTCGATGGCTCAGTCGAGTTATTGAAACGCCAGCGAACAAAACACAAACAACGATGCTGGAATTTTTACGCCCAGCAATTTGGCTGCAGCTACTGCTTCATATATCCAACACCATGGCGACAAAATGGCTTGTGGATAGTCCAGGTTTTGATAATCCTGCTGCGTGGTTGGATGAACATTTGCCTTGCAGTCGGGAGCAAGTCATTTTTCCCGAGACATATCAAGCCCTATTACCCCTACCCAGCCATGTGGATGTGGGAGGATTTGTTTTACCCAAAGATGGTGCTATTTTTCTGCCCAGGGAATCAACAATTACCCTGGAGGGTAATGCCAACGAAAGGGAGTGTGATAAGGGTAAGGCTTTCCTAAAAGAGCCGAAGATACGAAAATGGTTTGATCCCAAGACTTGGAGATCCTCGAATGATTTCGCTGCCAACAAAGCCATACCCGATATGGAAAGGGTGCCGTGCAACAATGAATCGGTGGTGATACAAGCTAATGGTCCGGTGGCCTTGGATTTGGAAAATATTGAATATTTGAGAATGGGACAAATGAGTTTTGCTGGATCGCTGCTGTCGCGGGATTACCTAAGGCAGTTACTTTACAATGATTTGGGTCAGTTCCTGTTTAAAAATCAGGCTGGAGTTATGGTGGAATTCTATCATCATGATGTGTGTGGCTGCCACAAGGATTTCAATAATTTCGGTGAACCCATATGCCACAACATTGTGGAGTCCTGTGAACGACCCCATTGTCTGGTACCCGTCATGCCCTATGGCAGCTGTTGTGCAATTTGTGGTGCGGTCATAAAATTCCAGGTGGAGTTTTGTGAAGATGGCCGTTTACATATCTTGGAAGATATCCTAAAGTGGGCAGTGCGAGACCAAGACATGCAGGATGATTTGGATTACTATGTCAATTATGTTAATTCCCAGAATTATGGTAACTATTTGCAGGCTGTTATTGTTGATCGGGATGGTTACAAGGAGAAGAGCATTAAATTTTTAAGCAAGCTAAATGAGACGCTAGACTGGAGAGCCAAGCTGAAATTGGACAAGCAGCATATCTTTGGCATTGAATATTCTGGGCGGCCCTATAATCCCAATGTCACCTTTGGTTCGATTTTATTAATTCTGCTGTGTCTGATGTTTGTCTCTGTTGTGGCTTTGGTCATCTTTGCCCATTACCAACCCGACAATCATTATCTCCATTATGTCCCCCGATGGGTGTATGATCCAAATCGTTGGCGTTCATTATTCCAAAGACGTGATGCCGTCTTTGCTCGTTTTGATAATGCCCGGGCCAGTGTAATGACCACCGCAGATGTGGGTGGAAGATCAGCAGCGGAGGGTTTCCGCATGGGCTATGATGCTGAAAGTGGTGATGTTCGTAGCAAGAGAGCATTTGATAATCCTCTTTTTGACGAGAAACCCACAACTTCGAAGGAGAGAGGGGGTGCTGGTAAGGAGGGAGGGGAGGAATTGAAGGATCCACCCCAATTGGTAATGGAAAGTGTTGATATGACCGATACCACTCTCAATGCCAACGTTGATGACGATGACAATGAAGATGAACAGGAGTTGACGGAAATTAAATTGGAGACAACATCTTCATCATCGGATGATGAGGACGAGAGCAAGGAACAGGAAACAAAGGAATAATTATTTAACCAAAACATATATTTGAATATTTTACTGTAAAACCAAAATTTGTGGATTTGAAAAATATTAAATAAATAAAAATAATTTTAGGAAGTAAAAAAATATTCTTAAACATCTAGGATAACTTGTCTTTTAGTCCTTGAAATACAATATCCTTACACGCACGATACACGCTTTTTGGTCTTTATTTCCAACAATATCCAAACTTATTGGTCTGATGGAGCTTGAAACAAATTCTGTGGGTCTCTGAAAACTATTCTTAACCAATCCACGCTTAATAATCTGATGGTCCTTGCAAAAATATTGTTAAAAAAAAGGCAATTCTAGTGACCTGTTTGTCCTTGACCCTAAATATTCGTTAAAAATGTCACATTCAATGTTCTGATAGTCCTTTAAAAATATTTTTAAAAAAAAAAGTTCACGTTTATTGAAATATCAAACGACACGACAAACTTAATATATATCCTCCCTTACATGGTACAGAATATAACAACAATTTCATAGTCTTAATTTTAATATTCTAGTTCATTCATAGTTAAGTAAACAAATAATTATCACTCACCCACCACCATCACCACCACCCTATGACCTTCGCTTCAATTTTGTTAACCTTTGTAATGTGAAAAGAATCCAATATCCTTAACAAGTAAATTGCTATGCATGCATTAACATGTTTATTTATAGAGTAATAATAGCTTTCCGTTTTTATTCCTTACTCTTTTTGGGGGGAATTTTACGTGTGGAAAACAATTTCAAATGAAATTGATAAATAAATAGTGCAGAGACAAATAAAAAATGTATGAATGATACAACAATGTCAATTCGTATTATTATCGAAAATTGAGTTTCGAAAATATAGTACGGAATGTGGTAAAGCGAAAAATGAAACTTAAATGTCTTCATCGACTTTAATTTCCCAAAGCGTTTCCCTTAAAAGCTCATAGAAGATCTTCTCACAGAAATCCAGAAGGTCTTCTCATAGAAGGCCAAAAGGTATTCTGATGGAAGAGCAGCTTGTCTGCACATAGGACGCCAGAAGGCCTTCTCATAGAAGGCGTGAAGGTTTTCTCATAGAAGGCCAGAGGGTCTTCTCGTAAAAGGCGAAAAAATCTTCCCATAGAAGGCCAGAAGGTCTTCGCATAATAGGCCGGAAGGTCTCCGTATAGAAGGCCAGAAGATCTTCGCGTAGAAGGCGGGAAGGTCTTCTCACAGAAAGCGAGAAGATATTCTCATAGAAGGCCAGTAGGTCTTCTCATAGAAGGCCAGAAGGTCTTCTCATAGAAGGTCAGAAGGTCTTCGCATAGAAGGCGGGAAGGTCTTCTCACAGAAGTCGAGAAGGTCTTCTCACAGAAGGCGAGAAGGTATTCTCATAGAAGGCGAGAAGGTCTTCTCACGGAAGGCGAGAAGGTCTTCTCACAGAAGGCGAGAAGGTCATTTCACAGAAGGCCATAGAAGGCCAGAAGGTCTTCTCATAGAAGGCCAGAAAGACTTCTCATAGAAGGCGAGAAGGCCTTCTTAAAGAAGACGAGAAGGTCTTCACATAGAAGGACGGTTGCTGTTCTCATAGAAGGCCAGAAAGTTTTATCATAGAAGGCCAGAAGATCCTCTCGTAGAGGGCCAGAAGGTCTTCTCATAGAAGGCCAGAAGGTCTTCCCGTAGAGGGCCAGAAGGTCTTCTCATAGAAGGCCAAAAGGTCTTCTCATAGAGGGCCAGAGAGTCTTCTCATAGAAGACGAGAAGGTCTTTACATAGAAGGCCAAAAGGAGGACTTCTCATAGAAGTCCAGAAGGTCTTCTCATAGAAGGTCAGAAGGTCTTCCCAAAGTATGCGAGAAGATCTTCTCATAGAAGGCGAGAAGATCTTCTCATAGAAGGCGAGAAGACCTTCTCATAGAAGACGAGAAGACCTTCTCATAGAAGGCGAGAAGACCTTCTCATAGAAGGCCAGAAAATCTTCGTATAGAAGGCCAGAAGATCTTCGCATAGAAGGTCAGAAGATCTTTGCATAGAAGGTCAGAAGATATTCGCATAGAAGGTCAGAAGATATTCGCATAGAAGGCGAGAAAGTCTTCTCGTAGGAGGCGAGAAGGTCTTCTCGTAGGAGGCGAGAAGGTCTTCTCGTAGGAGGCGAGAAGGTCTTCTCGTAGGAGGCGAGAAGGTCTTCTCGTAGGAGGCGAGAAGGTCTTCTCGTAGGAGGCGAGAAGGTCTTCGCATAGAAGGAAGTCTTCTCATTGATTGAAAATACCGAGTATCAGGAAGTACTGTTGTTCAAGGCATGTAGGTAAACGAGGTCCTCCATAGAAACTTTTCTGCCGATAGTGTTGTAGCCATTAAGAAAGTTAACACCCAAACTTCAAGCAATTCCATTAGAAAATGTGTCGTTAATCATCAAAATACTGATTATTAGGTGGTATGATTAAATGCAAGCTTTAGAAAGCATGTTGTTATAGGGGTAATTCGTAATACAAACTCATAATACCAAATTTCAAACAATTCCGTTAGAAAATGTAGCTAAAATTATTAAAATGCCGAATAAAAAACTAAAATCCCATGACGTGTGCTATATTGATAATATAATCTTTATAGTTTATCTCCATGATAATATACTGATAAGAAGCTAACATCATATATTTGTATTAAATTAACTGTACAATAATTATTTGCAAACTAAAAATAATCCAGTATTATTATCACTGGCCCACTTCCGTTTGAGCACAACTGAAAAAATCGCCAAAATTCAATTGCACGCAACACGCACAAATAACGCAACACGACAACCCTTATCAATTTTTGCATTTCTCTCTCACACACTCTCTCTCCCATTTATTTGCTTTTGTCGTCTGTCAAAGTTTGCTCTTTTTTTTGTGGTTCATTGTTGACATGCCAGACAATCAAAAGAATTGATTAGTTTTGAATTGGAAGTGTTTTAGTTGTGCGTCTGTCATTCCGGGCAGTTTGTTTTCGTTTCGTTTGCTGCGGATAAATTATTAAAAAAATCGAGACAGTTTAGACAAGAAAATCCATCGAAACATGGCAAAAAGTAAAGGAACTTCGGTTGCCGAAACGGCCTACCATGGAATTTACGGTACTCTACGTGTTTTGGTGCATCTGACGGCTGCCGTACAATTCAGCTATGCCGTCTATTACGATTACAAATATGTCCACTTCCCACAATCCGCCAACATTATGCACAATCCATTTGGTGGCAAATTTAAATATTTAACATTTTTAGATGCGGTAAGACAATTATCTGTTTTTTTTTTTTTTCGAAATTTTCCAAATAACATCGTTGCGTGTTGGAAAGTGGGGTGAAAGTTCATAAAGGTTTTGTCTTAATCTTATCTCATAGTGAATAGTGTTTGCGACAGTTCCGTGTGAGTGGTTATGTGTGTGTGTGTGTTGTTACATGAAAAAGGGGCGAAAGAAAGTGCCTCAAAGATTGTTATTAAACAAGAAGAAGATACAATGTCAGGGTTACCAATCTATATTACATTTAATACTACTATGGAGGGTATATTAAGTGGGTCATTCCATTTGTAGCAACTCCTCGAAAGAAACATTTTAGACGACACAAAGTGTGTATATTACTGATCGACATAAAATTATTTGTCGATTTAGCCACGTCTGTGGAAATCTCTCTAGCTTCTCAAATTTGTCTCATAAAAATTTTTGGTATTGAAAATGGGTCATTTCCCATATTACAGGGCTTAGAAACCGGTTGCATGCTACCTAAGGTCTCCTGGTCGATAATTTCCAGAAGACCTTGCTTTTCGTTTGGTGACACACGTTAAGGAAAACATCTCATAAGAAAAGCATTGATAAAGTTCAAAGATCCGCATCTCTATTGATCAGGTGCATTTCGGAGTACACCCCAAGCTGGAGGGTCCCGAACCTCCAAAATACCGAAAATCTGTAGGTACGGCTTAATGGGGATTATACCCAGGAGTTAATATAGAAACCAAAATGTCGAACTACCCCTGATTCGGCTAGAATTTAGAATCAAAATACCGAAAATCAGGAGGTACCATTATAAGGGGCGATACCTAAACATTGACCGATATATATTTAAATTTTTCTATAGCTAACACCCTTAGGACAAAGATCCGCATCTCTATTGATCAGGTGCATTTCGGAGTACACCCCAAGCTACACTAGATACCCTACCTAACATATAGCTCTTAAGTCTATTTGTAAAGATGCTCGCGGCCAGGTGCGCCCTGAGTCTCAGAGAACTTGAATAGTGGTGCAGCCATACCTTTGGACTTTTTCCGATTCTGGGACATGTGGCACAGGCGGAGACAAAACCAGTGATTAAATGTCCTGTAAAAATCTACTGATGGCGAAATCAGACTAAAAAATTGTGGTGGGAATAATCACAGGTTACTGCAACATATGGGCCATGACTTCTAAGTGGGTGGGACGACGACTCCGATTTTTCCGTGTTTGGAGAGATAAAAAAAACTATCAAAATTGTGGTATATTCCCTAAGTATTCGGTATTTTTCGAACGGAATTAAGAGTTTGCAATAGATGCTTCCTTTTGTTGCATGGTTCTATTCAGTTCTTGGAAATGATGTTTTGAATGTAAAATGTGCACATTGCACATACCAGAGAGGAGAAAATCTCAAACCCCGGCCCAAGGTTGGCTACTTAAAAAAGTATCAAATCTAGTAACACTTGTGAGATTTAGAAAATGCTAATTCCGTCTGAACCTGACTTTTTTGAACTGTACATTATCCTTGTTAATTTTGACAATTCGTTGGGTAGATTTAGTCCTCGAAACATATTCAATGAAGGTTTGTTGAAGGTTTTGGCGACCATTTTAAACTAAATTTGCTATTTAGGTTCACTTTTTGGTATAGTGTCCTGATATTTGGCACTTTAAAGGTTTCAATTCCATTTTGCTACTTGATATTTAGAGTTCACTGCGGGTAGATTAACTCATATTAAAAAAATATTCAATGTAGGCAAAGGACCCATATAACGGTACTTCCAAATTATAGGAATTTTAAGGATTTCCGTTTTGACCACAAAACGTGGTGGAGGCTATTAAACTTGGATTCAGCCGATCGTAACATCTTTTTAACTTGTTGTTATTGCATTTCATTTATTACACATGTCATTTAAGGCTATTGCGCCCATTAGTTAATTACTATAATAAACATGGGAACAATTATCTTTACTTTTAAAGCAACAAACAACTCCAACTATTGTAATCCGTAAATAAAAAAGTTTAAAAAAAACAGAGCTGTTAATACTGCGAACTGAATCAAACAAGCTATTAACAATCAGTAAGACAATGAGCGCGTGTTAGAATAATAGTTCAAACTACTCTGCATCTTCAAGTATGTAGCACAGTGGTTTCATAAAAATTGATTCAGTGATTCTTAAGGAAAAGTTAAGATCAAAGTTTAACTTTTGGGGACTATACCAAAAAGTGGACTTACATTGAATATTTTTTCGTAGAGTTAAACGGCCAACCGATAAGCCGAAATACTAAATTACTCTTGATTTGATTGGAAATGGGTCCCGAAGCTCCAAAATACCGAAAATCTGTAGGTACGGTTTAATTGGGATTATACCCAGGAGTTAATATAGAAACCAAAATGTCGAATTCGGCTAGAAATTAGAATCAAAATACCGAAAATCAGGAGGTACCATTATAAGGGGCGACATCTAAACATTGACCGATGTATATTTAATTTTCAATAGCTAACACCCTTAGGACAATATCAAAGCATGCGCATAATTTTAAAGTTATATAATAATGGTTTCAACAGACGAACAGAGTTGCATTATACATCGACATTGAATTGTACGCTGATCCATTACTACGTTTATGGGGTCTTCGATGAATATTTCTAATATACCCTCCATTTTACAATGGAGATTACAAAAATTTCCTTTACTCTCTATTTGATTTGAAAAATAAATCAGAATGATATTGATATCAATACACGTGTATTGTTATTGGATGAACTTTGTGTTTGTTGTCACGTATCCGATCATATAACGAGTCCATAACAAAGTCTATTTGATAAAGTGGCAAAACAATAAAGTGGCAAAACAAGATTCGCCCTTAAATTTCAACTACAACACAAAACGCATGTTCTTTTCAACAAACATTCAGACTTTTAACTGGAACAACTTTGGTCTAGTAAAAACTCTTCTATGTTTTCGAAATTTTTTCCAGAGTCCGAGTTTAAGACCCGGATCCACTTACCCTTCCACTTAAGTGGAAATACCTATCCAATAAGTAAGTTGTCACATGATGGGGTTATTTATAAGCGATTGGGACGTTATAGTCCAATTATTGGTTGAACATACCCAGAATTGTATATCTCTGGACCCGAAAAAGGTATTAGCACAAATTGTAGCATTTTGGAATGGTAAGAGTTTCAGCAATAATTTGGCATCAATTTTGTTGACCTCCATAATGGGCCATTTTTCAACCTTTTTTGTGAGTTTTATAAAAAATCCGGACTAGAAGAGAATATCTCTGGACCCGAAACAGGTATTAGCACAAATTGTAGCATTTTGGAAAATTAAGAGTGTTAGTGTTAAATTTGGCATCAATTTTGTTGACCCCCATAATTTGCCCGTTTTTCGACTTTTTGGGGGTTTTTATAATAATCGATAATTTGATAATAACTTCCGAATCGCTAATAAATAACTCCATTATGTGACCACTCGTTGGATAGGTAGGTGGATCCGCGTCTAGTCCGGGTTTTTAACCCGGACTTTCAGGTCAAAAATATGGGGTCCAGGTCCGTCTCCCAAGAAAAAAATAGTTTCCCGGAATCAGGGAAAAAATTCCTACCACTAGAAAATTTAAAAAAAATTGAAGATTTTTTACTGAACTAGAGTTAAGCCTTGGAACTTTACCCAAACTTAAAAAATTTTGAACATTTTTTTGGTTTATTCATCTACACAATATTGTCTTTCTCCTAAAATCTGCTTTATTTTCTGCCTTCTTTTCAGATCATTCAAGCTTTATATTATACCATTTCGTTGGTAAATGATTTCGTTGGCAGCAATGAGGTAATGCCCAAGAAAACACCATTGATTCGAAAAATTAAGGATTACATGATGACCACATTTGCTTTCCCCATTGCACTAAATGTTGGCATTACCTTCTGGGGTCTGTATGCTGTCGATCGTGAATTGGTCTTCCCACGGGTCTTGGATGCTGTATTCCCAAGGTATGTGCATGTTGTATTATGAATGGAAATTATTTTGGCTCATATTATTTCCCAGAACCTCTTCATAAATAACATTATTGATCATTTTTCTTTTCTACTTCTTTTTTTCCAGCTGGCTTAACCACATTATGCACACCAATATTGTTGTGTTCATTGTCTTGGAAATGTTTATCTCCTTCCGTTCTTATCCATCACGTTTCAAAGGTCTGGCCGGCTTATCGGCCTTTATGTTGGCCTACTTGGTGTGGTTGCATGTGATTAAGCACTATTCGGGCGTTTGGGTATATCCCGTCTTGGAAGTTCTACAATTGCCACAACGTATTGTATTCTTTATCGGTTCATTGGTATTTACATTGGGTCTCTATATGTTTGGCGAGGTATTGAACAATTTGGTCTGGTCGAAAGAACTTAAAATGGCTCAACGTAAACACAAGTAAATTTGTGGTGGAGTGTCAAAATAAAATCCAATAACACAACAAAACCAAATACCCTAACAACACTTCATTTCACTAACTTTTAGAATTACTTCTAATAACGATCTGATTACAAAAAAAGAAAAAGAAAACTGAGAATGAATAAATTAATTAAATACACGTAATATTGTTCTTATGATAATTCTAAACCAGATTTTTAAATGCTAATGTTTTTTTGTTGTTTTTGTGAAATAATATACATAAAGGCATGCTATAATTATCTCTATAAATATTTATATATATATTCCAAAGTATATAATTACAATAAGACAACACACACAAAAACAAAAAAAAAGAAACTTAACACAAAGAAGTAAAGCAAAATACTTGAACAATTAAAGATAATAATATTAACTAAATACTATTATAAAAGGTCAAGCAAAATGATACAAAAACCGAAATTTAAAAAATAAATATTTGTGAATGCCTTTAGTTCTAGAAGGCTTTTATATAGAAACATAGCATTTTATTCTTTAATTCTGTTCTCTTTCTGTTAACTTATTTAGTCAACTAGTATTTATTAATAATCATAATAAAAAAAAAAACAGGAAACCAACAAAACACAACACAACAAATTAAAAAGTGTAAAATTCAAATGATAGATGTAAAACACGTTTTAAACACATTTTTCTCAGTCTATCACAAATTTTGTCATATCAAGTGCACGAGTAAAAAAAGCTAGGAAAACAAAACAATTTGACAATTGATCACCAGAAAACATCATAAGTTAATAATACTACGAGGAAACCTATTAAAAAATATTTCAATGAAAAAATTAATAATAAAAAAAAACAAAATCACAATAGTATAACTCCCAGATGTTATTTTAAGGAGATTAAAGGTAGGTAGCAAGGTTTAATGTACATATTTGTAGACGAATTCATGGAAATATTGATGGAAATTAATTTGACTGTGTACAATTTTAGCTTGATTACATTTAAAATAGCGATAGAAACAGCTAAGTATCGAATGTTAAAGTGGGAGTATATAGAAGAATATATATCTAGCGAAGACTCGCTTCTTCGTAAAAGAACCAAGTACTTTATGTTGACCAAGTTCAAATTATTGCCTTCAAGTATGTAGCACAGTGGTTTCATAAAAATTGATTCAGTGATTCTTAAGGAAAAGTTAAGATCAAAGTTTAACTTTTGGGGACTATACCAAAAAGTGGACTTACATTGAATATTTTTTCGTAGAGTTAAACGGCCAACCGATAAGCCGAAATACTAAATTACTCTTGATTTGATTGGAAATGGGTCCCGAAGCTCCAAAATACCGAAAATCTGTAGGTACGGTTTAATTGGGATTATACCCAGGAGTTAATATAGAAACCAAAATGTCGAATTCGGCTAGAAATTAGAATCAAAATACCGAAAATCAGGAGGTACCATTATAAGGGGCGACATCTAAACATTGACCGATGTATATTTAATTTTCAATAGCTAACACCCTTAGGACAATATCAAAGCATGCGCATAATTTTAAAGTTATATAATAATGGTTTCAACAGACGAACAGAGTTGCATTATACATCGACATTGAATTGTACGCTGATCCATTACTACGTTTATGGGGTCTTCGATGAATATTTCTAATATACCCTCCATTTTACAATGGAGATTACAAAAATTTCCTTTACTCTCTATTTGATTTGAAAAATAAATCAGAATGATATTGATATCAATACACGTGTATTGTTATTGGATGAACTTTGTGTTTGTTGTCACGTATCCGATCATATAACGAGTCCATAACAAAGTCTATTTGATAAAGTGGCAAAACAATAAAGTGGCAAAACAAGATTCGCCCTTAAATTTCAACTACAACACAAAACGCATGTTCTTTTCAACAAACATTCAGACTTTTAACTGGAACAACTTTGGTCTAGTAAAAACTCTTCTATGTTTTCGAAATTTTTTCCAGAGTCCGAGTTTAAGACCCGGATCCACTTACCCTTCCACTTAAGTGGAAATACCTATCCAATAAGTAAGTTGTCACATGATGGGGTTATTTATAAGCGATTGGGACGTTATAGTCCAATTATTGGTTGAACATACCCAGAATTGTATATCTCTGGACCCGAAAAAGGTATTAGCACAAATTGTAGCATTTTGGAATGGTAAGAGTTTCAGCAATAATTTGGCATCAATTTTGTTGACCTCCATAATGGGCCATTTTTCAACCTTTTTTGTGAGTTTTATAAAAAATCCGGACTAGAAGAGAATATCTCTGGACCCGAAACAGGTATTAGCACAAATTGTAGCATTTTGGAAAATTAAGAGTGTTAGTGTTAAATTTGGCATCAATTTTGTTGACCCCCATAATTTGCCCGTTTTTCGACTTTTTGGGGGTTTTTATAATAATCGATAATTTGATAATAACTTCCGAATCGCTAATAAATAACTCCATTATGTGACCACTCGTTGGATAGGTAGGTGGATCCGCGTCTAGTCCGGGTTTTTAACCCGGACTTTCAGGTCAAAAATATGGGGTCCAGGTCCGTCTCCCAAGAAAAAAATAGTTTCCCGGAATCAGGGAAAAATTCCTACCACTAGAAAATTTAAAAAAAATTGAAGATTTTTTACTGAACTAGAGTTAAGCCTTGGAACTTTACCCAAACTTAAAAAATTTTGAACATTTTTTTGGTTTATTCATCTACACAATATTGTCTTTCTCCTAAAATCTGCTTTATTTTCTGCCTTCTTTTCAGATCATTCAAGCTTTATATTATACCATTTCGTTGGTAAATGATTTCGTTGGCAGCAATGAGGTAATGCCCAAGAAAACACCATTGATTCGAAAAATTAAGGATTACATGATGACCACATTTGCTTTCCCCATTGCACTAAATGTTGGCATTACCTTCTGGGGTCTGTATGCTGTCGATCGTGAATTGGTCTTCCCACGGGTCTTGGATGCTGTATTCCCAAGGTATGTGCATGTTGTATTATGAATGGAAATTATTTTGGCTCATATTATTTCCCAGAACCTCTTCATAAATAACATTATTGATCATTTTTCTTTTCTACTTCTTTTTTTCCAGCTGGCTTAACCACATTATGCACACCAATATTGTTGTGTTCATTGTCTTGGAAATGTTTATCTCCTTCCGTTCTTATCCATCACGTTTCAAAGGTCTGGCCGGCTTATCGGCCTTTATGTTGGCCTACTTGGTGTGGTTGCATGTGATTAAGCACTATTCGGGCGTTTGGGTATATCCCGTCTTGGAAGTTCTACAATTGCCACAACGTATTGTATTCTTTATCGGTTCATTGGTATTTACATTGGGTCTCTATATGTTTGGCGAGGTATTGAACAATTTGGTCTGGTCGAAAGAACTTAAAATGGCTCAACGTAAACACAAGTAAATTTGTGGTGGAGTGTCAAAATAAAATCCAATAACACAACAAAACCAAATACCCTAACAACACTTCATTTCACTAACTTTTAGAATTACTTCTAATAACGATCTGATTACAAAAAAAGAAAAAGAAAACTGAGAATGAATAAATTAATTAAATACACGTAATATTGTTCTTATGATAATTCTAAACCAGATTTTTAAATGCTAATGTTTTTTTGTTGTTTTTGTGAAATAATATACATAAAGGCATGCTATAATTATCTCTATAAATATTTATATATATATTCCAAAGTATATAATTACAATAAGACAACACACACAAAAACAAAAAAAAAGAAACTTAACACAAAGAAGTAAAGCAAAATACTTGAACAATTAAAGATAATAATATTAACTAAATACTATTATAAAAGGTCAAGCAAAATGATACAAAAACCGAAATTTAAAAAATAAATATTTGTGAATGCCTTTAGTTCTAGAAGGCTTTTATATAGAAACATAGCATTTTATTCTTTAATTCTGTTCTCTTTCTGTTAACTTATTTAGTCAACTAGTATTTATTAATAATCATAATAAAAAAAAAAACAGGAAACCAACAAAACACAACACAACAAATTAAAAAGTGTAAAATTCAAATGATAGATGTAAAACACGTTTTAAACACATTTTTCTCAGTCTATCACAAATTTTGTCATATCAAGTGCACGAGTAAAAAAAGCTAGGAAAACAAAACAATTTGACAATTGATCACCAGAAAACATCATAAGTTAATAATACTACGAGGAAACCTATTAAAAAATATTTCAATGAAAAAATTAATAATAAAAAAAAACAAAATCACAATAGTATAACTCCCAGATGTTATTTTAAGGAGATTAAAGGTAGGTAGCAAGGTTTAATGTACATATTTGTAGACGAATTCATGGAAATATTGATGGAAATTAATTTGACTGTGTACAATTTTAGCTTGATTACATTTAAAATAGCGATAGAAACAGCTAAGTATCGAATGTTAAAGTGGGAGTATATAGAAGAATATATATCTAGCGAAGACTCGCTTCTTCGTAAAAGAACCAAGTACTTTATGTTGACCAAGTTCAAATTATTGCCTTAGATTGAAATCAGACAATCTAAACTTCTTTGTTCTTTTGGGATAAGGCCAGGAAAAAATTCTCTTATTATACCCTCCACCACAGTATGGAAGGTATATTATGTTTGTCATTCCGTTTGTAATACCTCAAAATATACATTTTAGACCCCACAAAGTATATATATTCTTTATAAGCATAAAATTCTATGTCGATTTAGCGTCCATGCAGGTACACGCCTTCGTATAGCGCCCATATAATGGTACCTCCCTATATTCGGTATTTTGATGGTTTTAGCTACATTATTAGCCGTATTTTTTCTAGTTTCGCTTATGACAAAATTTGCCTATGCAGGTCCACGTCGTCGTATACATACGGATTTTATTTATTTTTTTGAAAATTGCCAATTTCGTTCCAAATGGTGGAGAATATTCATAGTTCGGCCGGGTCGAAATAACAGCTTGGTTTCAAAATAATAACCAATTAAGCCATAGGTAGCGAAAAAATTGGACCCATAACCTTCCTATTCCAATTTAATCAATGTCGGGAAAAGAACAAGCTAGATACAGTTATATGAGGGCTATACAAAAACGTAGACCTATACCTACATTGTTTCAGAGCTAAAACCTATTATGACCTACAAACAACAATTTTTAGACAAATCCGTGAAAAAAATGCGCAAAAATCATAAAAATGCCGAATATCGTGAGGTAAAGTTATATTGGGGCTACACAAAAACGTAGACTTATACCTACAATGTTTCCACACCGGAGCTAGAACCCATTATAACTTACAAATACCAAGTTTTAGACAAATCCGTGAAGAAAATGTGGCGAAAATCATCAAAATACCGAATATCGGGAGGTACCGTTTTATGGCGGCTACACCAAAACGTACACATATATATTTAATTTTCAATACCCACCATCCTAGACCCAATACAAATAGGTTGGCTGTATCGTGATTTCAAAAGACAGGCAGATGGACGGACGTCATTAAATTGACTTAGAATTTTATGCTGATCATGTATATATATACTTTATGGCTACGACGAATATCATCCCTATATATTCGTCGTAGCCAAATGACAAAGTTAATATATCCTCCTTTTCAAGTTGGAGGGTATAAAAATCTATTTAAAAAATATTGATCACACTATACATGTCCTTCTTCTTGTTGTATTTGATCTAGAAGCAAAGTTGAATCTGGAACCAAATTGGGGACTAATTTTTCTTTTAAAGGGTGCTCCTTGAAGCTATTATCTTTATGGCAATATTGATTTAAACAGCTAACTCACGTTCTTTTAACGTTTCGACAAAAAGCCCATATACGATACACATTCTCGCAGAAAAAAAAATCTAATGTATCTAAGTATAAATAAAATAATCTAAGGTATTTTTCAAGTGTAACCCTAAGTTTTATGAATGTTGAAGCCAGTCAATATGATTGCGGTTTAAGATCCCTGCTCCCATTGAAATAGATATTTTTTTGGCATTTTTTGTAAATTTCACATAGAAAGAGTACGTTCCTATTCAAAGCCTGCCCACATGTTCATACTCCTAGTGAATAGAAAAAACCTCAAAGACAGTTTATGGGTTGGCAGCCCTCGAGGCAAAAAATTATTGATAAAGCCAATCTATTGTCGTCCTTGCAATTGGCACGATTCAGCTATCTTATTTCAATCCCAAGCCTTACAACTAACCCCATCTGCAAAATAATCATGGGAGTACGATTTGCTATATCAGCCAGGACGTATTTTTCATCGTCCGTTTCTTCATAATAATAAATAATGTATCGTACAACTTACCGAATTTCCTTTTTTCCTAAGGCCCTGGGAAAGCATGCTACCGATTCCTTACACAATTTACACATTTTTTTTCCAATCAAATCAGTACCGGGCATGCAACGCTTTCAAACTGTTTGCCACATTGGTTTATTATAATTTCACTACACACACACGAAATAAATTGATTTAAGTTTTTCTTTTTTCACTTCAAACACACGAAATAAATTGGTAATGGTTTTACATTCAAATGTCTTCTTAAACTTAAACAACAAATTTGTCTTTTTATTCGACGCAACAATATTCCCGCTTATTTTTGCACACAACAAGAAAAAATTACTAACGGTGTCTTGTTTAAGTGATAGCCATTTTTTAAGGATGACAGTTAATAAGAAGAAGAATTTATAGGGGTGCCACTTCGTTACAAAACAATAAAGGTTACATAAACTTCACATTTATAACTCGGGTTTTCGGTGTGAAGGGAAAACAATAATGAAGTATCAATTTATTTCCAACTTTCTTTCCCTATCATTGAGTTTTTCTATGAAGAAAGCGGAGGGTAAATCAATAATAACTGAGAGATTATGATGAAAGTAAAAAGGGGAGTTCACACAAATGCCATATTAATAAAAATGAGAAATATACAGCACATCAAGGCTCGGGAACATTGATATGGCAGCATTTTTTAAATGTTTTGTCAAAATAAGTAGATTTTTATATTTTTTATTATGCGACGTCAATCGGAGGTTATAATGAAATTCGTTTATCAAAATTTTCCAATAATTTTGCATTTTGTAATTGCGCCAATGAAAAGCTCTTTTTCTGTTAATAAAAAATACAGAAAAAAACTCACATAAGAAACTTACACAGTAAATATACATGGCAACTCTCAAAAACATATGGCAAATGATGAATACGGGTATATACATCATCATTTATGAACGTGGACTTTCAAATAATGAAAAAGTTTCATAAAAATAAATTGGTTTATAAATTTATTTTTGTACTAAAGATTCCGAAAATTTTATAAAATGTGTTTTTCAAAACATTTAACTAATTTCCATAACTTTCCATTCAAAATACTGCATTCGGAATTTGTTGACTATTCATTGCCTTGATGTTGGGGCTACCATTATTATTGTACCACATATATGACATTTAGTTGAATGTTTTTGTTTTGCATAACCTTTCAAAAGTGATTAGATTTTTAACTTCATCCATGTAGATATTTGTTCTGAAATTAATTTAAGTATTATTATCTTGTACAACATGTCTCTGGCCTCAAAAGTTACATTGGCGGTTTCCTTTGTCGTTTCCGGTGGAATTATTGGTTATGTTCATTTAAAACAGACGACTGACAGGTCTGTTCAAAGTAGTCTAGCATTAATTTGTAAAAGTGTAACAACAAATTTTCTATATTTTTACAGGGAAAAGCTACACGAGGGTGTAGTGCGGGATGTGGAAAGGCAACAACGCCGGAAAATGGAAAACACCTATACGCTGCAGAAACAAATTGATTTGACCAAACAATTGAAACAAATGCAAACGCAGGAGGGTGATGTGAATACAACAGGCACGTAGGCCCTACGATAGGAATATTTGTTATTGTTAATTTAAGAGACAATTTCTCATTGTTTAACATCCTGAAAGGATGTGATGTCACTGGCAATGTTGTAAATCTGGTTATCTTAATAAAAATCATATAAACTAGTATTTTCAAAAGATAAACCCCCCTTTCTTTTTGTGAAACTAAAAAGGTCTTTATTACGTTCTTTTACACAGATAGCTATATATATATATTGAAACATATAAGAATTGAGTTCTTTTTTCGGGTGGTTAACTTAATCGTTAGTGCTGGGTTGAGGAAATCCTTCCCTTCCAAGGGATCATGAAATAATAGTAACCTCTAGAAAATCTAATCCATATTGTTGATTCAGCGGAAGATTCAATCAGTAACGTCCTCTACGGCTGTCCCTCTCACGGTCACGGCGCTCACGGGAGCGGGAACGTCTGCGGCGTGGTGAACGTGAGCGCGAACGGGAACGGCGTCTACGTGAATACAAATATCTAAAACGAAAAAACAACATATACAATTAAGTCACCCATGACAAAGTGAGATACTTGGCACATACCTGCGCAACTCTCGAGAAATTGGTTTCAAGTGCATAAAATTGCAAAACCCGGAACGAGTACATTCACCCATTTCATATTGGCGGCAACAGGCTTCACGAAAATCAGTTACCGGTGACAATTCTGAGTACACCGGTCGCCCACCAAACCATCTGTTATTTAAATCATTGGCCGCCTTCTCAGCATCGGCCTCCTGGCGAAATTTAATATACACATTACCAACCAAGTGATCACCCAAATTGTCGCAAACATTAATTTCCTCAATTTCACCATATTTATCTTCACATTCAACAAACACATCTTCAAAGAAATTATCATAATGCTCTTGCATTTCTTCGTCCGAAACATTTTTCACCAAATGCGAGCCATCTGCGGATTTGGCAGAATTTTGTGGATTAACATAGAGGTTCTGCAGCAATACAGTTTGTGAAAATGTGGGTTTATTGTGTATACGCGAACAGCGATCTCCATGGCGGCAAGCACCGATTTTAAAGTAAAAAGAACAATTTACTCTGCAAAAAAAGAAACACAAAATATTTAAAACATAACTCAATGATGGCGACAATACTAAGCTCCCTTTTTATCGCGACTACTACTACTTCAATACATACTTGTCTTTTTCTGTGCCAAAAATGGACGCCAAATACTCAGCCATGTTGTTGTTGTTTCTATCCCGCCGGTAAGCAAGGAATTATATATTGTACACCGAATCAAGAATAAAAGCCTTTGGAGTTCTACAGGTTGAAATTACGTGAAAATTTAATAAAACTTATTTTTTTTCTTCTGCTGGTCGGTTTTTTTTGTTCCGATTTCAACAAACACACGCCGTTATAGGGTTCTATAAATTAATAGTTGACTAATCGAACTACATCATATCGACAATCGATGTTTTTATTTTGGCCGCCGTCGAAACAGCTGTATATTAATGTAGTTAGTGGTCGTCGCAACTACTAATCGAATGGTCGCCTACGTTACGTGAATGTATTTAGAAGGGTGATGTTTTAAGGCAATAGGCAAGTTTGTCAAAAAAAAAAAACACGACACATAGAATTTACAAAAAATGCCAGAAATCTTTGTTTGCATTGATAGTACGGTCCGTATAATTAATGTCTGATAATTATTTCATTTTAATTTTGGCTTACTCTTTTCAAAGTTTCGGCCGGTATCTCATGAATAAGTGCTTCAATGTTATCCTCCAATGCGTCAATTGTCGTTAAGGCGTCAAATCGCCCGATTTATGGACCAATTCACCGTTCACGGGCATGAAATAAAATATCCACCGAACTCGCCCCTCAATAACTCCATTATAAAAGTAAGAGTGCATAAGTGGTCCAGGCATATTATTGTCAAATTATAAGGGGAAACGACGGCAGGATTCGAATGCGACTCTGCCACCCCTTTATAATATGTAACACGGTAGCGCTCACCATTCACAGTTACGTCTGTGTAGAAGTACGACCCAATGGTGCATTTGTTGCTATTTTTGGATTCATTGGTAGCTTTGCAATGCCTTCTCTACAAAATTGTTTCTATTTTATTATCTTTGAGTAACATTTCGGTAGGGATGGAAATTTTTGGGTGTAGATATAAATTAATTAGAATAAATAAAACTTTTACGCAATCGTTTCGTTTTTGCCCATTAAATTTGCTTGAATGCGTCAAAAGCTACAAACGCTTTCATTGTGTACCATCATTGTTGTTAATGACATCGTGGGCGATTTAACAGACAGCCTGTGAACCCCCTTTTACGATGACTCTTTTAGTGATGCCTAATCAAATGTCAAATGAATTCTAGATAGTTCCAGTGTTTTGTGCAAAAAAATTGAAAAGCAACGTTAATTTGCTTACCTTTAGCTATTTTCTCGAAAAAGTTAAAACAATTACATTGAAATAGCTGATATCTTGGAAGATAAAACAAAGAAACAAAAATAAAATAACATGGACAAGGTAAGGTTTACGAGAAATTATTGCAAATAACTTAAATTCCTTAAAACATTCTCTCCTAGAATATTCCTTCCTCTCTGACTTGAAAAAAAAACCACACACACATTCATTACCACATAACTCTAAATGTCATCGCAATGAAATTGATGAATTGCTCCTTTTTTATTTTGTTGTTCGTTCGTTTATATAGGTAAATGAACTCAAGGAAAAGGGCAACAAGGCTTTAAATGCTGAGAAATTTGATGAAGCTGTTGCCGCCTATACAGAGGCCATAGCATTGGATGGTAAAAATCATGTTTTATACAGTAATCGATCAGCGGCATATGCGAAGGCCGGTAAATTTGCCGAAGCTTTGGAAGATGCTGAACAGACAATCAAATTGAATCCAACATGGGCAAAAGGATATTCGCGTAAAGGTGCAGCAGCAGCTGGTTTGGGAGATTACATGAAGGCATTCGAAGCCTACAATGAAGGTAAGAAAGTGACAGATGGATTAGCGATGCAGATAATGATGGAACAATCAAAACAGCGACATAGTCTAAATGAACTTTGCTGCAAATCGGTGTTTTTGTAGGGTGTGTGAAAGATAAACATAACCTTATTTTTTTTGCAAAAGATTCGTTTTGTTGAACAAAACAATGTGGATGCCAGATTGTGTAGCTTAGTTTTTGGTATGATTCATGTGAAATGTGCATGTCGTTATTTTGATATGAAAATGCGGTTTTATTTTACATTTAATGTATATTTCATGTTATTTGGAAATCATGGGGTAATTTCTGGAATTCGATAACGGAGAAAAGTTGATCGGGAAACAACTGAGGAGGTGTAACTATAACAATAAGTTCATAGCAGTTTCTACGAAATTTTCGAAAGTGTCATTCCCATATTCTAATTTATTTTAATAGGATGCGAACATTTGGTCCTAAATGGTTAACCAATTTTTAGGAAGTTTTAAGTTCGTTGGTGTAGAAAAGGAGGAGGTATTGTAAATGAAGGAGTACGAGTTTTTTATGTTGAGCATTTAATAACATTTAAAAATTAGTTGCTTGCCTGCTAATAAGCACCCCTTACACCACACCCCGAATTGTAATACGGAAAATTCTAGGTCTCAAATTTATATTTTCCTATATTATTCCCATTATCTTACGCATTTTGTAAACCATCTAACTGGTTATTTTTTTGTTTTACAGGTCTCAAGCATGATCCACAAAACGCTGTACTCCTACAGGGACGTCAAGAAATTACGGCAGCTGTACTGCAACACATGCAAGGCATGAACACTCCCATGGATGTCGATCCACCATCTTCCAACACCAGCTCTACCTCGACAAGTTCCAAACCAGCCGAGCCATCAAAGCCAGCAGAGAAACCCAAACCAGCTGAACCCAATCCCGATGAAATGACCGAAGAGGAACGCAAAAAATATTTCGCCAAAAAAGAAAAGGAAGCCGGCAATGCAGCCTATAAGAAAAAAGAATTCGATGTAGCCCTAAAACACTATAATGCCGCCTTAGAATTGGATCCTACAGATATTACATTCTACAACAATATTGCCGCTGTCTACTTCGAACGCAAAGAATACGAAGAATGTATTAAGACCTGTGAGAAGGGTATTGAAATCGGTCGTGAGAATCGAGCTGATTTCAAATTGATTGGCAAAGCATTTGCCCGAATTGGCAACTCATATCGCAAATTGGAAGATTATCACAAGGCCAAGACGTATTACGAAAAAGCCATGTCCGAACATCGTACACCGGAAGTGAAAACTTCGTTGAGCGAAGTTGAAAGTAAAATTAAGGATATGGAACGTAAAGCCTACATTGATCCAGCCAAAGCCGAAGAGGAAAAAGAGAAGGGCAATGAATTGTTCAAGAAGGGAGATTACAGCACTGCCATTAAACACTATTCGGAAGCAATCAGACGTAATCCAGATGATCCCAAACTGTACAGTAATCGTGCAGCGTGCTATACCAAATTGGCTGCTTTCGATTTGGGCCTAAAAGACTGTGAAACATGCATTAAATTGGATGATAAATTTATTAAGGCTTACATTCGCAAGGGTAAAATTTTGCAGGGCATGCAAAAGACATCAAAGGCTTCGTCGGCTTATCAAAAGGCCCTCGAATTGGATCCCAACAATGCCGAAGCCCTGGAAGGTTATCGAACCTGTGCATTGAATCTTCAACGCAATCCCCAAGAAGTCCTTAAGAATGCCATGAACGATCCCGAAGTCCAACAGATCCTTAAAGATCCAGCTATGCGTTTGATTCTGGAACAAATGCAAAACGATCCTAATGCTGTTAAAGAGTAAGTGTTGATGAGTAAAACAAAACGTGAAGTAAGAAAATTTTTGCCTAGTTAGCATGAGAAAATTTAGGGAGGAAATGGGGCGAAGATCTTTAAATAGAGTTCAACTCTAGTTGTACCCTCATAGGTTTATGGGCTATGTCAAAACGTGTTCTTATCTAAAACTATAAAAAATATGTAAGATTATACCTATAGCCTGAAATCGGGCTGCACCATTATATGGGAGCAATGTCGACACCCTTTTTAATTTTTTTTTGGAGGCTTCAAATTCCTTAAGCAGTATCGGACAGTCAGAGGTCAGGGGGAATGTTTCGTTTTAAATACTCGATTGCCAATGATCCTTAGATCCTCAGCCAAATCTCGGTGCTGTGGTCCCCACATAAAGGTGTTATGCTACCACGCGCCCATCAGTGTTACAGATTTTTTAGTCAGGGTACCGACTGTATTCGTGCTAAGCTTTGTCATGCCAGGCCGCCTCATCGAATATTAGATTTATTTAGTGAGTCCTTACCATACCTTCACAAGACTATGACGTATGAAAAACATAACTTACAAAACCCCACCAAACAATAACCAATCCTATTTGGACTGATGCTGGTGTGGACGCCTTTGACACCCTTCGTTAACAAGGCACAAGTCCGAAGTTTAACTCCATCTCAAAAAAAAAAAAAAAAAAAAAAAAAAAAGAGGACAGAGCGGGGTCCCCATTGATAATATTGAAGTGGCGATGATCTCTTTTGACACCAAGAGCACCAAACCCAAGGAGATAAGGAATAAAAGGGTATATCGGCGAGCAGTAAAAGACTACTGTAGTCGATCTAAGCTCACTGATAAGTAGTTGAAGTTTATTAGAACGAACCTGACGCCCGTTAGGGGTTCGAGATGACATATTATAACGCAACACTCTAAAGCAGTATCCCCACATGCAGAACAGTGGTGAAACCAGTTAAGAACTCAAAAAAAGGACACATTTGGAAATGTGGTATCGAAGAAACTGTAACCAAGAAGTCTTTGAAAAAAGTCTCTGATGTGTCAGATCTGGAGGGTACTACCCACCAAATCTAGGGAAGTCGGAACCGAAGGCCACTAAAAAGGCTGCGAGGTAGAAAAGGAAATCGAAACCTGCTAAACCCTTGAAATTGATTCTGCCGAGCCCATCTCATGATTCATCGATGCAAACAGTTGAAACGGAGAAGGTGGCGAAACAACAGGTGGACAGGGCAGAATCAACTGCAGGGAGTGGTCATAAAGGTATCGCAAAACAATTTGTATTGAGTCTAGATGGTTGGTATTGAAAATGAGATATATCGGTCCAAGTTTTGTTATAACCGCCATATAACGGTACTTCCTGATATTTAGTACTTGAAAGATTTTCGCCACATTTTTTCACGGATTTATCTTAAAATGTGAATTTGTGGGTAATAATGGGTTAAAGCTCCGGTGGCGAAACATTGTATGCATAGGTACACGTTTTCGTATAGCCCCCCATATAACGGTACCACCGGATATTCAGTATTTTGGTGATTTTTGCCACATTTTTCTACGGATCTGTCTAAAAATTGGTAATTGTAGTTCATAATGGGTTCTAGCTCCGGTGGTAGAACATTGAATATTCAGGTCCACGTTTTCTTAAAGCGCACATATAACGATACCCACTTTTGGTATGACCCCCATATAACGTCCTCACCCAGTTTATGGTATTTGTGTTTCAAAGTGGAACACGTTAAAATTCAGATACTTTTATATGAAAATGCTTTCTTTAGCCAATGGTGGGGGGTTCGGCCCGGCCGAACTTAATGTTTTTTACTTGTTTATTTCTTTTCTTATCATAAATGAATAAAACTAAACCTCACCAATTTCTCCCGTTTTTTTTTTTTTCAGGCATTTACAAAATCCAGCGATAGCCGATAAAATCATGAAACTCATGGAATCTGGTATCATACAAATCCATTAGAATTTACAAAAATAAAACAAAAATATATAAAATGCTCCAAACAAGTTATGGAATTATTAGAGTAAAACAACTTTTCGCCAGTTCATTTCATTCATTCATTCTACATTCGTCAAACATATGGCCATAGCAAAATTCTCCAAGAAACTTTTTATACAATTCCTTCCTATTGATTGGGTCGAAGCTGATTACAAACGGAGAATGTGTTAGACCGCGGCAGTCTTTCCATGCATATTAAATCATTATTTACATTTAATTAAATGTGGGTTCAACATTAAGATTATCGTTTGACAACAATTTGTGTCAAATCTGGGTTGTTTTCCTCTCTCCCCCTCCTAGCAGAGATTTTTCACTAAAAGTTTGGAGGTTTCATTTCAATTGAATTAAATTCTATAGTTTTATGTATAGAATCCTGTGTTAACTACCACAACAATTTGTTTAGGGCTTTCTGTTATTTTTTTATTAATTATTATTTTTTTTTTATTTCAAATAAAATGTAATGTTTACTACTCTCTTTTTTTAATAAAAAGAAATTATTTTTTCCACAACTCTTGCAACCAACATACCTAAGCTTAAACAAATAACAACAATATATTGAAAGCATACAAACCATACTGCTTTAAACAAAAGTACTACAAGAAAAATTTACTTAATATAGTATATTTAAAAATAAAAAAATATTTATAAAGAAACAAAGAAATAACAATATAATTGTTTACCGGAAAGAAAGAAAAACAAAAACAGCTACAAAAACATATTTCTCTTAAATAAAACCAAATTATTAAAACATAGTGTTAAATGTATTTTAATTCAGATGCAAGAAAATTGTAGGGAATTCATTTTTTTTTCTATTTTAAACAACTTAGAATGGTAAAATGAAGAAGGTATCGTCATGCAGTCATACAGGGTGAGATAAAAAAACCGCAACAAAGTCAAACGCCATAATTTTTACATTTTTTTTTAATTTTATCGAATGAAAGCAAGAAATGTCGGAAATTGCATTAAATTTTAGAGTAAGTTTAGATTTGTTCGACCACCTGTGTGATGAATGAAACCGTCACACGCTGTCCGAATGTTACTCTGCGGTATTTTGGTCCATTCCCGGCCAAACGCTTGCTTGAGGTGATCGACACTTTGGTATTTTTTCCAAAATACTCCAGACACAATAGTAAATGTAAATATATTTTTTTGTAAATGTAAACATCATGAACCAAAAACAGAAAAAAAATTCCTGATCACACAATTGAAGCCAATCGACACGCCTGAGAAGATAGGTAAGCACAGGGAAGAATTCTGGCATTTTGGATGACCATTGGAATATATTTAGCCGTAAAATGGACCACAAAAACTAACAGCACGACGGAGTGCATAAATATTGGGAAAATTGTTATAATTGAATTCGTTTATTGAACTGAAAAAAACTGAGAATACATATTTGACAACAAACATATTGATATCAAAGCCTATTAAGATTATGTTAATAATATTGGACAAAGTGTTTTATGCTAAAGTACAATATTTGATTCAATTCTCAACACTCTACCTGAATTAAATATTTCTTACATTATAATTACAAAACAATACAAGTTGGAAACTAAGCAATGCCAAAAAACTCCTTTAAAATATTCCAACTTCTGTGGAGTTACTGCCTTGGTAAAAACGTCAGCAACCATTTCTTTTGTTGAAAGATACTTCAAAGATATTTCATTGTTGTCAATTTTCTGTTTGATAAATTTGGCTTTAATATCCACATGCTTTGTCCTTGACGAATACTTGTTATTTGTAGCCACTTGTATAGCTCCTTTGTTATCACAATACAAAACCATGTTGACATTGTTGTTGGGATTGAGTTCTTTTTCTAGTCGTTTCAACCAAACAGACTCCTGTATAGCTGCAGTTATTGCCATGAACTCAGCTTCCGTTGAAGATAGTGCCACCGTTTTTTGTCTTTTTGTGGACCAGGATATTGCTGCTGATTGAAAAATAAAGACATAACCAGTTGTCGAATGGCGGTCGTCCAAACTTCCAGCCCAATCTGCATCGCAATAGCCGGTAATATCTTCTTCTAAATTTTTCTTATAGATGAGCCCTTGTTCTATAGTTCCTTTGAGATAACGCATTATTCTTTTTACAGCTTCCCAATGCGCTCTACCAGGATTTATTCCGAATCGGCTCAGGATATTCACAGCATAGTATATATCAGGGCGCGAAACCTGAGCAGCGTACAACAAGCACCCAATAGCTTCCATATACGGTGTTTTCGACATTTTTTCCTTTTCAACTTCGGTTTTAGGGGACATACTTTCGTATAACTTCTTATTATAGTCCATTGGAGTTGAGGAAGGGTTACAGTCATTCATTCCGAAACGTGTCAATACATCTGATATGTACTTAGACTGATCAATTTTGATTCCATCTTCAGTTCGGGATATTGTCATACCAAGAACATTAGACACTTCCCCCATGTCTTTCATTTTAAATGTTCTTGAAAGTGTATTCTTGACAGAATTTATTTCGTTTTCGTCATTGGAGAATATAATTACATCATCTACGTATATTGCAATATAAATCTTCTTTTCATCTGTCACCTTTGAATATACGCATTGATCCACTTCTCCTTGTACAAAACCCATATCGATAAGTTCCTTGTTTATGGTTTCATTCCATACTCTCCCAGATTGTTTCAAGCCGTATATGGATCTGTTAAGCTTACAGACTTTATTAGAAGCATCACGGAAACCTTCGGGTTGTTCCATATATATGGTTTCTTTTAAAATCCCGTTTAAATAAGCGCTAACGGCATCCATCTGATGAATCTTCATGTCATATTTTGCTGCCAATGCTGCTAAATACCTTATTGATTCATACCGAACAACTGGAGAGAATGTTTCCATATAATCGATACCTTCAGTCTGTGTAAATCCCTTTGCGACTAGTCTTGCTTTCCATCGCAACGTGTTTCCATTGGAATCTTGCTTGGTCTTGAACACCCATTTTGACTTCAGAGCTTTGCATCCTTCAGGAAGTTGAACCAAAGTCCAAGTATTATTGACTTTCAAAGAATTCATTTCATCTTGCATGGCTTTTTTCCAATGTTCAGAATCTTCAGACGACATTGCCTGTTTTATAGTCTGGGGGTCTGAAGAAACATATTCTATTGCAGAAAATGCCGTTGATCGTTGATTACGGTTTGCTATCCTTTCTGATCTTCTAATATTTTCAGACGTTGGTATTGGTCGTGAATTACATTGATTTGGTTCCCATTCTTCATCATTTGGGTCCACATAGCCATTGTTATCAAAACATTCTGAATCCAAAAACTCACTATCAGTTTCAGAATCACTACGAGGCTCATTTTGAATTACATTATTGCCATCCAATTCGGTTGACTCCATATTCGTTGATACATTATTCACTGTTTGGTTCAAAACATTATCCATTTCTTCATCTGGAGATTGAATTAGCAAAGGATTGTACAGATTAGAAGATGGCGTTTCAATGTTTGAGTGAACATTTTCAAGAAATACCACGTCACGGCTAACAATTATTTTTTGATCACTTGGATCAAATAATCGATACGCTTTACTTTCCGTGCTGTATCCAACCATGATACATTCTAATGACTTTGGATCAATTTTAGATCTTCGTTGTTTTGGTACATGGACCAAAGCTGGACATCCGAAGACTCTAAGATGCTTCAAATTTGGTTTTCGACCCGACCATAGTTCTTCGGGACATCCTTCATTTCCTCGGCATGGCACTCTATTTATCAAGTACGATGCGGTAGAAGCAGCTTCTGCCCAAAAACGTTGATCTAATCCACTGTCGATAAGCATACATCTTACCCTTTCTATAATCGTCCTATTTATTCGCTCGGCTACACCATTTTGCTCGGGTGTATATGGACATGTTTTTTGATGTATTATTCCACTTTTTTTCAAGAATTCAGAAAAATGTTTGCCGGTGTACTCACCCCCATTATCCGATCGTAGAATCTTGATTTTTTTAGAACACTGGTTTTCCACTAAAGCCTTGAATTCTAAAAATTTCGGAAATACCTCAGACTTTTTCTTGATTGGATAGACAAACAGTTTTCTTGAGTAGTCATCCACAAATGTCAACAAAAAACGAGCTCCCGAGAACGAACTTTCTTTTAGTGGACCAACAACATCCGAATGAATAATTTCCAATAGCTCTTTGGCTTGAGTACCGACTTCTCTACTCACTTTTCGGGTTTGCTTTCCCTTCACGCAGACAACACATGGTTCAGAACATTCTTTGCCAAAATTTATGCCAACATTTGCGCTCTTGACATCACCCAGTTTCGCATTACAGATATGCCCCATCCTTCGGTGCCACAAATTGAAATCATTGGCCATGGTAAAAGCTTTACCCTTTTCCTCTTTCGAATTGCATTCTAACCGGTACAATTGATTCTGCGCAGTTGCCGTTGCTATAACACGTCCATTTTTATCAGAAATGCGGCATTTTTCACCTTCAAAAGTCACCCTTTTTCCATTCTTAGCCATTTGTCGAACGGAGAGTAAGTTGGTACACAAATCTGGAACATACTCCACGTCTTTGATTGTAACACATCTCTTATTTTTTCCAGAGCCAACTTCAATATCAACATATCCAATGGAGTCCACTACGAGTTCATGCTTATTTGCAATAATCACCTTTTTATTAAAAACATCACGGATGTTGTACATGTGGTTCTTCTCATTCGTCATGTGGTTGCTTGCTCCACTATCAACGTACCAGGCATTTAAACAATCTGAACTTGAAGTGGATTCCGTAGCTTTTGCACACGCGCTCACATCGGTAGTTGTAGCAAATAAAACATCCGACTTCTTTTCATGCTTCCTTGTAGCTCCATTGTCATTTGGCTTCAATTTGCTGGGACAATTTCTTGAGATGTGTCCAAGTCCACTGCAATTGTAGCATTTGATTTGCTTCTTACCTTTCTTGATACCTTTAGATTGTAACGCCGATTCTTTTTCTGGAGCTCGATCGAATTTCGCATCTTGAAGTAGAACATTCTTCACCTTATCCACCGTCAATTTCTCCTTGGTATTTTCCACGGCCATCACAAGCGGTTTAAAGTCATCCGTTAATCCAGCTAACATTAGAGATGCAGTCAACTCATCGTCAATGTTTAAGCCAGCATTTTTCACTTTAATAGCCACTATAACGATGTCATTGACGTATTCCTGAATGGATCCATAGTTCTGTAGCTTGATGTTCACAAATTGCTTCAGCAATTCAACTTTTCTGGTAAGGCCCGTATCTTCGTACGCATTCATCAATGCACTCCAGGCATTTTTCGCGGTAGTTGAAGTTGCAATGTGGCCGTAATTGTCTGGTTCAATCATCAATGTTATCTCGGCTAAAGCTCTCGCATTCAATTCAGCATCAGCGGTATTATCAACACATGCCTTCCAGCACCCTTTAATGACCAGATATGATTGCGCTTGCCTCTTCCAAACATCAAAGTTTTCGCGTCCACGCAATCTTTCTAGCGGAAAAGCTATGTTATTACCAGCCATTTTAATTTTTTTTCACAAACGTCACTAGTTTTCAATATTAAAAAATGTATCTATTTTGTTTTGCCGAATATTTTTTTCAAACGTGACTAAGGCCCATAACCTGTTATAATTGAATTCGTTTATTGAACTGAAAAAAACTGAGAATACATATTTGACAACAAACATATTGATATCAAAGCCTATTAAGATTATGTTAATAATATTGGACAAAGTGTTTTATGCTAAAGTACAATATTTGATTCAATTCTCAACAAAAATGTCCCTGGTCAAAATGCTAAGGGTAATATCTGGGCAGTGCTCCGTGACATAATTTCAAAAGCGAAATCTTCCAAAATGTATTTGGACATGAGGGGGCTTCTAACATATTGTAGTGTTGTAGGGTATCACATGGTCGGCCCCGCACGACTTATAGCCTAATGTATTATATATATTATTAAAAAACTTAACAAAAATCTATAAACTAAATAACGATTCATCTCAATAAAAAATATAAAATTCAGTTAGTAACAAAAAAATTAAATTACTTAAAAATAAACAATGAAAAATAAATTTGTACCCAATATGGAAAAAATCCGCCCAAACCACAAAATTTATCTTTTTTCCGCCCAAATTTGGACGGAAACGCCCAAAACGGCAACACTGCAGATGAGGCAAATTTTTAGTCTATTTGTCTATGTTTAGCATAGACAACGAAAAGTTAGTTTTGACTTTTTATCAAGGTGGCCCTCATCATGTTTTGCATAGTCAACATGCTGATTTACGCGTTCAACACACTCGACTTCGAAAACACATTTTATCGTTTTTCAAGAATTTTACTTGATTATTCCGAAATTTTTTGATGTCATCACGTAATTTTTACATTTATCATGGAACAATTTCCAACCGACAAATATCCTACAGTTTTTGTTATTTTTAACGTTTTAGAATTGAGTGAATTCAATATTCCCACTCAAACCCCTGAAACGATATAGACGACATCTGCTGATTCGATTTTTTTCGAAGATAAACGGTGAGAGCATTTCGTTGTCTATATTTTCATTTGTCTATGTTTACGCGATCAAGCCACTCGACTTCGAAAACACATTTTATCGCTTTTCAAGAATTTCACTGGAATATTCCCTTATTTTTCGATGTCATCACGTACTTTTCAGATTTCTTTTATTATGAAATAATTTTCAGCTGACTAATATCCTACAATTTTTGTTATTTTTAATATTTTTGAATTGAGTGTCTTCAAAATTCCCACTCAAACCCCTGAAAGGACATTGACGACATTTGCCGATCCGATTTTTTTCGAAGATGAACGGTGGGAGCATTTCGTTGTCTATATTTTCATTTGTCTATGCTCATACCCCTGGAACGATTTAGGCGACGATTTTTTTCGAAGATAAACGGTGAAAGCAATTCGTTGTCTATAGGTGTGTCTGGTTACCCTAAAATTTGTAACAATTGTTACAAATTTGTTGCGTGCGTACCGCGATTGCTGAAGATTAATTTTTTGTATTATCGGCTGAGCGAGGATTTACACTTGTAATTACCGCTCCAGCCGATCTTAAAAAAATGAATGAACCGGATACGGTTGGGTGTCAAGGTGCTGCCAATGTTCCTCTTAGTACATGGTACTAAGATCATATGCAACCATGGGTAACGATAGGGCTCGCCAAGTGCGATCAAAGAGAAAGAGAATAAACAAGAGAGAACAAAAAAAAAAGGAAAAGTGGGAAGATTGCGTCCAATGGCTGCCATATAAAAGGGGTAACGGACAGAAAAATTCGCCATTAAAGTTTTGGTAAACGGGCAAGGAAAAATTTTTCTAAGCTAAAATTTAAAAAAGTGATCCCATAAAAACACCAAGTTAGTGGAATTAAAGTTTTCGTGATTTTTTTATTTTTATTTGCCGATTGTTGTGTATGTGTGTGTGTGACCAAAATTTCATAACACCCCAACAAAAGACGGCTAGATATCTGACCCCTCCAAGTTTTCGGTGGAGGAGGTCAGTAAATTTTTTATATAAAGATAAGCGCTGCTGCCCAGAAAGTCCGTGAGTGAGGCTAAGCCCCGGTCCGCCAAAGTACCGGTATTCAAACAGTGGTCGGCTCGGTAGGTCTGATGCCGAAAAGGTCAAAAAGATCATCAATATCTGGAAAGAAAAGAAAATATATAAGTACAGAATCTCCAGGTAATAATTTGTATTATTAAAACTTACCGAGTCCTGAACGGTTGGTGCGGCCAAGCGGCATACATATATATATATATCTTCCTCCTGCGGCCTGGAAAAAAAGAAGAGAACTTGGATTAATAATTAATTTGAATGAAAAATGGAATGACACCAAAATTTTGTACTGACTAGTTTAATTTAATGTAATTGTCTGTAGTTTAAGTGTGATTGTCCTTAGTGTATAGAATTTAGGTTAAGATTTTTATATTGTGAAAATTTCTAACGCCCGGTTATATACCTGAGCGTAGGGTTAGACCGTCGTACGAAGGGAGAATTCTGGTTTATTGGCAATTTTGGACATAAGGTAACGTCCGTAATATCCCCTTAACAGAGCTCTATTAGGGAGGGAGTAGATGCAAAAAGTGGCCAAATTGGCAAAAATTTTTATGTACTCTTCGTAGACTGTAGCGGCCCGAGCGATTGGCTCATATAAAAAAGATAATATCAGGTGTTAGGAATTTAAAAGTCAATATTGTGCAAACTTGTTTTATTGTTAGGATTAAGACAAATTAAAATATGTCAATAAATTATTTATATGTATAAGTGTTAACAGTCGATATGATGTGCTAATTTGTAAACTCTTGGGGGAATATAGGGTGTAAATTGCGTGGTAAGTGTTAGTGGAATGCGGGGCCCTTAAGATATTTAACGATTATTGGACATAAGGGTCAAGGTTGGGTGGGCCAAGTGTGGGTGCAATTTCCACCAAGCACCCTTGTCACCGGTGTATGCAGTGTTTGTATTTTTGTTGGTTTTGATGTTGTAATATGTCCCCTTTTTTTTTAATTGTTAGGTCCCTTGGACTGTTGGTGTCAGGGTTGGAACCGACCCTGAGCAAAAAGCTCCCCTGAGCAGCTGGATACACACCACAGTACCGCATAAGGTGGTAACCATAACAATATGGCGCCCAAACTGAAACGATAATAATCGAAATATTCAGTGCAATAACACCGAGGCACTGTTCAATAGACCATTTAAGAAAATAGATTAAAAAACGAATATCGCATTTTTCTTGCATAGCGAATATCGCAACCACAACTTCGCGATCGAAGTCGTGTTAAATGTGCAATATTAGCTTTAAGTCTGAGAAAAATTAGGATATTCGTTTCCAAATCGAATGGGTCAAGTGCAATAGCTCTTGTTCGTCTACTGTAACAAATGATGTATTGTGTGATGACCTGTACTGTTTACGTTTTTGTTTGTATTTAGAGTAGATTAAATAGTCTGTAGTAGACATAAGGGAATAAGTGCAATAGCCTCTGGGACGAAGTGAGTCGCAAGAGCATTGTATTTTATTACTCTAAATACGAGATCTTTTTCCTTCGCAAGAATTAGGAAATTGCCGTAATGTCTATTTACATGTAATATGTTTTGTCCACTTGTTTAAATCCACGTCTTACAATACACCGTGACAACCTAAAAGGACACTTTTCGTAAAAAAGCGTAAAATTATATAAATCAAAACCACACACTTGCCAGACAATTGAAAACACATCCTATTACCTCATATTTTGAAGAAAGTAATATTGTTGTAATATCTGTCTAGTTCTGTTCAGTTTAAAATATATATATATATACATTTTTTTATTTTTAGTTGATATTTTTTTTTGTTCATTCGTATTTATGTTATTTATGTTTGTGTTATCATAAGTTCTTATTGTGTTGTGTTTGAATTGATTTTTATGTTATTATTATTTTTACTTATTGATAGATTTCTATATTTATTTTTAAATTTTGTTTTTTTTTGATAAATAGATACTAGTTAAATTTCCGTTTTCTGTTTTAAATTTACTAATATTGTCCTTCCATTTACAGTTCGCATTTAAATAGATATTTAATTTTTGATATTGTGTTTTCTGAATTTTATGCATTTTTGATCATTCTAATGAGTGAATATACGTCAGGGAAAAGACAAAGTAAAAGAAATAGAGTTTTAGCGTTTGATAGTAGCAGGTTTCTGACTCAAACACCAAAGCCGAAGAATAAAAAGAAAAGAGGTGAAGAAACAATGGAAAATAGAGATAGTACTGTTCGAGATCTGTCCGGGACTATTAATAACCCCAATAATTTGCCTAACTCTGGTATCCAAAGGCCATTGAGCATGCAACCTGATCAAGTAAATCCGCCTAACGAGATGGATCAGCTCATAAGGGGGTTGGTCCAAGAGAGTGTAAGTGACGCTCGCAATAGTATAAGGTCATTAGTTCAGGAGAGCGTAAGTCAGGAAATGGGGAAAGTACATGCTGCGATACAACATTTGAATGAAGTAATCGCCAGGTTATCTATAGATAGACCCCCGACGGATCAAACCCAGGTACCCCACGTTCCTCCACCCACTACTCAGCCTCCACCCACTACTCAACCTCCACCTATCAACACCGAATACCAGACACACTCAAATCGTCATGCCACTGTAACACCGTCAATTTATAGACTGGGACCCAATATGGGAATAAGAATTGAAAGATTCGGATTGAATTTTTCGGGAAGGCCGAATAGTTTGTCGGTCGAAGATTTCATCTATAGGTTGGAATATTTCCAGAGACATTACCGTTTAGCCTGGGATGAGATTTTAAATGAATTTCATATTCTTTTGTCAGGACCAGCCTATGAATGGTTTTGGCTCCAGCAAAGAAATTCAAACATAGCTGATTGGGAATCACTCAAATACGGGTTAACGGAAAGATTTAAGACTAGGCGGACATGTTTCGAGGCTATGAGGGATTTATTGGAACGGAAACAAATGCCAGGAGAATCGATCGATTCATTCTTCCATGATGTGAATTTGATGCGTTCTAAACTAGAGAAGCCTGTATCAGAATACGAAATGATTTCTCTAGTAAAGAAAAATTTACGGAAAAATCTTTCTAGCATAGTTTATGCGTTGCCAGTGAATTCTGTGGAACAGTTGAGGATTGAATGTTTAGAAATAGAACGTACATTCTTCAAAAAAGATAGCGTAGCACCACCACCAATACAATTTCCGCCCGTAAATAGACCTATTCGGGTTAGTGCTTTGCAGGAAGAGGAGTTAGAATTGAATAGGGTTGAAGAAATAGATGAAGTGGTAGAAGTTGCAGCTTTTACGAGCAACCCAATTCTCTGTTGGAACTGCCAAAAACCAGGCCACGGTTTTAGAGACTGTCCTGCAACACAAAGGGGTTTGTTTTGCTTTAAATGTGGCAGACCAAACACAATAACCCCTAAATGCTCGAACTGCGCTTCGGAAAACTCCCGGAAGAACATGGTTGCGACGGGAAACCATCGTTCCACCGAGCCCTCCAAGATAGTAAACCCGCCAATAAATTAGATTCAGATTCGGGAAATACTCAAGATTATGCCTCACGAAGACATTATTTACCCTTAGAATCTAGGCAACAAAACTACGAAAATGTTAAAGCAAGAATTTTCGGTGAAAGCAATAACGAGAACCCGAATCCGACTAAAAATACTAGCAAGAAAGAAAAAAGTAAAATAAGAATTATGAAATTAAGAAAATATCAAAAGGAAAACCGAATGAGGAAAAGGATTATATGCGATGCAATTGAGCGTTTTCAAGAGACTAAAGATCCTAGACCTTACGTTAGCGTTAAAATCGAAGGAAAAGAGGTTAAAGGGCTTTTAGATTCAGGTGCAACTGTTAGCCTATTAGGAAAACAGTGCCGTGAAATCGCCGAAGAATTAAACCTGCAAATTTTTCCATATGTATCAGCGATAAGTACAGCTTCAGGGCAAAGACATAGAATTTTAGGCAAGATTATAGTGAACATAGAGTACAAGGATAAAACAAGAGAAATTATTTTGTATTTGTGTCCCGACCTACAGCAGGATTTATATTTAGGGACTGATTTCTGGAGATTATTTGAGATAGCCCCAGAAATCTTTTCATTGGAAGAAGTCAATTTAGACCTCCAAATAAAAATTCATGGGGAATCCAAAAACGCAAATACCAACATGCATGACCTAACTGAAGACCAAAAAATCAGGTTGTCAGAAGTTGTAAGCAAATTTTACACATTCGAGGAGAAAGGATTAGGATGCACAAGTCTAGAAAAACATGCCATAAAGTTAATTGAAGGCGCAAATCCTGTAAAGGATAAGCATTATCCATTATCGCCGGCCGTGCAGGATATTGTGTATAAGGAGATAGACAACATGCTCGCTCTAAAGGTGATTGAGGAGAGTGACTCCCCATGGAGTAATAGAACAACGGTGGTTCGAAAACCCGGGAAAAACAGATTTTGTCTAGACGCTCGAAAGTTAAATGCGCTTACTATAAAGGATGCGTATCCTTTGCAGAATATTGATGGGATATTGAGCAGAATCGACCAAACGCACTATATTAGCAGCGTCGACCTGAAATATGCGTTCTGGCAAATTGAGCTCGAAGAAGAAGCCAGACCATATACAGCTTTTACAGTACCAGGTCGCCCTCTATATCAGTTTAGAGTAATGCCGTTTGGACTTTGTAATGCGGCGCAACGTCTTTGCCGTCTAATGGATAAGGTTATTCCTGGTAGATTAAAGTCCAACGTATTCATTTACTTGGATGATCTTCTAATTATTGCGGATGACTTCGACAATCATTTAAGACTGTTGAGCGAAGTGGCCGATTGTCTGAGAAAAGCTAATCTTACGATCGGGATGAAAAAATCATTATTTTGTTTTCGCGAACTGAAATATCTCGGCTTTATCATTGGAAATGGATGTTTGAAAACTGATCCGGATAAAATCAGTGCGATCCTGAATATACCTGTACCCAGAAGTCCACGAGAAGTAAGAAGCTTCTTAGGAACCGCCGGATGGTATCGCAGGTTCATTAAGAACTTCGCGTCAATATCTGCACCTCTAACCGATACCCTCAAAAAAGGACAAAAGTTCAATATAAATTCCGAGGCTATGGAATCTTTCAAAACTTTAAAGAAAGCCCTTACATCAGCACCAGTGCTCCGCCACCCAGATTTCCGACGGGAGTTTTTTATCCAATGTGACGCATCGGAATACGGAATCGGTGCGGTATTATTCCAGAAGGATGACGACGGCGGAGAAAATCCCATTGCTTTCTATTCACAGAAACTAAATTCTACCCAGAGAAATTATTCTGTGACGGAAAAAGAATGCTTGGCAGCGGTATTGGCGGTGAAGAGATTTCGACCATATGTCGAACTTATGAAATTTACGATCATTACGGATCACGCCAGTCTTAAATGGCTTATGTCATTAAAGGACTTGAGCGGACGACTAGCTCGTTGGTCCTTACAGCTCCAAGCGTATGACTTCGCCATTGAACACCGTAAAGGTTCAGAAAATGTAGTGGCGGATACTTTATCAAGGATGCCGGTTGACTCAGATGTCGTAATTGAAGAGATTAGTGAGGAAGAACTCTTAGATTTCGAGACCACAGCATTTGAAAGTGAGGAATATGTCGAGTTGTTAAACACCATAAAGCAAAATAAAGAAAAGTTACCAGATCTCCGCATAGAAAATGAAAAAGTCTATAAAAGAACAAAGAATTGCGATCCAGACACTACAGAATTTGAATGGAAGCTTTGGATACCGCAGGAAATAACATATGCACTAATCGAAAAATCACATAACTTTACGGAAGCTGTCCACGATGGCATATACAAAACCCTAAACCGCTTAAAAACATTTTATTATTGGCCAAAAATGATATCTCAAGTCAAGCAATATGTAAATAACTGCCAGATTTGCAAGGAAACAAAGCCATCCAATCAAAATATGCGTCCTACAATTGGAAATGAAGTAGTGACCGACAGACCATTTCAGAAGCTGTATATTGATTTCCTAGGCAAATACCCTAGATCAAAGAAAGGAAACTCCTACATATTTATAGTAATGGACCATTTTACAAAATTTATTTTCCTGCATGCAATGAAGGAAGCAACGGCCGAAAACGTCATAAAATTTCTGGAAGATCAAGTATTTCATACATTCGGAGTGCCAGAAATAATACATAGTGATAATGGGAAGCAGTTTGTGTCGAAAATGTTCGAAGAAATGATCAAAAGATACAAAATCAATCACATAACAACGGCTTACTATTCTCCCCAATCAAACGCGTCAGAGCGAGTAAATCAGTCCGTACTGGCGGCGATAAGGACCTATGTTCAATCGGATCACCGTGATTGGGATCTGTATCTTTCTGAAATTGAACAGGCTTTGCGTACTTCAGTTCACTCAGCAACCGGTGTGAATCCTTTCTTTGCGTTGTTTGGCTATAATATGTTTACGAGCGGAACAGATTACAAATTAGCGAGGCGGCTCCAATCATTAACTGACCATCAAATTTTGCAAATGAATAAAACCGACAAATTAAAGCTGATGAGAGAAAAGGTCCAAAAGAATCTACATAACGCGTACGAAAATAGTGCAAAACGTTACGATCAAAGAGCCAGACTTGTCAAGTTCCTACCTGGACAAGAGGTTTATAGACGGAATCATATGCTCTCTGATTTCAAAAATAACGTAAATGCCAAATTTTGTAAGAAATTCCTAAAATGCAGAATTGTTAAACCCATAGGTAATAACATGTATGAGTTGGAGACTCTGCAGGGAAAACCCCTTGGTAATTATCATGCCAAAGATATTAAGGTGTAGGAAGTGTGCAATAAATCTGTGATATAATAATAGTGCAATATAGATTTATAATTTTGTGTCGTAAACGTCCAATTTTATCAAACTATATGACTATTTGTAATTATATCTGGAGTTTATTGACTCATTTCATTTATACCATAAATTTTTTGTGCTGTGGACAGTCCCCTTTTTATATAGGTATTATTCTGACTATGATTATTTATGCTTAGAGATTATTATCTTGCTTACAATTATGCAAAAGAAAGTAAATGTTTTATCTAGCGACCAATGTCTTATATTCTAATTTAGCACAGAATTGAATGCCCGGCTTATGAGACTTCAGGGTGTGGGAGTTCCCCACGTTGAGCTACTGAAAGACATCTCCAACTCCAGCAAACCCTTATTTTTATGATCAACAACTCAAATAATTCTCAAATGAAATTATTTTTCTTATATTCCTTTTATTACCCAAGAGCCCACGAATGATTCTAAATGCCATTTGTACAATCGTCTTGAAAAATAGATTAATTTACAAATTATTCCTTTCGGTGAACGTTAGCAAAATATTATAAATCAATTATAGAGATTGAATACCTAAATTCCAAAACACCTTTAAATCAATCTCATTCCACAACAAGCAACTACTTCACGTATTTTTTTTTTTTTGAACACAATTGCTTCTTTTATTTTTTTTTTTAACATTCGGCTACTCTATGTATTTTTTTTTTTTTAAATAATTACTCCACGTAATTGTTGCCTAAAACTGAATGCTCCACGCATTTTGTTTTTGCAGAATATTTTAAATAATAAATATAAATATTTCAAATAATAATACTTCACAAAAATAAAAAGTAAACAAGACTTACCTGAAGGTTTATGATCCACAGGGGAACGTTGTTGTGTGGTGATGTAAAAAAGTCGATGAGGTCACGAAAAACTATTCCTTCATGCTGGCAGATTCATTGTAGCACTTTCGTAGCATTCAATTGGGAAAAAAATACTGAAATAAAAACACAAAAACATAAATTAGTTTGGCACAGAAAATACAAATGTTTTGTTTTGAAGCAAAATAAATTTGTAAAATTGTATGAACTGGCGATAAATTATCTTTCTGTAAAAATTAAAATATTCATAAAGGAACATTTCACCAAGAAATTGTTTTGCATTTTCCTATTTTCGTAAAAGAGTCGTCTCTAGAATACAACAACACAATCGTAAACAAAAATTCCAGTCATAGACAAAACAAATAAACATAAACAACACATAAACATAAAAAAACGCATAATCACTCCAAACTACCACCATTTGGACAGAGCCATACGATTGTTGTTGGTTTATCTACAACGCAAAGATTTCCACTATTACCTGAGCCACAATGCACAAATTTTAACAACGATAACAAGTTTTTTTTTGTGGGGGGAAGAATTACGAACATTGCACAATTTTTATATGACTCATTCATTCAGCCCTTTTTTAACCATGTATTCAAGAATGTCATATTTCTTTATGTTCGTTGTTTTCACTTTTTGTTTTCATTCCTTATTTTTTTCTTTTGTGCACAATTAAGTGTATTTAGTGGCCACCGCAAATCTTTGCTCACAAGAATCTTTGTTTCTTATTTGTATATTTTTCACGTTCAAGTTTTTCACACACAAAACCTACCTGGGGAACACAACACCGAAGAGCATTCCTCTATTAACGCCGCCACTGACTGAGACAGATTGTACATTGTAAATTGAATAGCGATTATTTCATATTGTCGTCGTGCGCCAAAATACAAATATTCTCAAATGGTACTTCACATACGCGAATGTTGAATTTACCTGAAAAGAAAATGAATTAAACAATTGCCTCGATGGAAGTAGTTGATAAATAAGAATATAATTACCTGTTTCTCAATCTTCATACAAATGGTATGAAGATGACGTTCATACATTTAACGTTGTTGAGTTTGTTTCAAACCAGCGGCGACGGCGACGTTCTGCTCGTCAAAGCGGCACCAAACCGTTGTAGTTGTAGCAAGCACAAGTATGTGTGACCGGCATTCTTGTCAATGGCGATGCGTAAATGTACACACATTCACACTTACCTTGTAGGCTGAGCCACCCCACATGGCCATTCATTGTGGAAATATGTACCGATATTTTTTCTGAAAAGAAATTTTGGTTAATTAAAATATTTTCTTTTATTGTTCTTTTTATAAAATTATTATAAACTAATTTTTTTTTAATATACTTACCAATATATCCAAGTCAATGTGGGAGCACAGCAGCGTGTTTTTTTTTGTGGGGATCAAAATCTATTTTTCTTTTTTTTAATTGATTATTTTATCCTGATGCTTTGCAGGAAAATGTTACAATCCAGTAACGCACATCACCATTTTCTCACTTTTTGTGTGAAAATGGCGAAGTTTTGTTGCGTGCGTACCGCGATTGCTGAAGATTAATTTTTTGTATTATCGGCTGAGCGAGGATTTACACTTGTAATTACCGCTCCAGCCGATCTTAAAAAAATGAATGAACCGGATACGGTTGGGTGTCAAGGTGCTGCCAATGTTCCTCTTAGTACATGGTACTAAGATCATATGCAACCATGGGTAACGATAGGGCTCGCCAAGTGCGATCAAAGAGAAAGAGGATAAACAAGAGAGAACAAAAAAAAAAGGAAAAGTGGGAAGATTGCGTCCAATGGCTGCCATATAAAAGGGGTAACGGACAGAAAAATTCGCCATTAAAGTTTTGGTAAACGGGCAAGGAAAAATTTTTCTAAGCTAAAATTTAAAAAAGTGATCCCATAAAAACACCAAGTTAGTGGAATTAAAGTTTTCGTGATTTTTTTTATTTTTATTTGCCGATTGTTGTGTATGTGTGTGTGTGACCAAAATTTCATAACACCCCAACAAAAGACGGCTAGATATCTGACCCCTCCAAGTTTTCGGTGGAGGAGGTCAGTAAATTTTTTATATAAAGAGAAGCGCTGCTGCCCAGAAAGTCCGTGAGTGAGGCTAAGCCCCGGTCCGCCAAAGTACCGGTATTCAAACAGTGGTCGGCTCGGTAGGTCTGATGCCGAAAAGGTCAAAAAGATCATCAATATCTGGAAAGAAAAGAAAATATATAAGTACAGAATCTCCAGGTAATAATTTGTATTATTAAAACTTACCGAGTCCTGAACGGTTGGTGCGGCCAAGCGGCATACATATATATATATATCTTCCTCCTGCGGCCTGGAAAAAAAGAAGAGAACTTGGATTAATAATTAATTTGAATGAAAAATGGAATGACACCAAAATTTTGTACTGACTAGTTTAATTTAATGTAATTGTCTGTAGTTTAAGTGTGATTGTCCTTAGTGTATAGAATTTAGGTTAAGATTTTTATATTGTGAAAATTTCTAACGCCCGGTTATATACCTGAGCGTAGGGTTAGACCGTCGTACGAAGGGAGAATTCTGGTTTATTGGCAATTTTGGACATAAGGTAACGTCCGTAATATCCCCTTAACAGAGCTCTATTAGGGAGGGAGTAGATGCAAAAAGTGGCCAAATTGGCAAAAATTTTTATGTACTCTTCGTAGACTGTAGCGGCCCGAGCGATTGGCTCATATAAAAAAGATAATATCAGGTGTTAGGAATTTAAAAGTCAATATTGTGCAAACTTGTTTTATTGTTAGGATTAAGACAAATTAAAATATGTCAATAAATTATTTATATGTATAAGTGTTAACAGTCGATATGATGTGCTAATTTGTAAACTCTTGGGGGAATATAGGGTGTAAATTGCGTGGTAAGTGTTAGTGGAATGCGGGGCCCTTAAGATATTTAACGATTATTGGACATAAGGGTCAAGGTTGGGTGGGCCAAGTGTGGGTGCAATTTCCACCAAGCACCCTTGTCACCGGTGTATGCAGTGTTTGTATTTTTGTTGGTTTTGATGTTGTAATATGTCCCCTTTTTTTTTTAATTGTTAGGTCCCTTGGACTGTTGGTGTCAGGGTTGGAACCGACCCTGAGCAAAAAGCTCCCCTGAGCAGCTGGATACACACCACAGTACCGCATAAGGTGGTAACCATAACAAATTGTTACTGGAAGTCGTCTGTTAACCCAAAAGTTCTGCAAAAGAGAGCGGTTGGAGAGAGAAATGTTGACAGTTCTTTTAGTGAGAGCTTGCAAATTCTTGCTGGAAAAATTTCTTCTTGCAATCACTTGCAACTCTTCTTCTTCTCATTCATCGACATTCAATCAGATGTTTTCTATTGTTTGTTTATTTATTTTTGTGCTTTCAATTTGAAAATATTTTTCTGGAATTAGCAAGACTAATAGTTTTTGGAGAAAAACTTTACAAAATGTGAAAAACGTAAATGTTAATATGTAATAAGAAAATAAAAGACTATTTCCAACATTTTCATTTAAAAAACTTGTAAAATTAGTATTGCTTCCTTTGTTTTAATTCTCCTTATGGGGGACAAATTGGTTTGTTTTGACAAATCAGCTGATTAGTTGCAAGCTTCTGCAGGAATACCGTCTGTTTACTTTTCGTAATTTCCTTGCAAAAGAGAGTAAAACTACCTTACACTCTCAGAAAGATGTTGCTGGACAATTCCTGCAGGAAAAGTAACCAGACACACCTTATATTTTCATTTGCCTATGCTTGTATGGTGAAAAACGTTGCAGACGTACGTCAGGCATTAGGTAGGGGCGTACGAGCGATTTCAGACACACAGCTGTTCTGTCAAAGTCATAAATTCCATACGTCTTACGTTAAGGTTGTGAATTTAATGAAAAAATAATAAAATAATTTAACGATATTAACAGAGTATATAAGCAATAGATTAAAGTAATAAAACAATCGAGCGAACACAGCAAATAACTTATACAAGTTGTTTCGTTTTTAACATCATACGAATGCGCTTTAAATCACAATTTCCACAAAAGTCTTTCAAGTGATATCATGATAAACAAAATTTATTAACAAAAGGGCTACAAATTTTTATTGATATGAAAGAAATTATTAAAGTGCAATTAACGGAACATTATATGACAAAATAACATTTTTGGTTAAACGTGTGCAACCACCTTCTACCTGTATCAAATCCAAAATTGAAATCATTGCAACAACAATTCCGATATAGAATTCCCTGCAAACAACAAGAAAAGCAACAAACATACGTCGATAATTGTGTTGTGTGTTTTCCCAAATTATGGTTGGGCATTTAAAGCAATCTTCATCAGTCTAGAAACAAAACAAAAACCTTCAGCTATTCCTCAATACAGCACCCCAAAGAGTACACAATACATTATTGTTGATTACATTTAACAAATGAACTTTATATGTAGTCTATGAGCGATAAAAAAAAATACTAATTGGAATTGAGTTCTTTTGGTCTGTTATCAACAAGTTTCCCTTTCCGCAAGTATGCTATTCTTAGGAATTGCAGACGCATTTATTTATACAGCTTGTTGGATACAAAAGTAATAATTTACCATCCAATAGAAATTGTGAAATTAGCAATCAATTTAATATCAATAATTAATTTAGTGGCCAACATGGCAATAAATTGGCGTGAATTGTTTCCAACGAAACTTACATTTCTCATATTTATCCTGTATATGTCCCTTTTTATTGGGCAAGGTAAGTGAGAACATTCAATTTTAAGATGTTATGTTACTAACTTTTATGTCTCCTTGCAGGGATATTTGTAACCGCATCACAGGAATCCAATAATTCATATAGTTACAATACCGTAACAGTGGTTCTTCTAACGGAAGTCTTAAAACTTTTAGTTTCAGCTTCGCTATATCTCAGAGAGTGAGTCCAAATTTAATTTGTAACATGTATTTTTTTAATATAAGTATTTTCCCCGTTTTTTTTTTCAGTCACAATTTTACATCATTGGTCAAGGATGTCCGTAAAGATTCCAATGTTATGTTATTGTATTTTGTTCCCGCCCTTCTCTACTGTCTGTACAACAATTTGGCCTTCGTAAATCTATCAACATTTGACCCCACAACATATTATTTGTTATTGCAGCTACGAGTTGTCATAACTGGTATTTTGTTTCAGGTAAGTTAACATATTCAAATATTTAAGAATTGTTAATTAATACAATGTAATATTTGAAATTGGTTTAACCATTGTTGGTAGGAAATGTGTTAAGCAAGCCAGACATGATACAACTGGTTGTACAACTTGGAGAGGTTGTATTAAAGATTGTATCGTCTGTGACCCAGTTGTACGAAGTTGTGTCTAGGTTGTACAAAGAATCAATATGATTGATATTTGGCATGTTGTACCAACCGATTGTAATGCTAGCCACACATGGGCATGTCGCGGTAATGTTTACCAGGGGTTAAGGCAAAAATTAATAATGAATAAAAACTATTAAGCCAACTATGGAGCATGATTTTTTTTCCGGTGTCATCTTAACTCAAGTAAACTTTACGAAGTGTGAAGTTGTACACTAAGTTGTATCGTTTGTGACCGAAACACACAATTTGAGTACTCTCCAAGTTTTACAACCAATTGTATCGTGTGTGGCTTGCATTACAGGTATTACTCACTGTATCAATTGAAACTTGTTTAAAAAAATGCTAGGCAATAATATATTTTTTTATGTCCGCAGTCTGTTGAAAGCGATAATTGTTTGGTCCAAACTTTGCACGTTCTGATATTTCTGTCAATCTTTAATTGAGTGAACAATTTTATATCAAGGCGAAGCGGATACACCATTGTCACATTTTTTCGACCCTGCCTGCGTGAGAAATTTGACATTATCACGACCCCTTCCTTCTATGTTCATAACTCGCATGAAATGCAAAATTAATCGCGGATTTTCTTCAAAGGTGCCGATATTTCTCTCAGAAAAAAATGTAGAGGAAATATGGCCCATGCGGGCAAATCACTGTAGTGTTTACAAACAACAATTTTTATATTATCAAATCAATTTCATATAAGTCGTTGGGAACTTCTCACATATCAATATTTACATCAGACTTATGTGAGGTGGGACTTGAACTCCCACTCCCTTTTTTACCTACGCAAAAAGGCTCAGTATTTTTATACCCCCCACCTTTAAAAGGAGGGTATATAAAATATGTCATTCCGTTTGTAAAACCTCTAAATATTCGCCATGGTGCCCATTAAGTATATATAGAGTGAGATAAAAAAAAAAAAAAACTGCAACATAGTCAAACGACATAATTTTTACATTTTTTTTTTAAATTTTATTGAATGAAAGAAAAAATGTCAGAAATAGCATCAAATTTTAGAATAAGTTTAGATTTGTTAGAATTGGTCGTCTTTGGCACGAATTACGGCCTTCAAACGGCCAATGAAACCGTCACACGCTGCCCGAATGTTGCTCTGCGGTGTTTGTGTGCCATTCCTGACGAATCGCTTGCTTGAGATGATCGGCACTTTGGCATTTTTTAGTGCCAACTTTGCTTTCCAAAATACTCCAGACACGATAGTCCCACGGATTGGTATCCTGAGATTTTTGTGGCCATTATGCGCTGGAAATTAAGCGAGTAACCTCATTTTGTAGCCATTCTTGGGTGGCGCGCGCTGAGTGCGATAGTGCTGAGTCCTGTTGGAAGGTTTAAGGTCTGCAGCCAAAATGTTTGCATGCCCAAGTCTTTAATGCACCCTCCAGAATATTTTCGCCATAATATTCGGTCGATTAATACGAGCGGAGAGCGACATCGACAGTTATGGCGGCCCACGCCATAACCATGGCCGGCGCTTGACTTCTGGTGGCCAACCGAAGGTACACATTTTCAGCTGACCTCTTTGGCAAGCGCCGATCACACGATCAGTTTGTTTGTTTGTTTACCAACTGCTGGACAACGAATATTTTCTCATCGGAGAAAACCAAATTCGGCAGTTCACCACTTTCGGCCAAATTGGTATATGAAGTTCGTTATGAATACTACAGCCTATGGCAGAAAATTGTCCGTGCAGGTCCACGCCTTCGTATAGCCCCCATATAACGGTGCCTCCCGATATTCGGTATTTTGATGATTTTAGTTTGCAGTTCATAATTTATACTACAGCCTGTGACAGAAAATTGTCTGCGCAGGTTCACGTTTTGGCATAGCCCACATATAATGGTAATTTTAACTACATTATTCACCGATTTTTCGCTTTTCAATATTGTAGTGGCTTATGGCAAAAGTTGCATATGTAGGTCCACGTCGTCGTCTAATATTACGGCTACATTCGATATTTTTAAGATTTTAACAGAATTTTTAACGAATTTTATTTGTTTTGAAAATTGTAATGCCATGAAATGCCGAACTCACACCTTTTTTACTTGTTATAATTAAACAGCTGCACATACAAGAAATTGATATCAATAATTAAAAAAAATATATCGTAAACAAAACTCTATCCTCCAATTGTTAAACTTCCTAATAATCTATTATCTTTTATTTGCAGATAATTTTCAAAAAATACCTCTCAAAACGACAATGGATCTCATTAGTCTTATTGACAGTCGGCTGTATGCTAAAGCAAATCAACTTTAGCGGTATCTACAGTGATAACAACAACAGCAATAAAGATGACACATTGAAAAACCTTGCCGCAACAGAGGCTACAAAAGCACAACACTTTAGCCAGAAAAATATGAATGGTTTTGATTTTAGCATAAGTGCTTTGCTTATATTGGCCCAGACCATATTCTCGTGTCTTGCCGGTGTCTACAATGAATATCTGCTGAAAGACAAGGGATCCGACGTAAATATATTTGTGCAGAATGTTTTCATGTATTTGGATTCGATTGTATGCAATGTTGTCATACTTTTGCTGCAGGGCGATCTATTCTCCGCCTTTACGGCCGATAGTCTGCAGGCAATATTTCGCTTTAAGGTCATTATCATTATTGTAAATAATGCCGCCATCGGTATTGTGACAAGTTTCTTTTTGAAATACATGAATTCAATATTGAAGACATTTGCCAGTGCATTGGAGCTAATGTTTACGGCGGTCTTGTGTTATTTCCTCTTCGCCATACCCATTTATATTAATACAGCCTTGGCCATTGCGGTGGTGTCGTTTGCCATTTATTTGTATTCTCAAAGTCCGGTGGTGAATTTGGGTAAAGTACGACCGCCGACAAGTGTCAGTGATTTAAAGTCATCGTCACAAGACCGTAAGAAATTGTTGGATGATGAAGATACTGATTTGGAAATGGACATGGTGTAGTAGTCAATTTGTTTTAGTTGTATACATTTTAAGTACATGAACTACTGTATTGTATTCTATTTTTTAATATTATTATTTTTATTTTATTTTTATGTTAATGTTTTATTGTTTTTCCATACCTTTAGTTTCATCAAACAATGTAGGTTTATATTTTACAGATGCCGGTATTAATTGTCCTGATTATCTGCACCTATATAATCCCTTTTATGTTTTGTTTTTTATTCCGGCTTATCATCTTTGGCTCCTTCATGGAGTTACCGAAATTGATGTTTATTAAATCCTATTGCAATTTTTTTTTGTGAATAAGTTTAATTTAGTTATAACCTTAGTTATAGACACATATGTTAATTGTGTGCTGTTTATTTGTTTTTAATTTGAAAATGCTCTCTTCTTTTCATAAGAAAAATATTATTAATTATTAAAAAAGAAAATCTTTCCAGTAAAATAGCCATTGTTTAAGTATGTTGGTCATAATTGTTATACCCTACACCACAAGGTGGTCAGGGTATTATGTCTTTGTGCATTTGTTCCTTTTGATGATCCGCATAGAATCACATTCTGAGTCGATTTATGCATGTCCGTCCGTCCGTCCGTCTTACCATATATTTTTGTAAACAAAGTACAGGTCGCATTTATTGCCCGATTCCGATGAAATTTTGCACAAATAAGGACGAACCCTATTGGAAATAATCGGTCAAAATTTAGGTATAGCTCCCATATATATTTTCGTCCAATTTGCCTTATATTGTGCACCAAACTTGTAATATCACCCCAAATAGTATGTAATTTTGCACGTACAACCAAATTGGACCTGATAATAGGTATGTCAAATTTGATCGAAATCGGTTGAGATATAGATATATCTCCCATATATATCGTTCGTCCGATTTGTTATTTTTGTCCTCCGCAGCCGTATTATGCACTCTGCAACAACGATATTTGGGGAAATATATCAAATACAGCTAAGAAATACCTTTTCCAAATTTTATCGAGATCGGTTAATACTTTGATATAGCTTTCATATATATCTTCGTCCGATTCGCCTTGGAATGGAATTTGGTAGTACCAAATTGAGTCGAGAAACCAGTATGTCTAATTTGGTGGAAATCGGTTCAGATATAGCTATAGCTCCCATACATATTGTTCATCTGATTTGTTTAATTTGCCCTACATAGCCGTAATATGGACTCCGTGGAAACGATATTCGGGGAAATATATCAAATACAGCTCAGAAATACCTTTGCCAAATTTTATCGAGATTTTGTTATAGCTCTCATATATATCTATCCGATTTCAAGTTAATTGTACACCAAATGGATAATACAAGCCCGAATTGAAAAGGCACAAATGCCTCGACAAATTTAGTAGAAATCAATTCAAAGGAGGATATTCCTCCCATACATTAGTTCCTTTGGACTTTTAATTATTACTATAATCATTGCGGGTATAATTTAATTCTCACAAATTCCCCATTAAAACTTTGATTTGTTATGTTGAGCTCTACTAAATATGCAAAGTGGTGTAGGGTATTAAAAGTCGGCTCCGTCCGACTTTAAGACTTTCTTTACTGGTTTTCCTTCTGCTTTAAGAAGCTAGAAATTAGCAAATTGTTTGCCATTGTCTCAGTTTTGAGTAGATTATTTTTTTAATTACTCAACTTTCATTTATGTCCATCTTGGAAATAATACATTTAATTGGTTTACCTTACGTCTTCAGAGAAATAAAACGCTATAAATGACGAATTTTCCCCTTCATATCCTCCTCCTCCTCGCATTATTTTTCGTTGTATTACACATGTTTCATTTGATTTTAGGCGAGGTAAGACATATTGTAATTACATATGTTAACATTAGTTATTTCTCTTATGATTTGTTAAAACAAAGACTTATTTTTAAGATATAAAATTAAAAAAAAAACAACTTCTGAGATATAGAAACTCTATACTGGCAATAGAATGAGATTTTTGCTAGCCTTATTTAACCAAAGTCTAATGATATTTGTAAAATTGAGTTTTTATAATTGCAAATAAAAAAATAAAACATTTTACTATTTTACTTGGCATCGATTTTTTGTGATCTTTGAGAAAATGAATTGATTGTAGGTTTCTTGGAATACAAAACAATAAAATATTCCAGGCAAAATAAAATATTGCAGAGGAATTGTCTAGGCGTGGGTCCGAATCAGCTACTATTGAAGTTGAGAACTCGGTCAAACCACCTCTGTGCCACTTCCTGCAGGAAATTCTTACACACTACTCTGAGAGAATTCAAAAAAATGGCTGGACAAAAGGGGACGAAAATCTCCAAGTGAATCTGAGCCACACTCTCGGAAAAGAGAACAAAGTCGCTATTGTCCTTGTCGAAACCTGACGTAAAACTAGTAGGTAAAAGCCATTATCACAGGCCACTGAGGGCAGCGACCTCGAAATGGGACAGCGGTGATATTGACTAGTGAAGAATCTGTCAAGACGAAGAAGACATTGAGACGATCGAACATTTGCTCCGCCACTGTCCAGCACTCACGTGAGGGAACCTAACCTAACGTAGGTCTCTTGGAAAATAACAGGTTAAGAAGCATCCATAACCCTGGATTAGCATCTTGACAAATGAGGCCTCGGTTACCAGATCAACAAGCAAAATAGCGGCATCTGGGTTTGGAAAACCCAAATACTATTGTTGAATAGCTCTGCATCTTGAACGTGTGACTGTTTAGTGCGATTTATGATCTAACTTGTAACCTTTGGCCCATTGTGTTACCCCCAGACCATTGTCCAGGGCCCAACCAGACAACTGTAACAGTGCAACTTGTATTTGGGCAGCTTTCAGCTGTTAAGTCTCCTCTATATTGAGGAAAACTACCAAAGTAACAAGTTGCCTCCTCGTGAATCCTTTGAAATATTTACATGAGCAGACGAAGGTTCTCCCCTTACGTCAGCATAATCATATGCTTTCGTTGCAGTACCTGCTTGGGTGTTATTGTGGGAGTCATCCTAACTCTCCCACCCAGGCGTGTCAGGAAGGACCTGCATGATCTAGAGAGAGAGGTACAGTGAGATAAGAGAGACCCTAGATCATGAAGCCAATAAAGCGGGTCTGAATAGCATTCATATTGATGCAGTCGCGTAGCTAACAATTACAGTATGAATGCCATCTTCAGAGTCGGCTGTCTTGGCAAACCAGGTAGTTTTGGCCCAACTACAATCAGGATGGTGCAGCCGTCTTAATTCACATTGGGCACGAATTGACGAAGATGTGCGGAACGCCTGCCCAGCGTGCGATACAGGCCTGCACAATACGCTGCATTCAATCCAATTGTCCAGACAAGCCTACCCAATTTCATCCATGGGATCTCTGGCTACAGCCCATAAAGGTAGTAGAATTCTTAAACCTGGACATCGAAGAAGGGCCGGATTAACAGTCTATAAACAACAGAAGACATTTTTACGGTTACAACAACAACAACCAAAGTAAACTTGGAGTATTTCACTTTTTTTAATGTATCCGACAACTTCGTGTAGGGCTGTCTGACTGACGTATGGGATTGCTGCAATGTGCGTATTATATTTAAATTTGAAAGAGTTTCCAGAAACCTTTCTAAGGACTTCATAAGAAAGGCTTATTGGTCTGTTGTCTTTAGATAACGTCTGACTAGTTTTCCCAGCTTTGGTAATATATGTCCCCGCTACATCTTTCCACACACTGGGTGCAAAGCACAACATAAGGCAAACCTTAAAATCTCCTACAGAATTACCAAAAGAGATGCATTTTGCAACATTGGTGTTATGATGCCATCAGGACCAGCAGACCTGAAGAGTTAACAGGGGTTGATTGTCCATACAATTTTGGCGTAGATTTTTATCTTTTCTGTAAGTCTCCTATTTTCGGTAATGTAGAGAGGGCGTTTGTGATTCCTTACAACAAAAATCGGAGAAGCGGGTGCCTGCTAAGAGGTCGAGAGACTCTAGACCAGTGTTAGTCCATGTACCATAATCTCACTGTATACTCCCTATGGACTTGGGATCCTTAGACGGTATTTTTACGAAATTTGGCAGCATCATGTACCCCCTCTATAGACGCACCCAGGCTGATCCAAGATCTTCATTTAGACTTCTTTAACTCACTGTTGTACTTATTTAAGTCTCGGCGTTTTAATCAGTACTAAATTCAGTTTTGCTGGCTCTGCTATAAGGTATCCTTTCTGTCTTCCGAAGAATAGCAAGCTCTTAGTCCACAAATCCGGCTGGCATTTCCTCCTCGGAATCCATTTCCAAGAGCTGGTTTTATATTGCAATTTCAAGAGATGGTATTTCAATTCAAGATCTGGCCTCATCCAATTCCAAGAGCTGGTCTTTCAATTCCAATTTTTTTCATGATGAAAGTAAAAGGATGAAAACAAACAACATTTAAATTCTCCTTATAAATGAATAACTTGCATTAGAATATATTTTTGATTTTGAAATGCTTGCCTATGACATATTACAGCATAAAATAAAAATTCAAAAAAATATCAAGTATATGAGGTCAAAAATATAAAAAGGGGTTAAAATAAAAATTATTTCATTATAGTTTTTATTATAAAAATAAATTTGTTTGAAGATCGTCACAACTTATCGTTTTATCCGCTAGTCATTTTCATTCTTAGGCATCCTGTCGTATCGATTTTTCAGCCATTTTATTATAGGTCGCCTGATTGAAACGATGATACGCCCGACATTCCTGCAAGTGTTCACTCATTGTTCCCATCGGCACAAAGTGTGTGGCATTATATTCACAAACTTCCAATGGTGGACCACGATAATTTTTACGGCATTTCAAGACATGTGCTGGCATTCGGAACATAACAATGCGATGACCACTGTTAAAGGGGCAAACTCCATACTCATTTTCATCTGACATTGTGCTAAAGAGATAAAATATAATAAAATCATTCGCTAATATTTTTAATAAAATATCGAAGTATTTTTTCGTTTGTTCGACACAAAATTTTGTTAAGTTCGAATTTGAGAATTCTGTTAAATTTGCGCCAGACCTTTGAATATTTTCTAAAATTTAAATGGAATTTCCTAATTTGTAGGACTTTGTAGCGAATTTCTTGAGAAATGTTGATAATTGCAAAACAATGACCCTTTTTCGAAAAAATGTTATCTTTTATTAAAATGGTTATAATTTATTAACACAAATATTCTACAGTACAAAAATAAACATACAAATATTAAAAAAAACGTATATTAAAAAGTCTTTAAAAAATAATTATTCTATTGTTCGTCGTTTTTTCGAAAGCATTTGATTTTGCATATTTTCATTGCCTTCGATCTTTGCATGCGTTTCTTTCAGTTCGAGTTTTTCAATATTTTCCTTGTTCTCTTTTTCCAGTTCCTCCACTTCTTCGCGTAAATCTTCCAACTCATCTTCGTATTTGCGCTTGAGAAACTCCATTTTTGACTCGAAAATACGCTTCTGACTTTCCAGTTCAGTTTGTAGTCGTCGCTCGAAATTCTTTTTATTCTCTTCCAAAGTGATTTGAAACGAATCGACTAATTGTATACGCAGCTCTTGTTCCTGCTTTTGGAGCTCATCGGTTCGTTCGTTGGTGAGACGTTCAATTTCATCGCGTAGCCGGGCATTTTCATCCAACAGATCTTCGTTGTCATTGCGCAAAAAGGCATTTTCTTCCAATAGCTGTTGAACATATTCGTTGTTGTCCAGCTCTTTTCCTTCGAACACCGAGTATCGTGACTTATTCTGTTTTGTCACTGGCGCTTTAAATAGAATATTTTTAGCGATGGCGGCAAAACTTAAAACATTTAAATTTTCCTCATAGTACTTGTCGGTGGGTGTTACATTGACAATCATGGCCATTTTTTCTTTGCCCAGCAGAGCAGCCTGCAGTAGCATTGTCAGCTTAGACTCTCTAAAGGGTATGCGATCCTTGCCACCGGCTGATACACTGTTGGCGGCATCTAAACATCTGCCCAACACCATTAGGGAAGTGTTGATGCGCTGGGCTTCCTTCAATCTCGAGCCCATGTTTCCGGTTTTGTCCAGTCTTTCAGATCCCGCCAAATCGCAAAATTTAAATGAAGTTTCCGTAATGACACCGGAGCGATAATACTTCAGTACATCAACAAAGAATATACAATGTGATCTACTGGAATTGGCATTAATGGATGTCGAGGCATATGTGAGTTTTTGCAAACCCCAACGTAGCAGTCTAAGTGCCTCGGCACTGGTTTTAACAAAGACAGAGGTTAATCCCTTTATAAAGACATTTCCATCGTTACAAACAATTTTAAGATTTTTTCGGGCAGGAACCTTTTGCATTTTGTTATTGCCACCAGTTGGCATTGGAGCCAACAGATCATACACCAATTCATTGTATATTTCAACAAATGACACCCAGATGAGAACAGAGACGCCATCGTCCAACTGAAGCTGTGGAAAATTATGGTCTGCCGCAATACGCTGCTGCAAGTTGGCATAATCACCTTCCAATTCGGGACAACTGGACATAATTTTGCAACGCATGCTATTTTCTTTTGCCGCTGCCGAGTCATCTAGCACAGTAATGCGTCCGTTGACCAATTTTAAGACGGGATTGGGATAAATATTTGTCTGATACTGTGTAAATATATGCTCCAAGGAACGAGGTATAACACCCGGGCGATTGGCATCGCCAAGCAATGTAAAGGTCTTTCCCGAACCCGATGTACCATATGTCATGACCGATAGGCTTTCTTCCATTTCTATCTTTTGTCCAATGCATTTTTCATATACCTCACTCTGACTCACTGCTGCATTAAATATGCCCGAAAAGCTGTAATGTTTTTCCATGGAATTTTTGTTGTTACTTGTGCTGGCACACTCTAATGGCGGACCTGTTATCAACACATTGCCATCTTCAGATATCTTGTAGGCAGGTGAGGGACATGGACTAACCGGTCTCAGACGAAGGTATACAAGAGCACCGCTTTCAATGTGAGAGCCATCACTGGAATTGGCATCGGTGATTCCCGATGATCTGATGTCGCTATCAATATCCGTGTCACTGACGGAGCTATCACTTGAATAATCATCTTCTTCAATTTCGGCAAAAAGTCGTTCACGTTTTTGTGGTCGTGGCCGGAATCTTCTGTCAATACTTGGATCCCTGGCCATTAGAAACGATCGTACTTCACGTTGGGGATTCAAATTTGCCGATGCCATCTTTTTTTGCGAAAGCGTCACCTCACAAATCGTTTGCAAAATTGATGTTATTTCAAAATAGTTCGGCGCCAACTGTCACTAAGTTCAAAGCCGGTTCACTTCATGTCAACCGGCCTACAAAACATCATTGACAGCCTAGAAGTCTCTAGACTGAAATTCGGTGTGCTTTTTGTTCAGTGTATGTGTAGAGTAGCGTCTCTTGCCGTTTTTCGCATACTTTTGTAATTTAAATTAATTTACTAATTTTACCCACCTGTGTTATTCAATTGTCATACAATATTTTAAAACTTTACTTAAAAATATTGCTACTGCTCCGGCTTTTGCACAAAAACTTGGCGTAACTTGTAAACAATTCGACTTTAGAAATACACCGAAGATGATGTGTTGTACTTTGACGGCGTTAAAAAAAACCACCACGCCGTGGTCGTCATCTGCAGCGTATGGCGCATGAATTGTGACTATTTAAATAAAAGCAAAATGTACCCCATGTTTAAACACGAAATAAACTTTTAAAACGAGGGGGGGGGGTACCTTTGTGCAATAATCAAGGTAACTTTTCAAATATATAACTTTGAATTTTGGCTATCTAAATCTATTGCATCGGAGATGGGAACATATTTTTACAAAATCTTAATCCAGGTTAACCGTGATAATTGACGAATCACAATAAATATGAGGTATGTTTGTTGTTCATACATGCATGGTATGGGCAAGAGCTCGAAAGTTGGGAGTTATTCTTGCTATAATAAACTTAATTTTTAAAACTGTGGTCAGGACCATTATTTCCATGGTTTGTCCAATTACAGGAATATTCACAAGTACTGCTCAAGCAGATAATTTATGTTTAAGGTTCTCTCTTGTATCATTTGATACCGGAATTCAGCAGCATACATTTTTTGCGGTAGTCTATGATTGTCGGCATATGGGTTTCTGAGGTTCCATAGTCTTTAATGGGTGTTAACTTTAAGGACTGGAGGTTTTGATAATAAGGATATATTATTAAATAAAGCCACACCAACCACGAATGCATCTTCAATAACGGCCACATTTTTTCACGTAGCTTGTGTTTAAATCTCTCAAGAGGCCTCAAAAAATTGTAACCTAAGTCCAAACATATCGAAAACAAGGACTTCCCCAAAATATAAGTTAGATCCTTCCAGTGCTTCAATCCTTCAACACTCTATTCTCTAAAAAAAATTGGTATGTCCAATCCATTTAACTCGATGAAATTAAAATACAAATTATTCTTGTTTTAACACTTTAATCAAATCGTTATTTTCTTTTTGTATAAAGATTTCTTTTGTCTATATATTTGTGTTCTTCACTAAATGTACGATTCTTTTAAAAAAGTTCTCTGTATTGTGAAATTATAATTTACTGCGTTTTTTGCTTATGTGTTAATTGCAGAGGGAAAAAATACACTTATTTGGCCACTTCCTTAGACTCCTTAGCGTTTTGTAAAGATTGAGTGATGAAAAGTTTAGCCAAAGATTGGGAACAGAATTGTGAAATGTGTTGTGAATAGGTATTGATTTGACCCGATGTAATGGTAGCATTGAGTCTGGGTGGAACAGGCAATGGTCGGAATTGTTTAAGAACTTCTTCCTCGGGAATGGGTGATTCACCCTTGGCAACACGCAGAGCATTCTCGGCAGCTTGTTTGGTGAGAGCACGATGTTTTTCCTGAAAAGAAAATACAATTTTTCATCAATACAAATCAAGAAGAAAAATAGGAAAATTTGAGCTTACCGTTTCCTGTTTGAAGACAACTTGTTGATACTTATTGTAGCGAATTGATTCTTGATATAATTCATCGACACGCTCGATCAGACAGCGCATGTGATTTTCCAAAACGGAAGCGGTACCAAGATCCAGGAAATTATGACCCTGTTCTTCGGGCATCATTTCACACAATTCGCTCATCATAATGTTGGTCAATGGCGAGTTTTTAATAACAATGGGAATTTCGACAAATAAACTCTCATAGCCGACCTTCATGTTTCTCAAGGCTTCGGGTGTGAAATCGCCATCCTTGTACATTTGGATAGCTTGTGGGGTCAAGCGGTAAGCCTTTAAACACAAGAAACCACGTCCCGACTTTTGGGTATCATAAATTACCACAACCGATTCTTCGATGCTGGTCTGGTAATGGTATTGCGATTCCAGCAATGCCATTGACAGGAAATTTCCCACATTAGAGCTTTGATACCAGCCGACATGGAAGTGATCGACATTAACGCGACGCAAGCGGCGCATCATGGTCAATTGATACATTTCCTCGTCCATGGAATCGTCATCGCTCTTGGGGAAGGGGAAGCAATTGGTGATTTCCAAACATTTGTCCACCACAAGACCGAGCAAAGCACCTTGAGCCAAATCCATGTTGCTGGACTCTTCGTGGCAGTGCTTGACAATTTTCATTGCCGCCTGGAATAAAACAATAACATTTTAATGTTTGCAAAAAAATGTGTAAAGCCCAAATCAAACGTAAATATGGCATCTCTTCCCCTTGGCTGGCTGATGCACAGTTGTCAACTGCGAACGTGTGATTTTCGCTTTTGACATTTGCCCAGCAGACACAGTCCAATACACCAATTTCACCAATCAATTTCATGATTGTTAAATGGAATTTCTCCAAAATTCTGGTAAATCCTTAAAGATATTGTCAAATTCTACTGAATTTACTTACCAATCCATCGCATTGTACATAATTAATAGTGTTATCCACTTCTTCAGTTTGGCGAGCACGATTACCACGATTTGTTGCCATTTTGATGAATTTGTGAAAAGAAAGATAGTGATGGCAATAGTTGTAATTTATATGTTAATCGATATTTTAAAATTGTTCGATATGTTTCGACCAGTGGTGTTTATCGATATGAAGGGCAAATAACGAGCAATGGCGACAAGTCAAATTTATCAAGTGTTATATGACTTTAAACTCCATTAAATATGTGAAATCAAATGAATGTGTCTGCATCTATACTATTTGCAAAAAAAAAAAAAAAAAAAAAAAAAAATCTAGACAGTTAAGTTTGTCAAAAAAGAAAGAAACAAAGTTTGTGGGAGTCTTTTCGACAGTTCCAGAAACAATATGCGTTACCAAAATTTAAAAATTCAGTTTTTTACATTGGGTCTGCCTGGTTGCTTTTACTGCAGTAATATCAAAACATAAAAAGAAGAAATGCACACCAATTGAATTTTATATAAAGAAAGAAAAAAACAGCTAAAAGGAAGAGTTTCTAGAAACAAAAATTAGGCCATTACAAAACAACAGAGGTAGACTCATTTGCTTTTTTCAACTCGACCCCATAATTTTTCAAATAAAAATTCTTCTCATCTAAAATATTTACGTATGACGAGTGGCATAGTTTACAAAAATAATAAATAGTCCGGAATTTTGGCACGTCAAAACATAATATATTTCCTATCTAGGGAAGACGAATTTAAATTTTATTTTCACGTATAGAAAATATAGATTAAAATAAAATAGATTAAAATAAAATAGATTAAAATAAATATAGATTAAAAAATAAAATATAGATTTTAAACACATCATCTTAAGGAAACGTTCCCGGTAACTTTGTTGCTAATATGTTAGCTTTCTTGTTTAGATCAATTCTTCCTCGATAGAGGGTGTAAAAGGTGTAAAAATAAAAAAAAAATATTTGATAAGAAATACAAGAAAATTTCTTGCCAGTCTTACGCCCATATCTAAGGAAGAACTACAGAATATAAATTTGACAGTGATGGGACATTAATAAAAATATGTGATCGCATGAGATTACATTAGAGCGATTGCGATGTCTAAAATAAAATAAATGGTTCTGGAACAGCTCTGAAATGCTTATAAATTGCTTGCAACAAAATAAATTTCCGGATGATCAAAAAGGAAAAATAGCCAATAGACTCACTCTTAGATACCCGTCTTTTGCCAATTTTGTGTTTGCCTTATTGTTATTATTATTATGTCATTTCAAAATCAATGATTGGAAAAAACCTATGGTCTGTTACTGAACTGCAAGAATGTAGTTTTACTTCGATTTTCCCTTTATAATATCGAAAAAAATTACAAAAATTCTGGCAGGTACTGGAAATGTGTATGGGACAAAAATGTGTATAGCTTTTGACAGAATAAGGGCACCAAAAGAAAAAAATCGTTTTTATTCTGTAATTATGCCATGGTAGTGGTCATATTAAAAAAAAAAACAGACAAACCAATAACCTTCTCGCTTTTAGATCCATTGAAAAAAGGGAAAATCAAATAAATAAGAACGGCTTGTTACATCTAATTGTAAATAGTTCTGACAAAGCAGTAGTTTTAGGAAACAGCTTTATTCTTATTGCTGGATTTTCGTAATAATTAATTGATATTCCAATTTGAAAACATTCAAAATAATTTCCTATATTATTTAAAAGAGACAGGAAAAAGTTCCCAACCAAAAAAATTCTAATTGGAAGTTGTCAGTGACCGCCGTTGTGCTTGTTTCGTACCAATTGCAGCTATCGATTATTATCGATTTTAGTGTTGTCGGTTTTGTTCCCCGGTTTTGCAGAAATATCTCCATTATTGGCAACTCTCTACCCGTTACCCAAATGTACGGGAAACATTTTCCGCGCCAAGAAGATAATGACGAGGATCACTCTCTAGGAAGAAGGCGCGGAAGGTACACATTCCAGTTGGTGTACGTTTTACCTTGTTGGTCTAAGTATTTCACAATAATATCTTATTATTAATGTTTTTTTTTTATAGAATCGAGAACATCATTTTGTTAAAAGCCTAGAGAAGAACATAAAAGAAATTAAGTGGAAAAATTGAAGATAACAAAAGTAAGTACAAACTAATACTGTGAAATTAATTTTTAAATCTTTATTATTTTTTTTATTTAAAAAAAAACATTAGAAATTGTGGTCCCAAATTTTTAATCTATAATGCTAAACTACCACTGCCTTGTATACGTGTGTGATTGAATAATGTGTGTTTGTGTGTCATTTATGTTATTCGTTGTTTTTGTCGAATTGCGTTAACTACAATAACACTGCCTTTACACGGTGCAATTTTTAGCTGGCATTTTTATCAATTCTCTTTTAAAATTTCTGCGTAAATCTTCGCGACTTTACACGGTGGCATTTTACGATAATAGTGCTTGGCATTTTTTCTGATATTTTATTTTATTCAGTATTTCGTATAGAGCTAATTGTTTGTAACAGATATTTATAAAGAAGTGATTTAAACTTAAATGTGTGAATTTAAAGAAGAAATGATGGAAAAAGTTATTGAGGTGTTAAATATTGCATTATTAACTTTTATTTTAACTTTCTTTTTTTTACTTTTTAATACTACCAATTAATTTTCATATAATTCACTATACAATTCAATAACTAAAAACTTCACATCACAATAAAAGAAACGCATCAAAAATTACAATAAAAAAACTATATGAAATGTCAAAATTATAAAAAATTCGGAAGAAGCAAAAAGAGAAATGCAAAGAAAATGGCATGTAACCCTGTGCGGTGGCTTATCGTGCCATTTTTTCTTCTATCCTTGTCTCTCTACACCTTTTACCAACAATAAAAAATGGCATGGTTAAAAAATGTCACCGTGTAAAGACAGTGTAAGAAGCGAAGTATCAATTGCAAGAAAAAAAGTCTAGTTTGGATCAATATATATATATATATATATATATATATATATATATATATATATATATATATATATATATTATAGCATGGTCTAGATATATATATATATATATATATATATATATATATATATATATATATAGACCTAAAATACATAATAAACTTTCAATAACAATAATGACATTTGGACAGCATAAAAATACCTTCTACAGCATCCATTTATTAAATCCATGGGATTTCAAATTAATTCCGGTCTGAAGTCGTAATATGTATTGTTTTGTAGTTACTATAATATGAAAATCTCAAAGTCAACATTTTTGTGTAGCTCTTCTGATATTGTTCCTAATTTCCCTTGTTGTTTTTTTTAATTCTTCTTTGAGATCTATTTTTGCTGGACCTTTATAGAGTAGTGTTACTCTATCAGAGGAGGCCTCACCTGGTGTCCTATTGCCTACTCAATTCGCGGGCTACCTCATTATCAATAATATTGTGGCCAGCCGGAACTCGACAAGGCGTAAAGATGAACTTCAACGTTTTCAAGATCGCCTTGCTTTTAATGATGATCAAATTTAGAAATGTCAACATATTTAATTATCGGACTGAAACGAATCCATCTCCACCTGAAAGATGCTGCCGTCGTCGTTTAGCTTGAATGAGCTCATAACGTTGAGATTTCCGCAAAAAAGCCGACACCATTGCCTTTTTCAATATTAGACCATGCTATAATATAATAAACGACAATATTTACGTGACAATTTCATTATTATTTTTTTTACTTTACTCTAATTTTAATTTTGTTAATTTTCGAACGCTGTTTTCATTATTTTTATTTGCCATATAAACAAACATCATATGGTAATTTCGATTATAGAGCGATTATTGTACAGTCAACGTAAATCGATAAATCAATGAAGAAAAACGTCAAGCAAATACGTTGACAATTAGGAAGGGCTGTTTAACGGCTCCATATTTCGTTGTTTAACTTTCTGCAGCACACAACAAACCATAACAAAACATCCCCTTCGTATCCTTAATCAATGAATGAATACGAAAGGAAATGCATTGTTTAAGGGAAATAACACCCCCTCTCCGCCGTTATTGGCACACACATGCGCAGCATTCACAATAAGGCTGGGGGAAAAAAGAAGAAATTTGCTCAAGAAACACAGACAGCCAACCCAGTTAGCCAATCAGTGAGATCTAAACATATTCTAAGTTTTATTCATTTTTTTATTCAGTTTGCCTAAATATAAATAATTTATTGCTTTTTATTGCAAAAATCGCAAACCCACAGCAGCACATGTTATACGAAAGAAATGCTCGCAAATGTTGGTTGTACTACTACTGAACTCAACGAACGCCTTTTGACTGCGGTGCACAATTCCAACTATGAGGAAACTTTGTCATGCCTCATGCAAGGTGCAAGGTATATTAGAAAAACAAAACTGATTTTGTTTATCAGCAATTGTTTGTTTGTTTGCTGCAACATTTTAAGTTGGTCTTTCTATATTTTTAAGAGCCACATTCATATCCTATTCCTGCGGACGGACGGCCATTGGTTCGGCGGCCTTAATGGGTGATACGGAAATATTACAATTACTGATACAGTCGTGCGAGGAACCAGATTTGATTTTCCAGCCGGGTATGTTTGCCAAATGTTTGTGTCGTTGATGTGCATAGGTTGAAATCTTTAAACGTGTCAAGTGTTGGTCCTGGTATAAAACTGCAAGGAATATTGGTCATTAAATGGCATATATATGTTCTCTAAAACCAATGAGAAGAGGTAGAGTGTAACTATCATGGAAAGTTGTTTGCAGAAAGACATGGGTTAAATAAGGCGTGTCTACGTAGTCCAACGTCTAATCCACTCGAAGATTGTCAGGACTATTGTGCTGTGTTCCCGAAAGAATTTCAGAGACCGATATGGAGATTAAAAAATAAAAACGAAGTAGTGCCAAATCGACTCTTCTCAAATTCCTAAAATTTGATAGATAGAATATTCTTCAGAGGTGTTAAAATATCCCCAAAGAACCCGAAATATTAAACTACAGCTGAAGTTGGTTTTAGTTTGAAGTTGGGGAAATTGGGGATGGTGCGATATCAAAATGTGGACTAAAATTGTCATTTTTTTTGGGAGGAAATTGGGTCCCATCTTACAACATAACGAAAGTAAAATTTCTCAAAGCTATTTTCAGGCTGTATCTGAGATCTTGTACGATTATGTAAATAACGCGTATCTATCTAGTCCAATATCTACTCTACTCGGAAACTTTCAGGGCTATTGTGTTGTGTCCCAAAAGGATTGTAGAGAACGATGTGGAGATTAAAAAATTAAAATATTCTTTGGAGGTGTAAATATATCCACCAAGAACCCCAAATATTGAACTACAGCTAATTTGATTAAAAATTGGGGACATATGGGGCGATATCAAAATGTGGACTTACATTGAATTTTTTGGGAGGAAATTGGGGCCCTATCTTGCAAAATAACGAAAGTAAAATTACTCAAAGCTTTTTTCAGGCTGTATCTGATATCTGGTACCGATTATCATTGTTATAATATGCAGACTTTGGGAGATTAAACCGATTCGTTTCAAAAAATCTCTCATCGAAGAAGCTGAAAGAAATTGGCAGTTAGCGACCGGTCGTAGGGTATCTAAGGCCATCTGCTCGGTAATCTCGAGCAGGAGAACAAGCGCAGGAGAACTTCTGTAATCTATGTGAGGATGAGGATGAGATTCAGACGATTGAAATCCTACTATGTAGATGCCCCTTTCCCTTTCGTTCTTTTCAAACATAGATCCCATCACCATAGACAAGATGCCAAAAAGGTTCTCTGGCTAAGCAGACGTCCTGCTAACTGTATTTTCTCTCTTTCCTTCTCTTTCTCCATCACTCCTACCACCAACAACTTTTATATTTCCTAGGATGAACACAATGGACTAAATGTCTCCGAGTGAAATAGTAGCCCAATCCCGCGTCTGATGCAAAATATACGTGAAATCGGACAAAGATGTATCTATCGATGGGGTTCGTCCTTGGATATTTTTTGATAAAAGATCGAGTTACATATTTCTTCCTTTTCAAAAAATTTTAATTATATCTTTGGTTGGCATAGAAGTGGTAGGTGTTGAAAGAAAACTTCTGATGCAGATAACATGGTTTTGGATTCGAAATAAAAAAAGCTTAGCCTTAAATAAATCCCAATTTTATTTTACCTCTTTTCAAAATCTATATTCTGTATTTTTTCAGATAAATCCAAATCGAATGAAAACGAAATAGATACCACACCCGAGGGTATGGACTGTTTGGAATGGGAGGACGAATTTAATGCCAGCAACAATTCTGATAATTCCACAGACGAGACTGTAAAGGAATTTATAGCCCTGTATAATTATTATGCCAAAACATTCGAACGAACTGGGGATATAGTTAGCAATTTGGAAAAGTATATCTGTGATCGCAATAACTCAATGGCCACTACCAGCAGCAACGGCAACAGCAGCAGCAGTAGCAGCGGTTGCGCCAATCAAGCCAATGCCATATTGCTGGAACAGGACCCACACACATTGGACCACATGACCATGGCACCATTACATTATGCAGCGGTGGGTGGGGTGTGTGAATGTGCTCGTATACTTTTGGAGCATGGCGCCAAGGTGGATGTAACAACAGCTGTGGGTTATACTCCATTACACATTGGAGCCGATAACTGTGATATAACAATGCTGTTGTTACAGTACGGAGCAAACCCAAATGCTAAGACCTTTAACACGGGCGAAACACCATTGCACGTTGCTCTTAAATATCGCAATCCGAATGTGGCCAATTTACTGTTGCAGACCAACAAAGTCAATTTAAACGAAATCGATGAGAATGACAAGACCCCGCTCATGTATGCCATAGCCTATGATCAATTCGAGGTGGCCATGGAGTTGATAAGGAAGGGAGCCCGTGTCAATTTACAGGATAAAGATGGCAACACGGCTCTCTTTCAGGTTGTGGAAAAGAATAACATTGCCCTGGCCGCCTGCCTGCTCGAACGTGGAGCTCGCCTCATAACATCACATTATTTGGTGCACCGCTGCATTGCCTTTGATATGCCAGAAATGTTGGGGTTGCTGTTGCATTACGATGAACATTTGAATAGCTTAAAGGTGCGCAATACCGATGGTTTTACACCCATCAAATTGGCGATTATGTATAAAAAGTGCGAAATGTTGGAATATATGCTGAAGCTGGATGCATCATCATTGGAGACGGAAATCGATAATGATCTCATTTTGGCCGTACAATATATCGATAAGCTGCATGATTTCAAAATTATAGCTCGCACACTGATGGCATATGCCAAGGATTTATCCTGGATGACATCGTCGTCGTCGTCGTCGTCGTCGTCGTCAATTATGACCTCAACCTCCAGTACAAATTGTTATGTCCCGTTTTGCAATACACCGCTGTCGCGTGCGGTGACATTGAATAAATTGCACTTTGCCGAGTTTTTGTTGAAAGAGGGTGTGAGTATTCAGCAGATATGTTACGATCACGTTGTAAACTCGCTGAGAACATTAAGGGCTCCCGGAGCCAAAGACTTTGCCAAGTTTTTGGGTAAGCAACGTAACGAAATAAAATAAATATGAAATCAATTAATCTCTCTCTCTCTCTCTCTCTCTCTCTCTCTCTCTTCTCCATAGTTTTGAATGGTTTTAAATTTCCATATCGCAAATTGACAAAAATACCCAACAATTGGTCATTGGAGCGACAAGACTTCGAAGAGGATCTCAGACGATCATCAACCCAACCCTTAGAACTGAAAACCCTGACACGTATACAATTACGCAAGCATTTAATCCAGACACTATCTAGTTCCACCGTTGAAACACACCTAAGCAAATATCGAGCATCGAAAGACAAATCGACATTACAAAAAGTTATTGAAGAATTGGAATTACCAAAATGTTTACAAAAATATTTTATAGACTTTGATGATTGTGTATCTGTGATGGCATTATATAATTAGAAGAAAAAAAAATCCCAAAGAAAAATAATACTCTAACACTGGACCCCATGTACTCTCCATGTTTTAACAAATAGATGAATAGAACTGTTAACACATCAAAAAAAAAAAAAAAAAAAAAAAAAAGACAAACTCTAAGACATGACTACAAAATTTGGCTGTAGAAAATAATATTCATTTAAATTTTACTCAAAAAAAAAAAAAAAAGGAAAACAATTCATTCCAATCTGTAAAATTTTTAATCTATTGTATACAAGTTATTTATGTACTTTTTATGTGATATTTTTTAATGTGGTTTTAATTTTTTTTACGAAAAAAAATGTATTTAATTTTATTAGGTTGTTTTATTTTATAATTTTTGTAAATTTATTTAAATAATATAAACTAACACCATTGCAATAAATTCTCTAGTCAGAAAAGAGAGAGAAAAGACCCAAAAACGATTTGTTTTGTTAATATGATACCTGAGACATTAGAAGTTCGGAGCAACCATGAAATTAATCAAAACCGCTATAAGGAAAACTTCAATCATGGAAAATTTGTTTGGCGTTAAATATCGGAATCAGTACCAATATTAAATATTTTGACAAAAGGTGACTTGGACTTTCTGTAGCCAGAAATTTGGTGCCATTGTTGGCACCTGTCGCAGGGCCAGCAAAACTAAACGCAGTACTGATTGAAGCGCCTATAAAGTAGACTTTAAGAAGTACAAAAGTGAAATAAAGAAGGCTAATCGCAGATCTTGGGTCAGCTTTTGTGCGTCTATAGAAGGGGGTAGATAATGCTCTAGATTTCGAGATTATGGTATATGGACTAAATTTGGTCTAAAGAGTCTCGACCTCCTATCTATCTATATTTCCCGGTTGTAAGATAGTAATGACAAAACACCCTCCGTACATTGCACAGCGGGAGATGTGAGACTTATAGGAAGGATAAAAAGCTACCCTAATATTATATAGGCAATCAACACCTTTCAATTATACAATGTTGCGAAATGCATCTGAATAGCTATTGGCTATCTTGCAGGAGATTTTCAAGACTTGTTTTATGTTGTGCTTAGTACCCAGTCTGTGAAAAGAGGTAAGAGTAACCTATGTTCCCAAAGCCAGGAAACCTAATCAGACATTACATAAATATTATACAGATCGATTGACCTCTTTCCCATTCTAATGAAGGCCTTAGAAAGGATACTACACCTGGAAATTCGTTCAAATTTAAATGTAAATATAATAAGTACATTGCAGCACGTCCATATCAAGAGTCGGTCAGTGGAGACAGCCCTACAAGAAATTGTCACGTGCATTGAGAAAAATATGGAAAACTTCAATTTGATATTGTATCCTTTTCTCGATATAGAGAGTGTTTTTAACAATGTGTCAGTATATTTTTAGCTCATTATACCCTCAGCCCTATGGCTACAGAGGATATATTTCATTTGATACGACCAAAACGTGCCTAGTCGAAATAATAAATCCTAGGTCTCTTTGGATCAAATCGGTTTCAGGACATTTGGGGTCGATCTAGCGATGTCCGTCCATCTGTCTGGCTGGTGCGCATGATAACTCTCGATGGGAGTATCCGATTTGATTCAAACTTGGTACATTGTAATATGATTTTCAAACTTATATCGGGTTCGGTCTACTCCTTCTGGTACCTCCCACACGAAATGTCAACATTTTCATAGAAAATTATTTACTGTACAGAAAGAAAAAGGATAATCCGATTTTGCTCCAACTTTGCAAATCCTAATATTTGCATCAGTACTAGGTCGGGTGCGAAAATGGATCCACTCCATCAAGTAGCTCCCCCACAAATGGTCATAAATTTGAATAATTATTAGGCTGGAAATACATAAAGAGCTTGAAGTCATGGCTAGGCATATTTTGTGACATTTCATAAAGGGATTACAGAGCCGCACCAAAATCCTGCCGTCGTTTTCCATTATAATTTGACATTAATATGCCTAGCCATGACTTCAAGCTTGTTATGTACTTAGCCCATGGTAGAATTACAAGGTAACCCTTTCAGGCCAGCTGTAGTCAACTTGATATGTCAAACAAGTTGTTGTAATTCGAATTCGCCGTAGAAATACATAACAGAAATTCAAACATCATAGAGAAAAAAAATAAAAACACACAAATAAACACAAAAATATAAAAATTAAATTTTGTGATAAAGTTCAAATAAAAGAACAGAATATGAGGTGTTGTGCTGTTTGTAAAAAAAGGATAGTGATCGACAAGCAACATTTTTAATGTATCCAAAAGACGAAGAGGTTGAAATGAAGTGCGATTTGTGGGATCACTTTAACCACAACCTCAAAATTTGTTCTCATCACTTCAACCCAAAGTATAAAACGGGGAAAAGTTGTAGAATAAGATTATTTCCATGCGCTTTACCAGAGATGCATCAATTCTATTCTGGTGGTTCAAAAAAGAAATTTCCAGGGTACGTACAGGGTTGCCCATATTCGATGGACCCATGACTCTTTGGGCCCATTCCAATCGACGAGGCTTGTCCGCAGGCAACATTCTTTGCGTCAATTGAATTTTGTACGGGAACAAATGCAAATCAATGTGAATAATCCGTTGTAAAGTGGACCGAGCCATGCCCAACTGCTGAGAACGGCGTTTTTGGGATGTTCTTGGGGACCTCTCAACACTGGCTCGTACGGCAGCGATATTCTCGGCCGATCGCCTTAGTCGACTTTTATATGGCCTCTTCGGATTAGAAAAAGCCTTACGAGTCGAAAATTTTTCGTATAAACGCTTAATGGTGTTCTTAGAAGGCGCACTTCTCACATTTTTTAATGTTTTAAAAGCACGTTGAGTTTTCACAATAGATTTCTTGTATATTTCAACTATTTCAGAGCGCTCGCGTGGCGTGTATTGTTTCATGGTAAAAATCTGCTTGGACTGACGCTTCAAACGCGGTATGTCATTAAGCGATGTGACATCTCTGTCAAAAGTTATGGCGTTGCCAGATGGGTCCGTCGAATATGGACAACCCTGTATTTGCCAGAAGTGAGAATGTTAATAAAATATATAAAATACGGTTTATATGTAGATGAGCCCAATGCGAAGAAGTCGGGAGGATGCTTCAGTGTGAGGCTGGAATAAATAGGCTATACCAAAACGTGGACCGATATGTCCCATTTGCAATACCAACCATCCTAGGAACAATACACACACTTGTGCCAAATTTCAAATGGACAGACAGACGGACATAGCTAAATAGTCTTAGAATTTTATGCTGATTATGGGTCTACGACGAATATTTAGAGGTGTTACAAACGGAATAACAAAGTTAATATACCCTCCTACCCATGGTGGAGGGTATACGAAATTATTAAGTAGCTTACAATTTCTCGACCTTGATATTGGTGGAAATAAAAAAGTTCCACCGTAGTTACACACAGGTTTAAATTCACAAGTTCCACGCATATATGTACATTTATTGTTTAAACACTTTTAATGGCAAAGCATAAACCCTAATTCTAATACAAAAGGATAACTTGAGATCTTTACACATTTCTTAAAAGCCTATATCTAATGCTACAAGGTGAATTATTTATTTTATTAAGAGAATAAAAAATAAGTGATAACATAACATATCTATCTTTTGTATCTTCACACTGGATTCTGTGCTGTTAAAAATGTCGTGAGGAGTGGGACGACATTGCCCATCTCCGCTCTATGTTTGTTAAAAATATTGCGATGCACTATGTTTGGATGATGATCCATTCTACAGCTATCGTACGCACCAGCCAGAAAGACGGACGGATCGAACCCAAATGTCCTGAAACGGATTTGGTCGAAAGAGGCGTTATTTCGATCAGATACATTTTGGTCATATCAATTTATACAAACCTTCTGTAGCGATATGACTGATGGTATAATACGTATACACTTCCAGTTATTGCAGTATTTTCAATTTATATGTTAAAAAATATTCTAATCTCAACTAATATATACATATGAATAAACCAAAATAAACTTATTCAATGTTTCAGAACGAAGAGTTCTGATTGGTGCAAACCAATTTGCCCCAAATTTTATACTTCAAATAAATTCGCCCTGATTAAAACTTTGACATATCAAGTTTCTAAAAAAGTTGCTTTGTTGTAATTTTCGCCTATGTTGTTACCTGTTATTTCTACCATGACTTAGCCCTTTACTCTAATAAAATGTGACGTAAGTGTCCGATTGTCTTCAAATTACACACGTCACAATATTTTTATTAACCCAAGGTCTGGTGTGAAGATGGAATATATTGGTACACTCCTTCCGGATCCCCCACACAAAGTGTCAAAATTTGCAATATTCATAAAGCGAAATTAGTATCCGATTCCATTCAGACTTGGCACATCTCAATATTTCCATCAACACAAGATCTTTTATAAAGATGGTGGAGATCGGACCATTCCTTCTGGTACCTCCCACACAAAGGATCAAAGTTTTGAACAACCAAAACGATCTTAAAATCCGAAATAAGCATCCGGTTCCCTTCATATTTCACACATCTCAACATTTCCGATAACACAAGATCTATTATGAAGATTGTAGATATCGGACCATTCCTTCTGGTACCTCCCCCATAAAGAGTCAAAATTTTGAACAACCAAAATGTTCATAAAAACCAAAATTTGCACCCGGTTCTCTTCAAATTTTGCACATCCCATTATTTCTACTAACACAAGATTTGCTGTGAAGATGGGATATATCGGCGCATTTCTTCTGGTACCTCTACGGCATAGGATTTAAGATTTTGAAAAACAAAACGCTCAAAGTAAGCGAAATAAGCATCCAACTCGCTCCAAATATCACACTTCCAAACATTTTTGCTAACACAAGATCTGTTGCGAAGATAATATATATATCTGCCAACCCCTTTTGGTACCTCACCACACAAAGGGTCACAATTTCCAATGCTTATATCGGTCATAATTTGCAAAACAAGTCGGCGATTCTTTACAACTTGCTATATCTAAATATTTCTCTTAACCAGAAATCTGCTATGAATATGTAATTTATCGGAATTTATGATTTCGCATAAAATTGGATATAAATGTTCGATTTCCTTCAAATTTGACCCATGCCAATATTTAGATGAAGGAATAAAATGGAATACTTTGGTCCGATATATCTGTTACCTCACATATATTTCCACATTTCCCAAATATGTGCATATATTTCATATAAAGTATTGGAAGTAGTCGATATAGTCCAAATGTGGCACGTTGTAATATTTATATCAGTTTTAGGTCACATACAAATTGGTCAATATTGGCCATCTGCTTTGGAACCTCCCTCATAAAGGGTTAACAGTTTGAATAATCAGAATCAAAAGGCATCTGTCGGAAAACCCGACTGATACTATTTTACTTATCTTTAATTTTTCATAACAGTTTGTTTTCTTTTTGATTCTTTCTTTTGCCATCAAAATCTCCGCTTGTAATAAAATTGCAGAAATACATATTTTTTTAACTATATTCTTATTTATTCATTAAATAACTTTATGCTACACATGTAGGTATGTACTTCTTTTTTTTGTTGGTTTAGTAATAATCTTTAAAAATACTTTATTGGTTAGTTAAAGTTGAAATATATAAATTGTTATATTTTTGTTTTTCAATGTTGAAATGCACTTAATTTGATTTTTTCTTCTAAAAAAAGAGACAAAATATTTTATATTTTATGCACGATTATGGATTATTAATAAATGTATACAGATAAATAGAGATATATTTTGTGTGTGTGTGTGTGTGTGTATAGTAATTTATTTTGAATCCTCTTTTTTGCGGGGGATTAGATTTAGATTTTTAGGGTTTAAGCAGCAATTTGAAATCATCATTGGCATTCTTTGCTAAATATTCAAATGGTATTTTATTCTTATTATCGGCTACATCTTTGAGTTTGGGATTTTTCTCGAGAAGAAATTTACTAACTTCCAAATGGCCACCGATTGCAGAGCGATGCAAGGCCGTTTGACCATCATCATCCTGTATATCAACATTGGCATGGGCACTGTTCACCAATAGTTTAACTATGTGAAGGTGACCTGGAAGAATAAGAAAAAGGGAATATTAAACATTTTTTTTTAATATTTTTTTTTCAAAGCCTCAGCAGCAGAGCTTTAGCAGTTTGATGTTAAAATATATGTCAAGTTAAAAGTAGTAGTAGATACCTTTTGTTGCATACATGTGAAAATATACGATTACATGCAACCCGGATACAACCCTGAATTTTTAAAATGGAACGAAGTTGAAGATACGAAGCCAACCTGACAAGGCGTACTAGTTTAAGCTCGTATAATTGATTTTAATAAACGTTTGTGAATTCTTAATTTAATATAAAAACGGTCGTTGTATTTCATTTGAGTATACGGAAACCAACAGACTTCAATCGATCACTTGACATTTTTCTCAGAAGTGGGATACGACAAGTCTTATTGGAAGAAGCGTCTACCAACAAGAAATATGGAGAATTTGCACAAATGCACGGTTAAGCAGTTGCAAGCGAAATGCAGAGAAATTGGTGTTTCTCAAAGTGGTAACAAAAAGCAATTGATCGAACGACTTGAAGTCAACAACGAAAGCGAGCTGCACGGATTCGCATCTCCTCATGATATGCAGGAGCGAATTTCGCATTTGGAAGATATGGTAACTGAATTGCGTTCATCTATGGAGCAACGTGGACAATCAGAATTTGAGCCGAACAACGCATCATCCCCTTTGAACACGTTTTCGACACCGGATGGTAATATGTCCCTGCAAGGCACACGGCCTAGCTTGCCAAACGTGGCAAACGTTGTGACAATATTACCGGAATCACGTTCGATTCCATCGTATGTTCAAACGAATACTTCTTTTGGTGCATTTCAGACTACGTCAACAATTCCAACGGTCCACACGTGTGCTTCTGCTGGTTTACCAACGTTTACACCTTCATTGCACGGACATGCTCAACTTCCACGAAATACAACGCAAAATGTAGCGACGTCATGCTACAACGTACCAACACATATAACGACACATTCGAATTTTACAACAGCAACACCGACAGGAGTGTTCACGCAGCCGAACAATGGATATGTTCAATCAACGCAGCCCTACAACGCATATCTACAACCGCCGATATTTGCAACAAGTGTCTATTCAGCGCCGCCGCAGTCAGAAATAGTTATGCAGCCTTCACAACGTTATGTTCAGCACAACCCCTTTGGGAACGTTAAGGAAATAATTCAACTTTTGCCAGAGTTTAATCCGTCATCTGAAGAATCGATTAATCCTTCACAATTCGTGCGACGTGTGGAATTATTGAAGACAGCTTATAACTGGGACGACGCATCAGTTATATTTGCAGTGCAACAGAAAATGGCTGGCCCAGCCAAGTATTGGGTTGACTCACTGCAAGAGGTATTTCTGTCTTGGCCTCAGTTTGTTAACAAATTTCTTTTAGATTTCCCTCAAAATGTAAATGCAGCCGATGTACACATTAGAATGGCACAGACAAAACGGCAGTTCGACGAAACGCCGCAGGAATATTATTACAGAATGTATGCTATTGGAAAACGGGGCAATATAAATGAATCATCCATAGCACGGCATATAGTCAACGGAATTAATGATCAAGGATTGAAGCAGAAAATATCTAACGAGTATATTACCTGTAATCAACTTTTGAGTGACATCAACGCATACTGTAGTTATAACGAGGTAAGAAGAGTGCTGAACCCGATATCGAATAAGACGAAACGTAGCAATGAAAATAGAACTGCCCCAGAAAGGAAAAGCGATGAAAGAGTGAATAAATTCAAATGTTTTAATTGTGGTAATACTGGTCACAAAGCCGTAGACTGCCCAGATCCACAGAAGAAGAATAGATGTACGATATGCAAACGGACTTCACACGGTGCAAGTGAATGTCCAACAAAAACCCTGAACACAAATGTCAACAATATAAGGGACAGCGTAAAGTCCAACGAAATACTATGTAAACGTGTCAAAGTAAAGGACAAGGAGTTTGAGGCATTTATTGATTCGGGAAGTGATCGGAGTCTGATCAGACGAAGTTTTGCAATGATAATTGGCGAAACGGAAAATTGCAGTATGGTTTTAAATGGCTTTGCTGGTGGCAAATACGAGTGCACAAAGGTGGTTAAAGTGCCAATTGACATTGATGAGACGAGTTACGACGTGAACCTTTATGTTGTGGAAAATTCTATGATCCCGAATGATGTTCTTTTAGGTCGAGATGTTTTATGCCAAAAGGGTCGACGCACCATTATTGAAGGAGATGAGTGTTGGATGCAAAACGTAAATGCGATTAGTATCAACGAAGGCTTAACATCTGAAGAGCATAAGAAGTTGCAGTTGAACATTCAAGAAAACCGACAATGTTTTTCAGAAAAGTCAAGCGAATTGGGTAAGTGTAACTTAGTGAAGATGGAAATCGAAGTTACTACTCCAGAACCAATACGATGCAAGCCATATCGACTAGCATTTGCCAAACGTCCTATTGTGGCAAATATTGTGAAAGACTTACTGGATAACGAAATCATAAGGAAATCGAATTCTCCGTATGCATCGGGAATTGTTTTGGTCGAGAAGAGAAATGGTGAACACCGTTTATGTATAGATTATAGACAGTTGAATCGAATAACCGTACGTATAGCGCATCCTACGCCTGTACTGGATGAACAGATTGCACAACTCGCCGGAAATCGTTATTTCACCACACTCGACTTACGTATGGGTTACCACCAAATTGAAGTAGAGGAAGAATCGAAAAAGTTCACAGCTTTCGTGACTTCAGATGGTCATTATGAATTCAACCGGATGCCATTTGGTTTGGTAAACGCACCTGCAGTTTTTCAGGCAACGATGAACCGAGTTATAAGCTTTATGAAACCAGGAGAAGTTTTAGCGTATCTGGATGACGTCATAATTCCCAGTAAAACAGTCGATGAAGGTCTGGACCGAATAAAAAGATTTTTGGATATCCTTAAGAAATGTGGTCTCACGTTACGATTGGCGAAATGTTCGTTCCTAGCCGAAAAGATTTCTTATTTGGGACACATAGTTACACGTGACGGAATTTTACCTGGAGAAGAAAAAGTAAAAGCGATTAGAAATTTTAAGGTACCAACGAATGTAACAGAAGTACGACGATTCCTTGGCCTAACTAACTTCTTCCGAAAATTTGTAAAGGATTATGCAGCCATTACGAAACCTCTTGCGATGTTGACACGAAAGAGCGAAGAGAATAAATTTCGTTGGGACGTACACCATGAAAACGCATTCAGAAGTTTAATCCAAATTTTGTGTAGTGAACCAGTTTTAGCAATCTACGATATGAAAGCAGATCACGAGGTGCACACGGACGCTAGCAGTCTCGGATTAGCAGGAGTGTTATTACAGTCCGATGGTAATGGTAATTGGCAACCAGTGTTTTATTTTAGCCGCCACTGTTCTGAAACGGAATCGAAATATCACAGTTACGAGCTGGAAGTTTTAGCTGTGGTTGAAACGGTGCAGCGTTTCCGTATATATTTACTTGGAAAGCCATTCCGAATCGTCACTGATTGTGCCGCAATTACTAATGTGAAGACAACGAAGGAATTACAACCTCGAGTAGCACGATGGCTGATGAAATTACTTGAATTTGATTGTGAGTATGTACACCGACAAGGGTCACGTATGGCTCACGTTGATGCTCTCAGCCGTTCACCGGATCAGCCACAGACGGAGATTGAACCAGCAGGGTTCATAATGAATATTGATAGCGATGATTGGATTCTCACGATGCAGCTAAACGACGACCACATAAAGAATATTATGAGAGTACTGCGAAATGAATTGAAATCTGAGCAAGAGAAACAGATAAAATCTGAATACTTATTGGAAAAACATCGACTATACCGGAAAACGAAAAATGGACTACGATTGGTCATACCGAAGGCTATACGATGGCGCATAGCTAAATACTGTCATGATGATATTGGCCATTACGGGTTGGAGAAAAGCCTCTCACGAGTCGAACAAACGTTTTGGTTCCCCCGCATGAGGAAATATATGAAGGAGTACATTGCAGCGTGTGTAGAGTGTTGCTACAACAAGGCAAAAGGTGGTAAACACGAAGGAGCTCTACATTTTAGTAATGTCGAACCGCTACCATTTAGGCAAGTACATATTGATCACTTGGGACCGTTTATAAGAAGCAAGCATGGTCATACACATATAGTGGCAATCGCCGATTCCTTTACGAAATTTGTGGTTATTAAAGCTGTAAGGAATACGAAGACATTGCCCGTCATCAACGTTTTAAATGAGGTTAGTGGATACTTTGGTTTACCTCGAAGAATAATTTCGGACCGTGGGACAGCTTTTACGTCAAAAATGTTTGAGGAATATTGCGATCGAAACAATATTCAACACATTAAGAATGCCGTTCGTACACCAAGAGCCAATGGACAAGTTGAGAGGGTCAATCAACTTATCCTGTCTTATTTACGAACTACCACTGAAGAACCGAAGGATTGGGACTCGGCACTTCACGTTTTACAATGGTCAATCAATTCAACCAAAAATTCGACAACAGGTTACAGTCCGAATGAGTTGATTTTCGATTACAAGCCCACCGACTTAATACAAAACCGATTGTTAGCAGCTGTACAAGATGATGTACAAAACGAAGAAATTTCCATCAACGAAAAACGTATCATGGCCGCAGAAAACATCAAAAGCGAACGAGAACGATGGAAGAAAAGATTTGACAGCAAGCATTCGAATCCGAAATTGTATGTGGAAGGTGACTTGATCCTTATACAGAATGAACCACCAGCGACAGGTGAATCCCGGAAGTTAGAACCTAAATACAAAGGTCCATACATAATAGCACGAGTATTGGGCAACGACAGGTACCTGATAGAGGACATTCCTGGAATAAACATCACGAATAGGAAATTCTGTTCCGTATTCAGTTCCGACAAGTTGAAGAAATGGTGTGAATGTTCCCCCGAATTGGATGTTTCAAGCGAAGATGAAGCCGAGGACGACTTCAGGTCAGGAAAGGCCGAGTTGTCAAGTTAAAAGTAGTAGTAGATACCTTTTGTTGCATACATGTGAAAATATACGATTACATGCAACCCGGATACAACCCTGAATTTTTAAAATGGAACGAAGTTGAAGATACGAAGCCAACCTGACAAGGCGTACTAGTTTAAGCTCGTATAATTGATTTTAATAAACGTTTGTGAATTCTTAATTTAATATAAAAACGGTCGTTGTATTTCATTTGAGTATACGGAAACCAACAGACTTCAATCGATCACTTGACATATATATTTTTTCCAAGGACTATGTGAGTCGTCACAAATCTTTTTGAAGAGCCAAAAAACTAATTACCATGTGATCCAAAGACCATCAGAGCCGAATATTTTCAAGGACAATCAGAGGTATGAAGTTGAATTGTTAGGTTTTAGTTTTTTAAGGACCTTTACAGGCAATACGGTGAAAAGGAAAGTAATTTTTTAGGAATTTATTTTCAAAAACAATAGGAGACAGTACAAGGTTAGATAAAAAAAACTGCAACAAAGTCAAACGTCAAATTTCAGAATAAGTTTAGATTTATTTGGATTGGTCACCTTTGGCACAAATTATGGCCTTCAAACGGCCAATGAAACCGTCACACGCTGCCCGAATGTTGCTCTGCGGTATTTTGGCCCGGTCCCGGCGAAGCGCTTGCTTGAAGTGATCGACACTTTGATATTTTTTATTGCCAACCTTGCTTTCCAAATTACTCCAGACACAATAGTCCAACGGATTGGTATCCGGAGATTTTGGAGGCCATTGTGCACTGGAAATGAAGCGAGGAACCAAACAATATTTGTTTGGCCCATGTACGAACCTTATTGAAACTGGTGAGAATCGGTTCAAATTTAGATATAGCTCCCATATATATCTTCAACCGATTTCGGGTTAATTGTGCACTAAATGGCCAATATCAGTCCAAATTACCTGAATTTTGACACATCCGACCGAATTCGGTCTAGAAGCAAATACATCAAATTGTGATAGCTCTCATATATATGTTTCATTCGATTGTGTTTTTATGTCCCTCACATTCGTAACATGCATTCGACAACAGTGATATTTGGTACCAGATATCTCATAGAGCTCAGAAATACCTTTGCAAAATTTTATCGAGATCGGCTAAGATTTGGATATAGCTTCCATATATATTCATAATCCGTTTTAAATCCCAAATGGAGTGAGTTTCGGGACGCACATTTCCATTTGGAGGAACTCGGCTTCCATATATATTTTTTTTAATGTAATCCTTCTCGAAGTGATATCAGATACTCTATAGCAATGTTATTTGGTATAGAAGATAAAAATGTCCTCGTCAAATTTACTGAAAATCGATTCAGAATTTCATACGTCTCCCATAGATAAGTTCCCTCTGAAAACAAACTATAACTGCTCTAAAGCCAAACGTTGATATGTGGTATGATCTACTTCAAATAAATTATTTTGTTAAGGGAGCTTTATTAAATACGCATAGCATAGTAGTATCCTGGTACTTTCCCCACAAAAGATTCACATTTTCCACAAGAGTGGAGAAAATCGTCGATACAATCGAAACTTGGCAAGCCGTAATATTTGCATCCGACTTATGTCAGATGAGAAATGGACAATATTAGCCCACTCCTGCGGTACCTCACCCAAAAGGATTAACATTATCGATTGTGTTCATACTACTAAAAATGAGGTTGTGGGTGATAGAAGGGATACGGAAACGAGACAGAGAGGAAAAGTTTTATAGAGAGAAGTGTAGTTAGTTGGCTGATCTATCTAGCCAGGGAATTCTTATGGCAAATTTGTAGATGTTGATAAGACCTATGTCTACGTTAAGAGTTTCTATCTCCCACCCACCTTTTGTGAGATAAAATGGGACATCTGTGTAATGGGTGTTTAATCGTCTGTACATCTTTTGCTTTATCTTCACATAGCCTATAGTAGTAATGTACGCTGTTATGCCATCTTGAAGTCAGATATCTGCCACTGCAAGTCTGCATGCCTACTCCTTTACCATAAAGTCTAGGGCTGTTTTGGAATGCAGGAGATCCTTGGATCACGAAATTGGCTAGGCTCGATTAAACCACACCAGTGCCACTTCTTCCAGGTAATTCATAGACATTACTCTGAGAAAACTCAGCCACAAAGGCTGGATGAAATGGAATGTAATATATCCAAGAGAATCTCTGAGAAGAGAACAAAATCGCTATTGTCCTTGTCGGAACCTGATTTAAAACATGTGGTGGGCATCATCACAGATCACTGCGAAGTGAGGACTCATTCATTAACGCGAGACACAGGATAGTGGGGGAACAACTGTCACACGATTTGTCTTCGTTCTTTAACACTGACCCTACATTAATTCTTCAGTTAGCCAGAAGACTTATATGTCATAATTTGCGAAACAAGTCGGCGATGCTTTATAACTGGCTATATCTTAATATTTCTCTTAACCAGAAATCTGCTAAGAATATGAGATTTATCGAAATTTATGATTTCGCATAAAATTGTATATAAATGCTCGATTTCCTTCAGATTTTGCATATACCAATATTTATACCTTACACCACATAGTGGTAAGGGTATTATAGCTTTGTGCATTTGTTTGTAACATGGAGAAGGAAGCGAGATAGACCTATAGTTACTTTTGAGGATCTCCATAGAATCACTTTCTGAGTTAATTTATGCATGCAGTCCGTCTGTCCGTCCGTTCGTCTGTCCATGTATTCTTGTAAACAAAATGCAGGTCGCATTTATTATCCGATTGAGATGAAATTTTGCACAAATCATTTGTTTGGCCCATGGACGAACCCTATTGAAATTGGAGATAATCGGTAAAAATTTAGATATAGCTCCCATATATATCTTCGTCCGATTTGCCCTTTATTGTGCACCAAAAGTGTAATATCAGCCCGAATATCTTTGCCAAATTTTATCGAGATCGGTTCAGATTTGGATATAGCTCCCATATATAACTTCGTCCGATTTACCTTTTACTGTGCACAAAACGTCTAATATTTGTCCAATGGGATGAAGTTTGGCACATACGACCGAATCGAGTCCAGACTTCTTCTTTATTTTTTTTTTGAATTTCTAAATAAACATACCCATCATAGCTGCACGATGCAAGGGTGTAACACCACCCTTGGTAACGGCATTGACATCAGCTTTGCCCTCATTAATGAGTAGTTTACAGATTTCTTCGTTGCCATTACGCGCCGCATAATGTAAAGCTGTATAATCACAATTATCCAAATCCATGGTTTTACCTTTTTGGATAAAACTGCGCACCCGATCAACTTCATTGTATATTACTGCAAAAAGAGGAAGAGGATAATTTCAATAGAAGTCATCGTTAAAACTATAAACAACCAACACTAACCTGCATTCCAAATGCCTCGATCAAATTCCATATCCGTGATAGTCTGCTGGGCAGGTTGAACTTGTTTGTGACACTTGCAACAATCAGCCTTGTGTCGGTCCATGATGATGACGATGTTGTATTATTTGCTGTTTACGATATATTTTTATTTTAAATATTCTGATTTTTTATTATGCCTTTTTAAGTATTTGGAAAAAAAATGTTTTTATTTGAGGTTATGTCTTGCGTGTTGGGGTCTTTTTTTTGTTGCTTTTCTTCAGAAAGATAGAATGTTGTTGATTAGTTGTCTTTTTTGTTTGTTGTTGTTGTTGGATAATAATTCTAGAATATATGTTTGCTTAAATTTCACGTTGCATGGTCCAACAAATTTCTGCTTCACCCGAACTGCATACCACCTTATAGCTTAACTGGGCCAATGTGTTCATCATAATCATGGGCGGACATGAAATCATAACACCATTGACCACTGGCTTAATGCCATTCTCAAAACGTTTCGATAAAGCGTGCAGTTCGGTATCGTTTAGACCGAAGACCTGACAGGAACGATCGTGCAGGGAACCTTTAACGGTAACATAAGCAAAAGTCCCCTCGTTATTGACCACGGGTACTGGAATGGTGACTACACTGGCCGGTTGGGGGGCAGCAGGTGCCGCAACAACGGGAGGAGGGACAACACACTGATTGGACACCGAAGAGGATGACAAAGATTCTGGTAAAGGATTTGTAGTAGCTGTGTTAGTTGGTTCAGATTCCATTTCCTTGCTAACAATTAAATTTAAGGTTCAAACTTCTTTATATATACTTTTACAATACGGGCCTTAAAGCCGTGTTTTTCTAAATGTTTTTTTTTTCAACTTGTTATGGTATTGAAGTGTAAATTTCTCAAATAGTTTTGTTGTGGCTGTTTCTTTTCCCTATTTTTTATCTGGTTTTTAGTTTCTTTTAAAAAAAAAAACTTGGCTTTGGAGTCTAAACGAATAGAATGTTACAAAAAAAGGGGAAAGGCGGGGTAGGTGTTTTTTGTTTGTTTGAAATATTACTAACAACACAACAAATGTTGAACCGAATTGAATTTATTCGGGCGAATGCACTTTTTGATAATTGCCTAAACTGGCCGCTTCCCTTCCAATATTTGAGAGATTTTCCCTTACAACTGATTCTGTTTCTAATGGCTCCGGTTCGGCAAACTCTTTGCGCATTGTCCACATATACTCGTTGTAGTCTTGCTTAACGGCTGTCGATGAAGAGGCCACAACGCGAAAACCTAAAATCTGAAAAATAAAAAGAAATAGAAATGGAGATTATAATTATTCTTGAGACACTCAAGGGAATTTTGATAGTGAGATGATTGTAAAAGAACTAAAGATATTCGTGAGGACTTCATACACTATATTTATACCCTACACCATATAGTGGTAAGGGTATTATGTCTTTGTGAATTCGTTTGTTTCATGGAGAAGGAAGCGAGATAAACCCACAGTTACTTTGGAGGATCTTAATGGAATTACTTTCTGAGTCGATTTATGCATGTCAGCCCGTCTGCTGTCCGTCCATGTGTTCTTGTGAACAAAATGCAGGTCGCATTTATTATCCGAATGAGATGGAATTTTGCAAACAAAATTTGTTTGGCCCAAGGACGAAACGGAATTGGTGATAATCGGATCAGATTTAGATATAGCTCCCACATATCTTCAAACGATTTGGGGTTAATTGTACACCAAATGGCTAATATAAATCCAAATAACCTGTATTTTAGTACATCCCACTGAATTCAGTCTAGAAGCAAAGAAATCAAATTTAGAGAAAATCGGTTCAGATATAGCTATAGCTCCCATATATATGTTTCATCCGATTTGGGGTTTTAAGTCCTTCACATGAGTAATATGCACTCAAGAAGTATGATATTTTGTACCAGACATCAGGTACCGCCCAGAAATAACTCTGCCAAATCTTATCGAGATCGCTTCAGATTAGGATATAGCTCCCATATATATCTTTATCCGATATCAGGTTTATTGTGCACCAAATGGCTAATATCAACCCAAATGGACTGATTCTTGGCATGTACGACTGAATTCATACTATAAACCAGTACATCAAATTTGATGTAAATCGGTTCAGATATAGCTATAGCTCCCATATATATATGTTTCATCTGATTTTGTGTTTAAGTCCCTCACAATCGTAATACCCATTCGAGAACAATGATATTTGGTACCAGTTATCAGATACAGCCCAGAAATACCTCTGCCAACTTTTATGAAGATCGGTTCAGATTTGGATATAGCTCCCATATATATCTTCAACTAATTTCGGGTTAATTTTGGTGCACAATTGACCAATATCAGTCCAAAAGTCCTGAATTTTGGTACATCCGACTGAATTCAGTCTAGAAGCATGTACATCGAATTCGGAGAAAATCGTTTCAGATATAGCTATAGCTCCCATATATAAGTTTCATCCGATTTTGTGTTTAAGGCCCTCAATTTCGTAATATGCATTCGACAACAATGTTATTTGTTACCAGATACTTTATAGAGCTCGGAAATACCTCTGCCAAATTTTATCGAGAACAGTTAAGATTTGGATATAGCTCTCATATATATCCTGAATCCAATTTCAGGTTTATTGTGGAAATAATGGCTAATATCAGCCCAAATAGAGTGAATTTCGGGACGTAGGTTTCCATTTTGTGCACTCGGCTCCGATATATATATATATATATATTTCTAATATAATCCTTCTCCAAGTGATATCATGCACTCTATAGCAAACTGTAACTGCTCAAAAGCCAAATGTTGATAGGTGGTATGATCTACTTGAAATAAATTCTTTTGTACGGGAGCTCTACTAAATATGCATACTAGTGTAGGGTATCATTGGTTCCGCCCAACTTTTGATTTTTCCTTACTGGTTTTTCACAGAAGAATTGAGAATTTTTGTAGTGTTACGAAATAATCTTTATATCTTCTATCTACATATCCTCTAAAAATCCACAGATATTCAAGAGAAAATCTACGAAATTTTTTAAAAACAGATATCAATGAGAAGTTGTGTGGATCTTCATACGAAGTCCTTAGAGAGTAGTTTACTATCATCATTTACATTATCATCTCGCTTGGTGGATTTTTTTGGTGCATGATATATACCCTCTGTAGCCATAAGAGTGAGGATATAAAAATGAGTCGAAATTTGTTCACGTCTCCGCCTTCGACTGCAGCAAAATTGCTCGCAACCCTAATCCAAATGCCGTGAATAAAATTTCGCTGCAGCATTAATTTCAACGACTGTATTGAATGACATACTCAGGGAGATTATAATGTCGATTTGAAAGCTTTTTTGGAATTCCCTTCGACTCCAGCAAAATTGCTCGCAACCCTAATCCAAATGCCGTGAAACAAAAATTCGCTGCAGCATTAATTTCAATGACTGTACTGAATGAAATATTCGAGGAGATTATAATGTCGATTTAAAAGCTTTCCCTGGAATGCTCTAAAAAGTCCTCCATAATAAATGTCTTTACATTTGCAAATATGATTGATTCATGATTTTTGGAAAAATTTCGATTCAAATCTTTTTTCCCTCTTCGTTTTTTCTTGAAAATAACTTGTGTGTACAAATCAAATTATGCAGAAAAAAACCCCGATTTAGATTATATGGAGAGAAAATCTCATTAATATTACTATGCAAATTATTTGTGTCTATATATATGTGCATATTCAATACATTACCTCTAGAGCGGACAGTATGTGACAAGGATGTACCAAATAAACAATAGTTGTCTCATCCACTAGACCACCACATGAAAATTTATTCAATTGTTCAATGTCTGGGGCTGAAATTGTAACGAAATGGAAATTGAAAGTTATTATTGATATATTGTGACTTAATAGAATTATGAGAATGATAATTATTGTTATTATTATTAAATAAAGATAACAAAATTCGCTACAATTAACACAAAATTACAAAATGTTTTCTTTTTTCGTAATAAGGTTATATAAAACTAACAAAAAAAGGCAAACAAAAATAACTACAAGTACCAGCAGCAACTGTGAGTGGTGTTAATCAGATAACTTAGAATTTTGGCTTTGCGATTTAATTCCGTGGTGTTTGCTAGGCAACGTTTAACGATAAAATGCCGAATGTATCGAGAAGAAAAAAATAAACGTAGTAGGGAGAGAGTGTACAAATGAAATATTCTAGTAGCAAGTAGAGTTGTTGTGTCATGCTATGCTAAAATACAGTGGGATTAAAAACGGAATTAAACTGTTTGATGCATGGGAAAAGAACTGAAAAAAAGAAAATTTAATCTGCATGCAAATAATTTGAAGGGTAAGTTTTAATTTCACCATTTTTATTCCTTTCGTTGTGAAATAAATAAAATGTTTTTTTATCTTAAAATGTTTTTTTAAGTCAGAATCCAGTGACTTTGTACGTTAAAGGGGAAAGTGTAAAAGTGCCACCTTAGCGGCGCTTTATGTGCCTTTCCCGACGGTTAATATATGGAAACCGGGTGATTTGTTTGTTTCTTATATCATCACATCTGCAGACGCTCGTAGGATGGTCGAATACCCAGGAATAAGACCAAACTCACCATTTGGAGGGTCTCACCATTTGGAACGAACTTGGTAATTTTTGCAAAAATAAAATCCGTTAAAAATTCTTTTCAAAAATTAAAAATACAGAATGTAGCCGTTATATTAGGGTTTATAAAAATGACGTGGACCTGCATAGACAACTTTTGTCTAAGCCATTCAAATGCTAAACTTGAAATAAAATTCGGTAAATAATGCCGCTAAAATCATCAAAATCCCGAATATCGGGAGGTACAGTTATATGGGGAATATACCACAACGTGGACCTGCACAGACAATTTTCTGTCTTAGGCTGTAGTATCCATTACGAACTTCAAATACCAAATTTGATATAAATCCGGTGAATAATGTCGCTAAAATCATCAAAATACCGAATATGGGGAGGTACCGTTATATGGGGGCTATACGAATACGTAGACCTGCACAGACAATTTTCTGTCTTAGACTGTAGTATGCATTACAAACTTCAAATGCCAAATTTGAAACAATTCCGGTGAATAATGTGGCTAAAATCATTGAAATACCGAATATCGGGAGGTAACGTAATGTGGGGGCTATACGAAGACGTGGACCTGCACAGACAATTGTATGTCTTAGGCTGTAGCATCCATTACGATCTTGAAATACCAAATTTGATACAATTCCGGTGAATAATGTCGCTAAAATCATTAATACTATCGGGAGGTACCATTATATGGGGGCTATACGAAGACGTGGACCTGTACAGACAATTTCCTGTATTAGTGTGTAGTATGCATTACGAATTTCAAATACTTAATTTGAAATAAAACCGGCTAATAATGTGACTAAAATCATTGAAATACCGAATATCGGGAGGTATATACCAAAACGTGGACCTGCACAGACAATATTCTGTCATGGGCTGTAGTATCCATTACGAACTTCAAATACCAAATTTGATATAAATCCGGTGAATAATGTCGCTGAAATCATCAAAATACCGAATATGGGGGGTACCATTATATGGGGGCTATACGAAGAAGTGGACCTGCACAGACAATTTTCTGTCTTAGGCTGTAGTATCCATTACGAACTTCAAATACCAAATTTGATATAAATCCGGTGAATAATGTCGCTAAAATCATCGAAATACCGAATATGGGGAGGTACCGTTATATGGGGGCTATACGAATACGTGCAGACAATTTTCTGTCTTAGGCTGTAGTATTCTTTACGAACTTCAAATACCAAATTTGAAACAATTCCGGTGAATAATGTCGCTAAAATCATTAAAATACGGAATATCGGGAGGTGCCGTTGTATGGAGACTATACGAAAACGTGCACCTGCACAGAGAATTTTCTGTCATAGGCTGTAGTATGCATTACAAACTTCAAATGGCAAATTTGAATAATGTCGTTAAAAACATTAAAATACGGAATATCGGGAGGTGCCGTTGTATGGAGGCTGTATGAAAACGTCAACCTGTACAGACAATTTTTTGTCTTAGGCTGTAGCATCCACTACGAACTTCAAATACCAAATTTGAAAGAATTCTGGTGAATAATGTGGCTAAAATCATCAAACTACCGAATATCGGGAGGTACCGTTATGTGGGGGCTATACCAAAACGTAGACCTAGGCACATTCAATACCAAAAGTCCTGCAGACATAATATACATTTGAGTAAAATTTTATCAACCTAATTCATTTCAATCAAAAGGCTAGAGCGATTTTCACAGACGCACATACGGACGTACATCGCTAAATCGACATACAATTTTACGCTGATCAAAAATGTATGTACTTTGTGGGGTCTAAAATGTATATTTCGAGGTGTTACAAACGGAATGACAAACTTAATATACCCTACATGCTATGGTGGAGGGTATAAAAATGAGATAATAATTTATTATAGATAGATAATAGAATATTACCCTGATCATGAATATATTAACTGTATAAAAATCTAGATCAACGGGGCTATGATGCGTGTATAATAATTATTCATACTGATGCAGTCATAGATGCTGATCATCAAGAGATTTGAAGAACGTCTGCTCGCAAGTCAAATCAGTTAAGTTAGATTTTTGGGCCGCTGGTCGTCACAAAGATTTCAAAAAAGAAGGTCTTCTCTATCGTTATAGAGAACTTCATCTGTGTCGTAGGTTCCAAATTACCGAGATATAATCTGCACCTTATCACGGGAGGTTTATTAAAATCTGCTCAGTTGTGCAGTTTTCATTTATTTTATTTAATGGTTTGAAACAATCTGAAAAGATGGTGAGACGATTAGTGAATGATTTGAACAGCTGAAGTCTTAAAGGGAAGATATGAAATCACTAAACCATTTTCTATGTTTTTCTTTTCACTTTTCAACCCCCAACATGCGTAATCTTCCTCCAGATCAATACCTTTTTTCCAAACTCTTTACTTCATTTAAATATGACTCATAAAATTAACATTTTTCTTTCCAATTGTCCGCTCCACTGTCCAACAAATATCTCGCTCCCTCTCCATAATTTTTTTTCTCTCGCACTAGCGAAAATAGTAGTTATGGTATTGTGCGGTGTGTCATAGCAATTGACCGGCGAGTAGAGATGATATAAAAGTAAATTCTAAAGCCAAATCGACTACTACTGATACCATCATGGAGAAGGGGTCTTAGGGGCAGCAAGGAGTCCAAATAAAGTTGACAGTGTTTCAAGTTTTTTTTTTTCTCTGCTGTTGAGCGTATAAATGTATGCTTAATAAAAAGCCAACAAAACACAAAATAGGTAGATATGTCATTAAACTTTTGTGAGTGGGGTGGGCGAGTGATGTTGGCGTTGTTGTTGCAGTGCGGACGATGACGCATTGTTTTGTAAATATTTGTATTTTGTGTTTTTATTTCAATCTTTTTTTTGCTTTTTTTGTTTGTAAACATTTGCATTTTTAATGGAGAGAAAGCAAATATTGTAGGGAATCATAAAGTTAGGAATGGAATATTTTACTAGGTCTATGGGAATTATCGTAAAAGATCCAATATAGAATTAAGTTTTGATATGTTATAATCCGTTAAAAATCCAATATGGGTCAGAAAGGCTGTTTCTTTTAATAAAATGTGCAGCTCCTTTTCATCGGTATACCCTCAGCCATATGGCTAGAGAGGGTATATATCATTTTATACATCGAAATAAGGTTTTAGACCCTAGGTATCTTTGGATTAAATCGACGTCAAGGAAATGGACGGAAGAAAACAGCAACATCGGCAGAAATGGTTCGAAAAGTAAAGAAGCGACTTGATCGAAACCCGCGTTACAGTGGTCGAAAAATGGCCCGTGAGCTTAACATATCGCAATATTCCATTCGGCAAATATTGAAATATGAGCTCGGGGTGACCATTGAAATTGCAAAAAGTGCAGGAACTTAAACCGCTACACAAAGAAAATAGACACAAAAGATCTAAAGAGTTGTTTCGCTTGACCGAAAGTGGTGAACTGCCGAATTTGGTTTTCTCCGATGAGAAAACATTCGTTGTCCAGCAGTTTGTAAACAAACAAAATGATCGTGTTCACTTGCTAAAGAGGCGCTTGTCTTAGTTTCAGCTTTTTTATCCTACACGTATGTATTCATAAAAATATAAAAAAATATATAAGGGTAGCAAGGTAAGGGTATTTAGGTATTTTTAAGATTTTGGTCCCAATTTCCCATCAAATTGAGTGAAATATGGCATTTTCGGTTGTCTGTGGGTAAATTTACGCCGAATAAATATTTAAACCAAGTAAGAAAAGGTCAAAAGTCGGGCTAACCTACAGCACTATGCATATTTATCAGAGCTCACGTAAAAAAGGTTTATATTGGGCATTTTTGAGCTCTATGAGATATCAATGATTTAGGTGTAAGAAGGCGAGGTTGTAAGAAAAACAGCCACTCCACTCGGTCCACTGTGTTCGTCCTAATTAGGAAAATACGAGAATAGAATAGAGAGAAGAAAAGGAATGAATAGCGAAAAGTGAAGAAATAAAAAGTGTGTTAACGTGTCGTCTTTAGCCATTTTAGTCTTCTGGCTAACTGAAAAATGACTGCTGTCGGAGAGGCAGAATTTGCTTACCCAGTCGCCTTTTTCTCGCTCCTATAAGAGTTGGGTAGTGGCAGAGTAAGTGCTCTGCCGTCTCAGTTTCTTCCTCGTCCTGACAAAGCTTGCAGTATTCAGTATCGTCACCCCCCATTTGGATGTCATGGCCTTCATGTTGTAGTGTTCTGTAATTAGACCCACCACAAGCTTCAAGTCCAGCTTCGTCATGGATATAAGTGACCTTGACCTCCTTTCGGAGTTTACCCCCCAGATCTTCTTGGAGACATTACATTCCCTTCCAGTTAGCCAGTTTTGCTGAAATTTCCCAAGATAATGCTTATGCAGTACTTGGAAGAAGTGACATAGGGGTGGCTTCACTGAGCTCTCAATCTCTAGACCTACTGACTCAGATCCGCACCTGGCCAATTCATCAGCCGATTCATTGCCAGATATGTTGCAATGTCCAGGGACCCAACAGAGTTTGACAAACGAATTAACGTTTTTAATGAGGTACAAAATATCATTATTATAGAGTGCATATTCCGAAAGTGGGACATTTAAACACCAAATCGGAAGAAACATATATGGGAGCAAATTTTAAATACTTGCTTCATGCCTAAATTCCGTTGGAAGTGCAAAAATACACCCCATTTGGACTAATATTAGTCATTTATTGCACAATTAACCTGAAATCTGAAAATATATGACAGCTATATCCAAATCTGAACCGATTTCGATAAAATTTAAAACAGCTATTTCTGGGCTGTATCTGATATGTGGTACCAAATATCATTCCTGTGAAGTGCATATTACAAATATAAGGGACTTAAACACCAAATCGGATGAAACATATATATGCGAGCTATAGCTATATCTGAACCGATTCCCTCCAAACTTTATGTACTTGCTTCTAGACTGAATTCGGTCGGATGTACCGAATCATTTGGACTGATATTTGTTATTTGGTGCACAATTAACTCAACATCGGCCAAAGATATATATGGGAGCTATATCCAAATTTGAACCGATTTCGATTAAATTTAAAACAGCTATTTCAGGGCTGCATCTGATATCTACTACCAAATATTATTCTTGTATCGAGCATTTTACGAATTTGAGGAACTTAAACACAAAATCGGATAAAACATATATATAGGAGCTATAACTATATCTGAAGCGATTTTCTCCGAACTTGATGTACTTGCTTCTAGACTGAATTCGGTCGGATGTACCAAATATTTGGACTGATATTGGCTATTTGGTGCACAATTAACTCGAAATCGGTGGAAGATATATATATGGGAGCTATATCTAAATTTGAACCGATTCTGACCAATTTCGTTAAAAATCGACAAAGAAAGTAATTCTATAAAAATCCACAAAATTAGCTGTGGGCCTATTTCGCTTCCTTCTCCATGTTACAAACAAATGCACAAAGACATAATACCCTTACCACTATGTGGTGTAGGGTATAAAAAAGTTAAAATAGTTTTTGGCCAAAATAAACCATGTCGATCAATGCATATTTTTATTTATATATATATGCTATATACTTCAAAAAATAACCTCCAGATTTTTGCTATTTTAAAGGTTTCCAAAATATTTAATGTAGTTCCATTTTTTAGTATAGTCAAGAATGTGGCGATTCTTTGCATCTTTATTTAATATTTTACTAAAACTAAAATTTCCTTAAAAAATAATATGGACATGATATCTTCTTCACATTTTTTCGGACAATGAGGTATGATAAAGATGAAACAGACATATTTGTGGATATTAACAGTCCACATAATGTGTGAACACATTTCAAAATCTTAAATCTTAATTATAAATATAAAAAAAAAACAATCTTACACATATTCAAATCTTAATTCAATTTTAAATGTGAATTTAAAATTTAATAAACTATGGCGTGCAGAAAAATTCCAACTAAAAATTGTCTAGGAAAGTGTGCATTTTTCTTGTGAAAAAAGAAGTGGACCAATCTATAAAACATTGAAGAAAAAAAAAAGACAGGAAACTATTTTGACAACAATGCTGTTATTAAAAATTTGCCATTGCTTGCTTACCTTTTAATCCTGATACTAGAACACGCCATGGATATTTATGGCTATAGGAGGCTAAATTACCACGAATTATTATGTAGGGCATTTGGTTGGATTTATTTGTGTCGACTTTGAAAGGAGGTGCTGGCCAAGGTGTATATGACAAAAAATACAACGAATTTCAATTCAATGGAAATCAAATGTGTCGAGTTTTTTTCAAACTGGAAAATTGGTTTTTGAATCTTGCGAAATTGATTTTTTTCCAACAAAATTTTTTGTTGGGTGTTGCAGATGATTTGCCTTGTCGTTTTATTTTCCACCTGTCAGTTATTTATAAATTTCACAGGTATTACAAGTTGTTTTGAGTATTGCCTCTTTTTTTTTTGGTTTCTTTTCGTTTCAAAGTTTCTCAAATGACTAAAATGCAAAAGGTTTGTAAAACAGTAGCTTGGCTGGCTGACTAGCCTTACAATTGATTGCCTGGCCTTACTACTTTGTTGGTTTTCTGCCGCCGCTGTTGTTGTTGTGGTAGTAGTAGTTTGTTTTTACCAAGATTTGCCGGTTGTAGTTGCCGCGAAATGTGTGCGCTAGAATTTACTTCTTTTTACTTTAGATATATTGTTGCTATGCTTCTAGCGTTTTTTCTTTGTTTTGTTTTTTTTTTTTTACTTCTGGCTATGCGCTAATTCACTTTTATTATTGTTATTATTATATTTTCCATGCACAAGTCGTTGCTACCTTTGGCTGAGCTTAGCTGTTAACTATTTTGAAGATTTTGTGTCATTTAATTTTGCGTTAAATGGCCATTTGTATTAACAAGGTTAGGTTGTTGCACACACACAATGTTGATGACTGTGGGGGGTGAGGGTTTTGGCTAGACATGGACATGGAAAAGCAAAACATGGTTGAGACTGGTTAGGAACTCACGTTGCCCGTTCCAGTCGTGTTCTATGGGAGTTGATATATGAAAGTAATTGTAATTTAATAACATCTCGAAATATATAATATTGACCCCACAATTATATACAGCGTGAGATAAAAAAAAATTCAACAAAGTCAAACTCCATAATTTTTAATTTTTTTTTTAAATTTTATTGAATGAAGGCAAAAACTGTCGGAAATAGCATCAAATTTAAGAATAAGTTTAGATTTGTTCGAATTGGTCACCTTTGGCATGAATTATGACCTTCAAACGGCCAATGAAACCGTCACAAGCTGCCGTCGAAGCGCTTGTTTGAGGTGATCGAGGTGATTGGTATTTTTTAGTGCCAACCATGCTTTCCAAAATACTCCAGACACAATAGTCCAACGGATTGATAGCCGCAGATTTTGGTGGCCATTGTGTGCTGGAAATGAAGCGAGGAACCCATTTTGTAAACATTCTTGGGTGGCGCGTGCTGAGTCCTGTTGGAATGTCCAAGGTCTGCGGCCAAAGGCTTTAATACACCCTCTAGAATATTTTCGCGATAATATTCGGCATTTATTCTGATGCCACGGTCTATTAATACGAGCGGCCGAGTTCTGGTGGCCAACCGAAGGTGCACATTTTCAGCTGACCTCTTTGTCAAGTAAACACGATCATTTTGTTTACTTACCAAAGAGGTCAGCTGAAAATGGGTTTTCGAATTTGGCGAAATTGATTTTTTTCCAACAAAATTTTCTGCTGATGTTGCTGTTTTCTTCTGTCCACTTCCTTGACGTCGGGCTACGCTACCAGTATCACGGGAACAAGGGGTGGTACGAGACACAAAAAATTTATTCACATTTAAATGCTGGAGTGCTCTAACGATAGCCACTTGTGGTTTTCCAGCCAAATTGAACTCCATCACGAATAAAATTCTCACCAAAATGCTTTTGTACGCTTGTAAACAATATAACGAGCTGTAACTGGAATAATTTTAACAGCTGTCGGACGAGTGGTTTAGAAATGACATCAGCCTGAAGTTGGTTGCAGTTTTTCATCTCACCCTGTACTCTAAGATTACAGACGAATATTGTAAGAAAAATCGAACGGGGTCCTAAGGGAAATTGGCTCAAACCAAATAGTACTGCCTGCTGTCTCCTTTCGACAGAACCCCATAGACAATTTTCAGTGGCAGAAATGAAGGACAATTTTCGAGTTTCGATATTTCACCTGCCAAATAGTCTTTGCCCCTTGTTAGATAACGTTGGACATCTGGGGTTCAATGCTCTCTACCACTTCTTCATCTTCACATAGTAGCCTTAAGGTAAGATATCTGATACTTCAGTGGCCAGTCGATGTGCCTGCTGTGATTCTTAGATCAGACCTACAAAGTGTTAAAAGGGTACTTGTTCTTCTCGAGATTATCGGCCGATTTCCAAGTGTCATCTTAGTCAACTACGCTTTTTTGGAGGCAGTTGATATAATTGCTTGTTGATGGTTTAACAGACTTATTAATCGACTGGGATCCGCCTTGAGCTAACACATCAGCCGCTTCATTCCCCACTTTGTTGGCAACATGCTGAATCCCAGCAATTCTTAATGAATCCACGTATTTCAGGTCGATGTTTTCTTGCAGTCAAAAATGGCTCTCGATTTAATGGCACTTGACAGCTTTGAGGGCAGTGAGTTTCACTATCGACATATACAAGGTGGCGCAAAAGTAATCCTCCTATCATAAATTTATGATTGGCTCCTAATGTTAGCCATCCTTAATCACAACCAAGAAGAAGATGATTTTTCATCAAAAATAATCATAAGCGATGATGCCCATTTCTATCTTAGCGGGAACGTAAATAAGCAAAATTTACGCTTCTGGGGCCGAACTTTTAATACCCTCCACCATTGGATAAAGAAAACATTTTTATATAGGAGTGTCTTGGTTCGTCGTGTACGAATACCAGTAAAAATGTTTGGATAGCCCGAGCTAGAACCTATTATTACCAACAAATACCAATTAATAGACAAATCCGTGTAAAATTGTGACAAAAATCATGAAAATAACCAATATCGGGAGGTGGCGTTATATGAGGGTTATTCGAAGGGTGTATTCAAGCCTTGGGCACGCAAACATTTTGTCCGCAGACCTTCGATATTCCGTTATATGAGGGTTATTCAAAGGGTGTATTCAAGCCTTGGCACGCAAACATTTTGTCCGCAGACCTTCGACATTTAAACAGGTCTCAGTACCATCGCACTCAGCACGCTCCACCCAACAATGTTTACAAAATGAGGAATCTCGCTTCCTTTCCAGCTCATAATTGCCACTAAAATCTCCGGATACCAATCCATTGGACTATTGTGTCTGGAGTATTTTGAAAAGCAAGGTTGACACTAAAAAATACCTACGTGTCGATCACCTCAAGCAAAGCGCTTCGCCGGGAATGGGCCAAAATACCGCAGAGCCACATTCGGGCAGCGTGTGACGGTTTCATTGGCCGTGAAGACCATAATTCGTGCCAAAGGTGATCAAATCGAAAAAATCTAAACATATTCTAAAATTTGAAGCTATTTCCGAAATTTTTTGCTTTCATTCAATAAAATTTAAAAAAAAAAATGTACAAATTATGGCGTTTGATTTTGTTGTAGTTTTTTTTTCTCAACCTGTAGTATGAATTTCGCCCTCGAAAAAATTTATTTTAAACTCCACGATTTTAATCAGATTGTCAACAATAATAATAATAATAATAATACAAAAATCCACATTTAAACCTCTAAAATTTTTTGAAGAATATTCTTCAATTATACGCCTTAACAGATCCACCATAACAGATCTTAAAATAAACAACGTTTAAAATTTTAATAGCTTTTTCAAAGACTATCCTTTAATATTCATGTTTTGTTGTCTCCTATAATCCTTAACAATATTTATAAATATTCATTAAAATATATTTAAACCTTCACGCTAATATCGCAGTAAGTTCTTTGAAAAATATTCTCAAATAATTGCTGAACAATCAACTCCCTAAAAATAGCGTTGAAAATGCTCTTCATATCTGTATAGTTTGTGACGATGACAGAAGCATGACCATTTTCTTTGTGACACTGTTGGTCAGTAATAGGAGATTGATGGGTAGGCAGACTGTCCTGCATGTCAAATATAAAAATGAACAATTTAATCACAAGCAGTTGAATTGATGTCCAGGGTATAGCGGTGTGTACGTTTATATGACGTAAATGTCCTTGTGTTTGAATATTCCAAACTTTGTATTGCTTTAAAACAAGACAAATATGAGAATATGAAGATAAACAATTCCCTGTTGGAATAACCCATTGCTCACAGCACGCATGTATGATGTATTACTTATTCATATTTCACGGGGATTTTGAAAGGGATATGTCGATGAAGAAATTCCACGAAAACTAAGGTTTGTTTAATTTTAAAATGTTGTTTTTTGTTTAATGTCCACATTGCATGCCAATAATGAAATAATAATGGACTATCATCACAGCAAAGTTTTATGACATTATTGGAGGAAAGCTACTACGAAGCAAGTTGCTGTGGAAGGGGGGAGAAGTGAGTAGCATTTAGATTATAGGTTAGGTTACAGGATGCGCAGCTATACTGGAGTCGGCAGCTGCTTCACTCGGAGACCATTGGTCCATTGTGTTCATCGTAGGAAGAATCAGTGATGGTAAGAAAGATGTAAATTGAGAAAAAAGAAGAGACAGAAATATATAGTTATATGAAGGCTTGCCAAGCCATGATATGCTTTTATCAAATCTGTGAAGTTTCTATATCCCAACTACTGAATAACATACAGGGTGAGATGATAAGACTGCAAAAAACTTCAGACTGCTGTCATTTCTAAGCCACTCGTCCGACTTGTTTACAAGCGTACAAAAGCATTTTGCAACAGAAATGGTTCGAAAAGTAAAGAAGCAACTTGATCGAAACACGCGGCGCAGTGGCCGAAAAATGGTTTGTGAGCTGAAGTGGTGAACTGCCGAATTTGGTTTTCTCGATGAGAAAACATTCGTTGTATACCAGTTTGTAAACAAACAAAATGAGTGTGTGATCGGCGCTTGCCAAAGAGGTCAGCTGAAAATGTGCACCTTCGGTTAGCCAACAGAACTCAAACGCCGGCCATGGTGATGGTGTGGGCCGCCATAACAGACGATGGTTCCTCTCCGCTCGTATTAATCGACCGTGGCATCGGAATAAATGCCGAATATTATCGCAAAAATATTCTAGACGGTGTATTAAAGCCTTTGGCACGTAAACATTTTGGTCGCAGACCTTGGACATTCCAAAAGGACTCAGCACCATCGCACTCAGAACGTTGGACTATTGTGCCTGGAGTATTTTGGAAAGCAATATTGGCACTAAAAAATACCAAAGTGTCGATCACCTCAAGCAAGCGCTTCGCCAGGAATGGGCCAAAAAACAATAGAGCAAGATTCGGTCGGCGTGTGACGATTTCATTGGCCGTTTGAAGGTCATAAATCGTGTCAAAGATGACTAATTCGAACAAATCTAAACTTATTGTAAAATTTGATGCTATTTCCGACATTTTTTGCTTTCATTCAATAAAATTAAAAAAAATGTTGCAGTTTTTTTTATCTCACCCTGTATTGTTTATCCAATTTGTTAGTTTTGTTTTCCGCAGCCGTAATCTCCACGCTGTAACAACGATTTCTGGGGAATTATTTCAAATGCATCTAAGAAATACCTTTGCTAACTTTTATCGAGATCGGTTCAGATTTGGATATAGCTCCCATATATATCTTCGCCCGATTTGTATTTTATTGCGCACCAAACGTGTCATATTTGCCCAAATGTGATCTGGCACTTACGACCAATTTGAGTCTAGAAACTACTATGTCAAATTTGGTGAAAATCGGTTCAAATATAGCTATAGCTTTATTTGTTTTCCACAGCCGTAATATGCACTCCGTATCAAGGATAATCAGGGAAATATATCAAGTTCAGCTTAGAAATTTCTTTGTCAAATTTTTTCGAGATTGGTTCAGATTTGGATACATATCTTTATCAACTTTCAAGCTAAAACTTTTATTTTTTATGTGAAGCTCTACTAAATATGCAAAGTGGTGTGAGGTATCATAAAGTCGGACCCGCCCGACTTTGAGACTTTCTTTACTGGTTTTAGTATGGCTTCATATTTATGTTCTTTTAGGGGAAATTTATTAAAAATCATTAAAATCAGCTATAATCTGATATTTTGGTTTCTGTGTGGTTTGATCAATTCCCCTCAAACAATATTCAATAAAGTTCTGGTCCCTAATACAAAGGAACTTCCACACTCAAAGGATTTTGATGAAAGCCTATTTGGACATAGGTCAAGTCTACTCATAGTGGAGCGTTTGGCCCAATCGAACTTAACTTTCGTTTTACTTGTTTAAATTGTGTTCAAAATGTAGTTTCCTGAGAAGAAATTCCAGGCGACAAAACCACTTTCTGTGATGGTGATTTTCCTCTCACTTTCCACACATATACCTATGTGTGTTGATGATACAATACCACTTTTGAAGGCGACTTAATGGTTTCATTCATTCAATATTCCTAAAGTGCTGGAAAACACGACATGTTGGCCACTTGCTAACCACCTCCCACATATCAATATAATTTCACCTCAGGTTTATTAGGGGAAATGACCTAAATCAGTTTTGATGAAAAATTATATGGTAAATTGGGGTTTTTTTAAACTTTGTATAAAAATGCAATTATAGTTACATTAAGCCTCTGCAAATTGTGTTGGCAAGATGACGTCGTGTAATAAACTGCCATATTGTATTCTTACATTTAGATCTCAGATAAGAGATAAGTTAATAAACATATTAATTCTTCGTGTTCCCTTATATGGACCCACACAAACAACCTGACACTCTTTATTTGGAATGTTGACTCCTCACTTTCTCGTTCATGTGTACTGACTGACTGTCTAACCTTCACCAAGAGGGCCTTATGCACACACACACATACACGACATAAATATGGGATGGGATGCACGTACTTATATGCGAAATTGCAGTGTTAATGAACTTTTCCAATGTTAACCACCAACCCATTTTAATGAAGATGCAGACATGTATATATACATAAATATAGAAATAAAAAATGTGTTTGTATTAAAGTAATTTTTAACAAATTATGATATCCTTACTCAAATGAAAGTTTATGAAATGAAAAATTGTTTGTTGTTGTTGTTATTGTGTCCTATGTCAACAGATTAGATTTATTAGTTATGGCCCGTCATCATATGTTCAAACTCACACTTTTATTGAAATTTGTTTTATTTTCCTTTGGGAAATAATTATTTTGGAAATGTTTTTTTTTTTTTCAATTTTTCAATAGAGTCCTCAGATCTAAATTTAGCTTACAATTTATTTGCACAAAATCGACTTTTCACCGCAAAAAATTTAACTTCACTTTACCTTAAGACGACAACAAAAACATTGTCATTTTGCAAAAAGGGTTGCCAGTATCTTTCGGGGTCTTTTCCCCATAATCCCAAAAATGTGTGTAAATCTCCACAGTTTATTTTTTCACAAAGTGAGAACATTTGAATGTTAATTGTTTTATATTAAATAAATGACATTGCTTTTACTTCGTTTTTTACTGCTTTACTATTTTTACAATGAAGGACATTTGAGGTTTAAACAAATTGCCGTCCATATTGAATCCAATAAGGAAAAATACCCTCATTTTGGGAAAATCCCCAATAATGACAAGGTTAATAGGTATATATAGATCGATTTTTGACTATAAATTTATAACATGGGCAATATAATGGCGTTGTTCCGCCACCTTTTTATATCCCCTATCACAAAATTTAATTTGTTGGAAATGGTGGAAATACATAAAGCGCATATTTGACTGGCTTAAGTGATCGGCTGGCTTCTTCGTAGATGAACAAAGGAGTTTTAGGTTGACTTAGTTCGATTTTGGCCCTAGGCTCCCTTGTTCATTTCCGAAGAAGCCAGCCCATGACTTAAGCCAGCCAGATAAGCCCTTTATGTATTCCCACCTTTAGTTCTACCATGGTCGCAAACTTTTACATTTTTTTGTAATTGAGCCTAAATTCTAACATTTTTATTTTTGTTTTTTGTTGAAATGCCAATGAGAATATAGCATTACTAGAACAGGGGCTGGATTCTTGTTCTATGAAAATATGAAATGAAAAATATTTCCTTTATAAAATTTTTCATTTGACATTTCTTTCCTTTATAAAAGTTTTCATTTCACATTTTCATAGAACAAGAATTGAGGCCCAGAACAAACGATCAATTCATGATATTGCCACATCAATGAAAATAACAATACCATTGATATGCTGTTTGGTAACTCTACTTTGTGCTAGACTACAAAGCAAAGCTATTTTGTTGGCGGCGCGCTGAAAAATGTTGTCGGCGGCGATAGTCATTCGACTTGTGCATTTATTCGTTATCGATAGCGGCTATTATCGAAAAAAAAGGAACGGCGGCGATTTACAATCGTTTCGCTTCCACCTCTGTTAGTGTTATGTTGTTGTTAAAAAAGAAATAATATAAAAATTTAAGTTTTTTGAATAAAAATCCTTCTAGTTCTGGCAATTTCTAGAAAAGTGCATTGCCTTAATAGACGATAAATTAAATTTAAAGATTTCCGAGCGGGAAAAGGTAAGTTTTTCATAAAACATATGGAAGGAAACATTTTTTTGCCTTCCGCCGCAATTGTTGGTGAACAACAAATTCGGGGAAATGGTTGCTTTGTTTGGGCAATATTTTGTGGCGTGATAATTTTGAGAAAGTACAATATTTTGGAAATGTATGTCGGGATATAAAATGAGTTTTGTGCAGTTTTGATGTTCCCCAGGAAGAATGTGACTAAATGCAAGACTTTCGGTCTGCGTAAGGATTAGTGATAGTCATAGAGGCCGGCAACGCAGCATATCTGGTAAAAAATTCAATCAACCTGCATGTAGCTCCTCAAATCTATTAATAATATGTCTGGTGCTGAAAATTACTTTGGCGAGATGGATTATGTTATGGTGCATTTTTTTTACCACAAAGAAAAAAGTAGGAAGGTTTTAAATCACTAGATCTCGGTGGCAATTTTGAGAGATGATTCGTCCGGGACTCTTTCCCGTATAGAGGAAATAGTTTCGTTACATGTGTGGCACGCATTCTTGTTGAAAGTAAATGTCCAGATTAATACCATTCAATTTTGACCATTAACTATAGCTGTGGTTCCAAACTCATTTTTGAGTAGCAAGGTCATCTAACACCGTTGGACCATTATTCGTATTGAGAGACTTCTTAACAAAAACTTGCGTTTTCCGACCACACAGATGGAACAATTTAGATTCTTGACCTAGCTACCGGTATGAAAATATACCTTATCAGTCGATAGGATTTTCGATGGAATCTAGGATAATTTTAATATGGACTTGGAATTCTGGAATTCAAAAAGCCACTGGCATCAAAAAAAAAAAAATGATCTAAAATTTATAAATCTTCCTGGAGGCTCGAAATGTTTCGGCTAAGTCCACGACAATTTGGAGATTTTGTACATCACCGACTGATTTTAGATATTTGTTTTGACTTTTTTAATTTTATCTACAACTAATTCAGTCAAATCATCTGACGGATCTTTCTCTTAATTTATCGGATAACCACCTCATTAACATACTAATGAAGAGAGTGAGTGAGGCAGAGAACTCGACAAAGGTCAATTAAGTTCACACATTTGCCTTTGGCATCATCAAACGTAATGATGTAAACGATATTCAGATCAATTTTTAACAACCAAAAGAAATGAACACGCACGCACGCGACTGCCAAAGACATGACGTGGATAAAAGAAAAACGAATGAACGAACGATACAAGAGAACCATAATAATATAAACAAAAAATAAACAAAACAATTCAATACAGCTTCCAAATATTCACTCAAACTTATACAAATATGTACACACACACATTTTCGGTGGGGATGGAACAATTTTTTTGGTACTATAACATATTTAGCTGGGTAATTTTCAGCACAGAAAATTACATATCTTTGTATATCTTTAACTGTGAAGGTCTTACGTTTGAATACTCCACCGATCCTCAGGAGATAAGAAAGAAACCTTCTATATATAGAATGGTCAATGGGAGACCTGCAGATAGAAAGTTCCAAACAATAAAAAAACATAAAGGAAGGTGTTTTCTATTTATAGTTGTCCTACATGGCCTTCTATCCATATAGACCTGTAGATGGCGTTTGAGTTTTTTTTTTTTAGTGATTGAAGGATTTTGTGGCCCTATCAGTCTAAAGAGGACATTTAAAAAGTTTTAATTTACCTTCCAAAGAACCCTTACCGATGTAGGTCACCAAAAGTCATATTTACCAAAGACCTATAGATAATTTTCTTAGTGTGTAAGACCTATTGAAGGTATTCAATTTAGAGAATACTTATTGTAGGTCTCATATTTAAGAAAATCTACTGAAGAGCTTCTATTTCAGAAAAATCTATTGAGGGGCTCGATCCATAGATAGTATTGTAATGGCAATGGGCTTATTGAGGATTATTGGTCTTCTATCTCTTCTATCTATAAGAGAAATTGGGAATTTATAGGAGACTTAATGAAGGTCTTCTATGTACAGAGGGCTTAGTAAAGATCTTCTATGTCTAGATGTTATATTGTAGGTCTTCTGTCCACAGAGAAACTACTGAATTTCGTGTATCTGTGGAGAACCGATACAAGTTCATTGTCTAGAAGGTTTTCTATTTAAGGTTTTCCTTCAAATCACCAATTGAAAGCCTCACAATAAAGATGTCCACAACCTCTACTTCATGAAAATGAATACCTCAATGTTCCTATAAGAAGTCCCCCAGATGCTCTACAAATATTCCACACGTCTTCTGTAAAAAGCATCCCAGGTAACATATAAAAATACCACCAGTTCTCCACAACCAGATCTAAAGGTGCTTTCCATGAAGACCTATAGATCTTCAGAGCTACAGAAGAAGCCCTCCGGACCTATTTAAGAAGACTCCCAGGTCTTTTAAAGACCTGGAAGAACACCTGGTCCTCTCCAAGAAGACCTCTCGGTTCTGTATTAAAAAGGCACCCGCTCCTTTTTAAGAAGACCCCAGGTCCTACATGCAAAATCTCCAAGAACCTCCGAATGAAGTCTTTCAGGTCAAGTCCTCTATAAGAAGACAAATAGGACCCCGCTATTAATACATTCTGGTCGCCTTTAAGCTGGTCACTTTAAGAAGCCTTCCCGGTCCTCTATAAGAAGAATACCAGGTCCACTATGAGAAAATCTTCAGGTTCTCTATAAGAAAACCTCCAGGTTCTACTATGAGAAGACCTCTGAAATGTCTGAGAACATCACTAGGTCCTCGCAAAGAAAACCTCCCGGTCCCCTCCAATAAGACCTCCATGTCCTCTATGAGAAAACCTCCAGGTTCTCTTTAAGAAGACCTCCCGGTCCTCTATAAGAAGGTCCCCGAGTCCTTTATAAAAAGTCCTCAAGATTCTTCAAACGAAGTCTTTCAGGTTTATTATGAAAAGACATTCAGGTCCTCTATAAGAAGACATATAGTTATTCTATTAGTCGACCTGTAGGTCCTTTACGAGAAGACCTCCGGATGTGTCTCAGATATTGTACAAAAAGTACTTGAAGTCCTCAATAAGTAAACCTATATGTCCTATGTAGAAAGGTTCTCCGTAAGAGAATATAAGTTGACTCACATGTATTCTATTAAAAAGACCTCCAGGCATTCTATAAGAAGATCTCCACGTTTTCTATAATGAAACCTTCGGGTCTTTTAAAAGAAATCCCCCAGATACTCAAAAAGAGTTTCTACATTAAAAGGCCTACAGTTCCTTTATAAGACCTCCATGTCTTCTATAAGTAGACTCTCAAGTCCTCCTTAAGAAGACCTCTTTGTAGATTTAAACAAGTAAAAAAGCTGTAAGTTTGGCCGGGCCGGGCCTCCACCATTTAGAACGAATTTGGCAATACTCAAAAACAATAAAATCCGTTAAAAATTCTGTTAAAATCTTTTAAATACTGAATGTAGCTATTATATTAGGATCTATACGATGACATGAACCTGCGTTGGTAACATTTGTCATAAGCTCTTACAATATTCGAAATTGAAAAAACTGCGAAATTTAAAAAAAATCGGTTATAATGTCGATAAAATCAAGATACCGAATATCGGGAGGCGCCGTTATATGAGGGCTATACGAAAACATGGACCTGCACAGACAATTTTCTGTCTTAGGCTGTACTATCCATTACGAACTTCAAATACCAAATTTGAAAGAATTCTGGTGAAAATTGTCCCTAAAATCATTAAAATACCAAATATCGGGAGGTACCGTTATATGGGGGCTATACGAAGACGTCGACCTTCACAATTTTCTGTCTTAGGCTGTAGTATCCATTACGAACTTCAAACACCAAATTTGAAACAATTCCGGTGAATAAATTTGCTAAAATCATCAAAATACCGAATATCGGAAGGTACCGTTATAAAGGGGCTATAACAAAACGTGGACCTACATTTTCAATACCAAAAGTCCTGCAGACATAACATACATTTGAGCAAAATTTTATCAATCTACTTCAATTCGTTCGGAAGCTAGAGTGATTTCCACAGACGGACAGACGAACAGACATCGCTAATTCGACATAGAATTTTATGCTCAGCATACAAAGACGTCCACACCTTCTACTAAACCCCCATGAAAATGAAGAACTCATGTCTCCCATAAGACCTCCATTCCACACATCTTCTGTAAAAAGCCTTCCAGGATCCTCCAAACGAAGTCCTTCAGGTTTATTATGAAAAGACCTTCAGGTCCTCTACGAGAAGACCTCCGGAAGTGTCTCAAATATTGTATAAAAAGTACTTGAAGTCCTCAATAAGTAAACCTATATGTCCTATGTAGAAAGGTTCTCCGTAAGGGAATATAAATTGACTCACATGAAGATCTCCACGTTTTCTATAAGAAAAGCTTCAGGTGTTTCGAAAGAAGTCCCCCAGATACTGAAAAAGAGTTTCTACATTAAAAGGCCTACAGTTCCAGTTACAGAATTTAAACAAAACCCGCCAGGTCTTCCTTAAAAAAGACTTCAAATTCATTTATAAGAAGACCTCAGATCTTCTTTCATGTTTCCTATAGGAAACTCCGTTCCTTCTAAAGAACTTTCTGATCTCCAGGTTTTCTGAAAGACCTCGTATTTACATAAGATGACCTGAAAGTCCTCTACAAAAAGACATCAAGGCCCTACCATATTCAAGAAATCTACCAGATTCTCAATAAGAATGCTTCCAAGTCCTCAATAAAAAGATTTTCAGGTCCGGATCTTTTAAAGCACTTTCTGATTATTTGTAAAACGACTTTCAGGGCCTCTATAGGAAGACCTCCAGGTTTCCTAAAAGACCTCAATTTTGCATAAAATGATCTGAAAGTCCTCTATAAGAAGACCTCTCGTTACTTAAAAGAAGTCCCCCAGATTTTCTATAAGAACACTTTCAAATCATTTTCAAGTCCTTCAAATGAAATTTTCTGTGATCCTTATAAGAAGATGACCAGGACCTTTAAACGAAGACTTCAAGGTCCTACATATGAAGACCATCCTCTCTTTCATAAGTAGATTTTGCCACTCATTTATAAAAATGCCACATAATCTATAAAAGAGGACGTGACCTTTAATATAATGTGACGTTTCCGTGGAAATACTTCAGAACTTACCTGAAAGAAATGGTACCTTAAAACTATTTCCATCCCCAATACGACACACACACACTCTTGCCCCGATTTTGAGAGAAGAATTCATTGACTGTTTTCATTTCATTAATGTGTTGTTCTTTTCAAAACATTTTCATTTCAGTCGGCCAGCATAGGTCTTGTGGTCAACATCGTACCGACGTCAAGAATAGTGAGAATACCGGTACAAAATACAAACGCAAATATAGAGAACACCGAGAAGAAAATTGTGGCTGACGCGTGCACAACCTAATAATTCATTTTCATGACATCAAAACTAAAAAACCAATAGTGCTTCTTCACGTCATCCCAAAATAAGGCCAAACTATAACCAAACAGCAACTGTGCAAACAAAGAAAACAGAAAAAAACAACAAGTATTTCAATAATTTTTATTATATCAAAAACAGATATAAAACACATTGCCTGCCTGATCGTCTGTCTGCCTGCCAGCCAGCCAGCCTGCCTTTGAGTCAAGTGCCAACAATACGCAGCAAATTGTAAAAAACACACACCCTCCCAGACAAACAAAACAACAATTTATTTCAAGTGGTTTGAAGGGAACATTTACACGCATTTATTAACCCAGATTGGCGGAAAACCCATTACAAACATCAAACGAAAAACATGTCCAAATTTTGTCTGGTGCTGTGTTGCACAGCCTTCGTTTTAATGGTCAGTACCATGCCAGCCTATGCGGGCATTGCACCCCACAAACATGAAAAACACACAAGTAAGGAGCGTATAAAGGATGGTGTCTATCAGGCCCGCGATGCCCATCATCATGAGAATGGTGAACACAATGTGGAGTTCGATCATGAGGCCATTATAGGTACGTTTGGTTTTTTTTTTTGTAAAAATATATATATTTTTAATCATGGTTTTTTATTTCTTCCCAGGCAATGTCAAAGAGGCCCAAGAATTCGACACCCTATCACCGGAAGAGTCGAAAAAACGTTTGGCCATCCTGATACGCCTTATGGATTTGAACAATGATGAGTACATTGAACGGCACGAGCTGAAAGCATGGATTTTAAGGTCTTTTAAGTGAGTTATTATGTTTGTGCTCTAATAATGCTTTGAAGAATGTTTTTTTTTGTCATCACCAGCAAATTTATTGAATGACCGAACATCATCCCTAGGGCTTATGCAAGCTTATTAAAAACATTTATTTATTTTTTATTTCTTGCGGCAATCATGCTCTAGCATAACATTTGCAGCAGCTTGTATTTGGCTAGGGTGTTGTGTGCCTGAGTGTGTGTGTGAGTGCGTTATTTTCTTAACAAACACACACCAGACATTAACATATTCTATTAACATTTCAATTTGCTGATTGGCAATGGTCGGCCAGCCAGCTAGCCAACCAGCCAAGAAAGTAAGCAAAAGGTCAAACACCTTTAAAGATTCTTGAGATTCTGAAGAAGTTGTTTATATCCAATTGTTGTTTTTGTTTATGCTTCGCATCATTTTATTTTTGTTGTTCTTCGCAACTGTTTGAAGTTCATTTGAATTTGTTGGTATTTTGCAAAATAGCCAGTATTGGTGTGATACGTGTTACCAAGAGATGTTAATGATCAGTGAACCGTTTGAAATTGTAAACGATATATTTCATGCCTTATGTTTTAGGCGGGAATTTCGTTTTAATTTATTCTGAATTCGATTTTGTTTGGAATACGTATGCAGTGTGGCACAAAAGTCATTAACTGTTATTATAAGTAACACAGCACGGAATTTCTTTGGGAGATCTTGTTTGGTATCTCCCGGAAAATACAAGATTCTGGGGAACCATGTCCATCCACAAAATACTTGTGAATTCTCGTGTAGTTGAGGAGGAGCATAGCAGATAAGATTTCAGATTTCTAGAGGTTATTTCGTTATCGGGGTAATTGGATCCATAAAGTCGTGGTCTGTTTTTATTATAACATCCATCATTCTATGAGAATCATGCTGCAGTCAATACGAATTAAGATAGAAAGCTAAATTTTACACAGATATGTCTTTTGTCTGCAAGCAGGTCAAGTTCGAAGATGGGCTACATCGGTCCCCGATATGGTACAGCCCCCATATTCGGTATTTTAATGATTTTAGCCAAATTTTTCAATGGAATTATCTGAAATTCTACACACGGGGTTCTTTGTGAGTACTTTACCCCCTGAAAGAGAATAGTCTACACAGGTCCACGATATCGTATATCCCCCATACCCCCAATTATTCGGTATTTTGATGATTTTAGTCACATTTTTCAATGGAGTTGGCTGAAGAGAATTATCTATATAGGTCTAGAGACTTACCTATGTATGTCCACGACATCGTAGAGTCCCTATAGAATGGTAGCCTCCAATATTCGGATTTTTTAAGATTTAAGTCAACATTTTCAATGGAATTGTTTTAAAATCCATACAAGGCGTTCCTTCTGAGTAATTTACCCCATAGAAGAGAATTGTCTAAATAGGTCCACGTTTTAGTATGGCGCCTATATAACGATACCCCAGATATTAGGTATTTTCATGATTTTTGCGACATTATTCACGGGAATTGTTTCATATTTCGTATAAAAAGTTCGGAACCGTTACTACAGCTTATGACACGAATTACTTATACAGGACCACGTCTTCGTATAGTCCCCATTTGAGCGGTATTTTCGAGGGTATAAAAAATTCGCCCCCCCCCCCCCCCAAATTTAGCAGCTTTTTTAATTGTTGTTCTTGGGAGATTCTTGAGAATTAATAGCCCCTGAATGTTGCACTTTCCATAACCACGGGAGAGCTCTTTCGCGTAGAAAAGAGGCTGAAAGACGTTAAGCATCATCTACGAGTCATTATCAAAGCTAGAGTCGCTCGCATCTTATCCAAAGGGCAACTGATAGGCAGAGAAGTGTAAGTGGGAGACCTCCAGGGCTTTTGAGGAGATCCAACAGGTATTTAATAAAAACTCCTACAGGTCTTTTAAGAAAAGTTTTCCCCAGGCGATTTATAAGCAGACCTCTAGATCGTCCAAAAAATACTCACTAGGCCTTATAGAAGAAGATTCAGAGAGAAACATAAGTGGAAGTCCTCCAGGACTTTTTACGAGGTCATACATGTCTTCTTAAGAGGACATCCACGTTCTTTATTCTAAAACCCCAAGGCTTTCTATTCGGCAAAATTTAAGGTCTTCTTTATGAGAACCTTCTTCAGGTATTTAATAGAAACTGCTCCAGATTTTTTTAAGAAAAGTTTTCCGGCAGGTGATTTATAAGCAGACCTCTAGATCGCTCAGAGAAAGATTTACCAGGACTTTTAGAGGAATACTTAATCTTTTATAAGAAAACTGCTAGGTATTGTATAGGAAGAACTTTTTTAGATCTTCTATAAAAAGGCTCGCTAGGTTTTTTTATGAGAAGTCCTACCCCAGGTCTTCTGTACGAAGGACATACTCTAAGCCTTCTACAAGAAGACCTCCTGAATGTTCTCTATAAGAAGAATCTTCTTAAAGAACATCCTCTAGGTCTTCTACAAAAAGACTTCCTCTTCTATAAGAAGATCTCCTCCAGGTCTTCTACAATAAGACTTCAATCAAGTCTTCTGCGAAAAGACTTCCTTTAAGTCTTCTATAAGAAGACTTCTTTTAGGCCTTCTATGAGAAGACCTCCTGCAGGTCCTCTTTAAAAAGCATCCCCTTTAAGCACCTCCGCCAGGTCTTCTAAAAGAAGTCTTCTTTGAGAAGATCTACTCCAGGTCTTCTATAAGGTCTTTTATGAGATGACCTCCTCCAGGGTTTTTATGAGAAGACCTCGTCCAGGTCTTCTATGAGAAGACCTCGTCCAGGTCTTCTATGAGAAAACCTCGTCCAGGTCTTCTATGATAGGACCTCTTTCTAGATTTTTTATGAGAAGTCCTCTTTATGGTCGTCTATGAGAATGCCTCCTACAGATCTTCTGTGAGGAGATTTGCAAGGCCTTTTATGCTAAGACCTCCTCCCTGCCGTCTATAAAAACATCTCACCCAGGACTTTTAAAACCTTCAGGTCTTCTTAAAGAAGTCCTCCTTTAGTTTTTCAAAAAGTTAGTGCTACAATGAAAAATTTGCAATATTGAATCAAAACAAATCTAAATTGGAAACCATTCAAATTCTTTAAAAATTAAAAAATATTGGAAAAAGATAAAAATTGGTCAAGCTCATAACACTCAAGAAAACATAACAAAATCTCACTCATCAAATTGGAATCCCATCAAATTAAAAGCAGCTGCAATTTTTCAAAATCCCAAAGAACGGACATTAACAAAATTTCCCCTTCAATTTCCATTCTTGTTTTTGCCAACGTCTAGGAAACTGGCCGAAGAAGAGGCAGCCGATCGTTTCGAAGAAATCGATCAGGACAATGACAATCAGGTGACATGGAAGGAGTATTTGCAGGATGTCTATGCCATGGAAGATGAAAACTACAAAAAGGAGCTCATCGATTTCGATAGCTATGACGAGGAGCAGAAAATGATCAAGGACGATAAGGAAATGTTCCAGGCAGCCGATCTAAATCATGATGGTATGTTAAATCCCGAGGAATTTGTACTCTTCCAAAATCCCGAAGAGCATCCACAAATGTTGCCACTGGTGCTGGAACACACAATGCGCGACAAGGATACAAATGGTGATGGCAAAATCGATTTCAAAGAATATGTCGGCGAGACGGCCGATCATCATGACAAGGAATGGTTGATCACCGAGAAGGAACATTTCGACAAGGATTACGATAGCAACAGTGATGGTGTGTTGTCCGGCAATGAGGTGCTAAGTTGGATTGTGCCCAGCAACGATGTGGTTGCCACCGACGAGGTGGATCATTTGTTTGCCGCCACCGATGAGGATCACGATGATCGTTTGTCGTATTTGGAAATTCTCAATAACTACGATACATTTGTGGGCAGTGAGGCCACCGATTACGGAGATCATTTGCAAAATATTCACCATTTGGCGGATGAGTTGTAAGGGATGCCAGGAGATTCTAATACGTATCATATTTGTTTTGATATGCCTCATTAATTAGTCTCAATTTTTTATTTTATTTTTAATTTATAAAACTTGCAATGCAATTTTGGCATTATTTAATTGCTTTATTTCATCGAATTATACCTCCTATTAGTCTCTAAGTTAACCGTGCTATACAAACAATATTTTTATATTTTATTTTTTAATTTTTTTATTTATATACTTTAGTTTTTTTTTATTTAAATATAAGAAATAAAAACTTATATTTTTAACAGACATCAATTGAAATGAGTATCTCTTAATGGCCAAACTAGTGGCAATAAATGTTTGTCCAATTAAAAGTCGACATGGACGACAGAGTATTGCAGACGGCATTCCTAGGCAAGAGGAGGGTATGTATTTGTTATTATTTTTGGCCTATTGCTAATACAGCTTATCTTGCGCCGATTATCCATTTAAATCGCTACAAAAAGTGGTCAATTATTCCCACCTCATTAAATAAATTTGTATAACACCTCATTTTGGAATTTTTTTTATATCCTCCACCATAGTATGAAGGCTATATTAAGTTTGTCACTCCGTTTATAACACATCGAAATATACATTTTAGACCCCACAAAAAATATATATTCTGGATCAGCATAAAATTCTATGTCGATTTAGCGATGTCCGTTTCTCCATCCGTGTGTGAAAATCACTCTAGCTCCCGAACGAAATGAAGTAGGTTGATAAAATTTTACTCAAATGTATATTATGTTTGCAGGATTTTTGGTATTGAAAATGGGTCATGTACAGGGTGAGGTAAAAAAACCGCAACAAAGTCAAACTCCATAATTTTTCCATTTTTTTCTTAATTTTATTTGGATGAAAGCAAAAAATGTCGGAAATAGCAGAAGTAGGTTGATAAAATTTTACACAAATGTATATTATGTCTGCAGGACTTTTGGTATTGAAAATGGGCCATGTACAGGGTAAGATAAAAAACTGCAACAAAGTCAAACGCCATATCTTTTACATTTTTTTTTTAAATTTTAGTTGGATGAAAGCAAAAAATGTCGGAAATTGTATTATAATTTTAGAATAAGTTTAGATTTCTTCGAATTGGCCACCTTTGGCACGAATTATGGCCTTCAGACGGCCAATGAAACCGTCACACGAATTATTGTCTTCAAAAGTTTTGCCAATGAAACCGTCGCAGCGATGAAGCGAGAAACCTCATTTTGTAACCATTCTTGGGTGGCGCGTGCTGAGTGTGATGGTGCTGAGTCCTATTGGAATGTCCAAGGTCTTCGGCCAAAATGTTTGCGGGCCCAAAGCTTTAATACACCCTCCAGAATATTTTCACGATAATATTCGGCATTTATTCTGATGCCACGGTCGGTTAATACGTGCAGAGAGCGACCATCGGCTGCTATGACAGTCCACACCATCACCATGGCCGGCGCTGTGTGAGTTCTGGTGGCCAACCGAAGGTGCGCATTATCAGCTGACCTATTTGGCAAGTAAACACGATCATTTTGTTTGTTTAAAAACTGCTGGACAACGAATGTTTTCTCATCGGAGAAAACCAAATTCGGCAGTTCACCACTTTCGTCGAAGCGAGGCAACTCTTTAGCTCTTTTGAGTCTATTTTCTGTTCTGTTTCTGTTGCGGTGTAAGTTCTTGCACTTTTTGGAATTTCAATGGCTTTACTCCGAGCTCATTTTTCAATATTTGCCGAATGAAATATTGCGATATGTTCAGCTCATATCGGCCACTGCGATGCGGTTTTCGATCAAGTCGCTTCTTCATTTTTTGAACCATTTCTGCTGGTGTTGCTAATTTCTTCTGTCCACTTCTTTGACGTCGAGCTACGCTACCAGTATCACAGTAACGAGCGATGGTACGAGACACAAAAGATTTATTTACATTTAAATGCTGGAGTGCTCTAACGATAGCCACTTGTGGTTTTCCAGCCAAATATAAAGAAATCACACTACCACGCTTGAATTCCATCACGAATAACTTTCTTTCTGGAAAATTCTCAACAAAATGCTTTGGTACGCTTGTAAACAATGAAATGAGCTGTCACTGGGATAATTTTAACTGCTGTCGGACGAGTGGCTTAGAAATGACAGCAGTCTGAAATTGGTTACAGTTTTTTCATCTCACCCTTTATATTCTGGATCAGCATAAAATTCAATATCTATTCTAGCACACCAGACGTTCACTAGCTCACCAGAGCTTCCAAACGAAATGAAGTAGGTTGATAAAATTTTATTAATGTATATTCTGTCTGCAGGACTTTTGGAAATTGGCCATGTAGGTCCACGCCCTTGTATAGCCCCATATAACGGCTCCTCCCGATATTCGGTATTTTGATGATTTTAGCGACATTATTCACCGGAAATGTTTCAAATTGGTGTTAGAAGTTCGTAATGGATACTATAGCCTATGACAGAAAATTATCTGTGGAGGTCCACGTCTTCGTATAGCCCCGATATAACTGTACTTCCTTATTTTCCATATTTTGGTAATTTAAACGACATTATTCACCGGAATTGTTCCAAATTTGGTGTTAGAAGTTCGTAATGGATACTATAGCCTATGACAGAAAATTATCTGTGGAGGTCCACGTCTTCGTATAGCCCCCAAAATAACGGCGCCTCCCGATATTTAGTATTCTGATGATTTTAGCGACATTAATCACAGGAATTGTTTCAAATTTGGTATTTGAAATTCGTAATGGATACTACAGCCTATGACAGAAAATTGTCTGTGCAGGTTCACGTCTTCGCATAGCCACCATATAACGGCACCTCCCGATTTTCGGTATTTTGATGATTTTTGCGACATTATTCACTGGAATTGTTTCAAATTTGACATTTGAAGTTCGTAATGGATGGACTGCAGCCTATGAAAGAAAATTGTCTGTGCAGGTTCACGTCTTCGTATAGCCCCCATATAACGGTACCTCTCGATTTTCGGTATTTTGATGATTTTAGCGACATTATTCACCGATCTTTTTTTCAAGTTTCGCATCTGAATATTGTAGTGGATTATGACAAAATTTGCCTATGCAGGTCCACGTTTTCGTATAGACCCTAATATAACGGCTACATTCGGTATTTTTAAGATTTTTATAAAATTTTTAGCGTTTTTTTTTTGAAAATTGCCAAATTTGTCCCAAATTGTGAAGGGTATTCAAAGTTCGGCAGGGCTGAACATACAACTTTTTTACTTCTTAAAAATAAAATAGTTTTTTATTTATATTTTTTATTGAAATAATATATGTATTTTGTTTTGAGTTTATTACATCGATAAGAGTTTATTATTATTTGTTTTTTTATTTAACAACTATTTGTTTACACAAAAATTTCTCAATATGCATAGTCAATTAAATACAAATAAATATTATGATTACATTTTATTATTATTTTGTTGTTCTTTTAAATCCTAAAGAATATTAAAATACATAGTTTAATTTTGTTATTAATATTATTATTATTATTGATCTACTTAAAAGTTATGCGTTTTGTTAAAACAAAACACTGACTAGAATTCACTCATCTTTTCGTCGTGCTGACATAATTTACAATAGCAAAAAATAAAGTGAAGAGGAGAAGAATAGAAATTATAATAATTATATAATAATTGTAAAAAAAAAACTAGGTAAGAAATTAAATAATTGAAGAAGAAAATTTACAGGATGGAACCTGATTGAGATCATTTGAAGAAATGTGGAATGTGTTTCAAATTTTAAGTTCGAACAATGTAAAAATTTCCACAAAACTAGATATCCGTAGTTTAAGATGGACGTAGCATAATATGATACATTTCATCCTCACCAGAGGTTCCCTAGCTCACCAGGAGCTCACAAGAGGTTCAATAGCTTACCCGAGTTTCACTAGTTCACCAGAGGTTCATTAGTTCACCAGAGGTTAACTAATTCACAAGAGGTTTATTTGATCACCAGAGTTTCACTAGCACACCATAGGTTTACAAGTTCACCAGAGGTTCACTAGTTTATAGAGGTTCCCTAGCTCACCAGAGGTTCACTAGCTCATCAGAGGTTCACTACTTCACCAGAGGTTCCCCAGAGATTCACTAGCCCACCAGATGTTCACTACCCACCAGAGGTTCACTAGCTCAAGAGATGTTCACTACCTCACCTGATGTTCACTAGCTCACCAGAGGCTCCTCAGAGTTCACCAGAGATTCTCTAGCCCAACAGAGGTTCACTAGATCACCAGAGGTTCACTAGCTCACCAGAGATTCACTAACTCATCAGAGGTTCATTAATTCACCAGAGGTTTCCCAGAGTTCACAAGAGATTCACTAGCCCACCAGAGGTTCACTAGTTCACCAGAGGTTTACTAGTTCACCAGAGATTCACTAGTTCACCAGAGGTTCACTAGTTCACCAGAGGTTCACTAGTTCACCAGAGGTTCACTAGCTCACCAGAGGTTCACTAGTTCACCAGAGGTTCACTAGTTCACCAGAGGTTCACTAGTTCACCAGAGCTTTACTAGTTCACAAGTTCACTAGCTCACCAGAGGTTCACCAGTTCACCAGAGGTTCACTAGTTCACCAGAGGTTCACTAGTTCACCAGAGGTTCACTAGTTCACCAGAGGTTCACTAGTTCACCAGAGGTTCACTAGTTCACCAGAGCTTTACTAGTTCACCAGAAGTTCACTAGCTCACCAGAGGTTTACCAGCTCACCAGAGGTTCACCAGCTCACCAGATCTTCACTAGCTCACCAGAGGTTCACTAGCTCACCTGATGTTCACTAGCTCACCAGAGGTTCACTAATTCACCAGAGGTTCACTAATTCACAGGAGATTCACTAGTTCACCAGAGCATCACTAGCTCACCAGAAGCTCATAAGAGGTTCAATAGCTCACTAGAGTTGCACTGTCTCACAAGAGGTTCACTAGCTCACCAGAGTTTCACTAGCTTACTAGAGATTCACTAGTTCACCAGAGGTTCACTAGCTCACTAGAGATTCACTAGTTCACCAGAGGTTCACTAGGCACCAGAGGTTTACTAGCTCACCAGAGGTTCCAAGCTCACCAGAGGTTCACTAGTTCACCAGACGTTCTCTAGCTTACCAGAGGTTCACTAGCTCACCAGAGGTTCACTAGCTCACCAGAGATTCACTAATTCACCAGAGGTTCACTAGCTCACCAGAAGTTCACTAGTTCACCATAGGTTAACTTGTTCACCAGAGGTTCGCTAGTTCACCAGAGGTTCGCTAGTTCACCAGAGGTTCACTGGCCCACCAAAAGTTCACTGGCTCACCAGAGGTTCACTAGCTCACCAAATATTCACTAGCTCACCAGAGGTTCACTAATTCACCATAGGTTCACTAATTCACAGGAGGTTCACTAGTTCACCAGAGGATCACTAGCTCACCAGAAGCTCATAAGAGGTTCAATAGCTCACCATAGTTCCACTGTCTCACAAGAGGTTCACCAGCTCACCAGAGGTTCACTAGCTTACTAGAGATTCGCTAGTTCACCAGAGGTTCACTGGCCCACCAAAAGTTCACTGGCTCACCAGACGTTCACTAGCTTACCAGAGGTTCACTAGCTCACCAGAGGTTTACTTGTGGCACACTCGCTTTCCATTTGGTTCACTAGTTCACCGAGGGTACACTACCTCACTAGTTGGTTGACTAGTTGCCCAGGGCTTCACCAGCTCACCAGTGGTTCACAGATCATCAAAGGGCTCACTAGCTCACCTATTGGCAGTATTATTCTAAATATTTTGAATTACTTAAAAGAAAAATGAACAATTAAAAAAAAATAAACATCAATATAAACAGAATACATACAAAACAACAACAAAATTTATAAAAAAAAAAATATAAAAATAATAAAATGTACAAAAAAATTAAAACTTATATCACATTATTGCACCAACTTGGCCTGTCTTTTTTTGTTGATCTTGCTTTAATTTGAAATCATTTGACTAGAAGTTTATTAATTTTTTCTTACATTTCGAAAAGTAAATAAATGACTAGAACTTTGTTTTTAAGAATTACGAAAATTTTACAATATTTAAATTTGAAAAGAAGAGAAAAAAAAGATAGGAATTTCTTTTCAACGCTAATGGCTAAAAGCTCCTTAACATCTGATCTGGATGCCTATAAACAGTATGACAAAATAGTTATTTGTTATAAATCTATTTTTCTTTTTTTTTGGAAAACTCTTCTAATACTTTTTTTTTTGAGTTATTTATGCTAGTATGGCACTGCAAGCTTCACGGTTATATCAAATTTGTTTGTTTGAAAGCTTTGTTGGCTTTTCTAGTTTCTAGTTAAAGTAATTGTTGCTAACACAAATGAGAGAAAATACTTAACTCGAATGCCGGTTGGCCATTTAGTTTCATTTGTTATCCCCCTGGTGGTTCCGCTTTGGTTTGCGTCCCTATATTTGTGTCTAAAAATCAAATAACATATCATAGTTATCCACCTGACGCAGCGTTCGCAAGTCATAGAAGGTTTCACCCAAATAATTCGTAATAATCGAGGGTAGCTTTAATTTGTTCAAATCCTCCCGTTGTCGAATGTGTTTCAAAACCTCGGCTCGACATCGATCCTGTAGTTGGCCTATGTCGCTACGTGTATTTTTCAGTGTCATTTCGGTTTTCGCCGCCGTGGAACAAACTATCGGGTAGAGAGGTTCTTTGATCTGTAATAAGAGAAGGATAGGAGAGAAAATCGTTATTAGAGTATGTCTCAAGTCTACAAAAATTCCCAATAAATCACAAGCTTTTTCCTTATTAAGAGTTATTATGAAGTGAGCTCTCGAACTCTTTTTGGGTGGCTAGCCAGTGACAAGTTCACCAATGGCTCACAAATTCACCAATGGCTCACAAGTTCACCAGTGGCTCACAAATTCACCAGTGGCTCACAACTTCACCAGTGGCTTAAAAGTTCACCAGTGGCTCACAAGTTCAGCAGTGGCTCGCTAGCTCACCAGTGGTTCACAAGTTCAGCAGAGGATCGCAAGTTCACCAGTGGCTCAATAGTTCACCAGTGGCTCACTAGTTCACCAGTGGCTCACGAGTTCACCAGTGGCTCACTAGTTCACCAGTGGCTCACGAGTTCACCAGTGGCTCACGAGTTCACCAGTGGCTCACTAGTTCACTAGTGGCTCATAAGTTCACCAGTGGCTCACTAGTTCACCAGTGGCTCACAAGTTCACCAGTGGATCACAAGTTCACCAGTGGCTCACTAGTTCACCAGTGACTCACTAGTTCGCCAGTGACTCACTAGTTCCCCATTGGCTCAATACTTCACCAGTGGCTCACTAGTTCACCAGTGGCTCAAAAGTTCACCAGTGGCTCACTAGTTCACCAGTGGCTCACTAGTTCACCAGTGGCTCACAAGTTCATCAGTGGCTCTCTAGTTAACCAGTGGCTCACAAGTTCATCAGTGGCTCTCTAGTTCACCAGTAGCTCACAACTTCACCAGTGGCTTACAAGTTCACCAGTGGCTCACTAGTTCACCAGTGGCTCACAAGTTCACCAGTGGCTCTCTAGTTCACCAGTGGCTCACAAGTTCAGTAGGGCTCGCTAGTTCACACGTGGCTCACAAATTCATCAGTGGCTCAAAAGTTCACCAGTGGCTCACAAGTTCACCAGTGGCTCACTAGTTCACCAGTGGCTCACGAGTTCACCAGTGGCTCACTAGTTCACCAGTGGCTCACGAGTTCACCAGTGGCTCACGAGTTCACCAGTGGCTCACTAGTTCACCAGTGGCTCACGAGTTCACCAGTGGCTCACTAGTTCACCAGTGGCTCACAAGTTCATCAGTGGCTCAAAAGTTCAGCAGTGGCTCAAAAGTTCACCTGTGGCTCACAAGTTCAGCAGAGGCTCGCTAGTTCACCAGTGGCTCGCTAGTTCAACAGTGTCTCACAAGTTCATCAGTGGCTCACTAGTTCACCAGTGGCTCACAAGTTCACCGGTGGCTCACTAGTTCACCAGTGGCTCACTAGTTCACCAGTGGCTCATTAGTTCACCAGTGGCTCACTAGGTCACCAGTGGCCTACTAGTTCACCAATGGCTCAATACTTCACGAGTGGTTCACCAGTTCACAAGTGGCTCACAAGTTCACCAGTGGCTCACAAGTTCACCAGTGGCTCACAGGTTCACCAGTGGCTCACTCAGTTCACCAGTGGTTCCCTAGTTCACCAGTGGCTCACTCAGTTCACCAGTGGCTCACTCAGTTCTCCAGTGGCTCACTAGTCAAAAGTAGATTGACTAGATCAGAGGTTGGTTGAACAGCTTTCTACTTTTGGCTAGCTCACCAGTTGGTTCAATGGCTCACCTGTTGGTTTCCTAGCTCACCAGATGGTGTCCTAGCTCACCAGTTGGTTTCCTAGATCACCAGATGGTTCCCTAGTTTGCCTGGGGCTTCACTAGCTCCTCTCTGATTCTTCAGCTCGCCATTTTCTCCTCCTGAGAAATTTTCCTCTACTCCCCCGTTTTTTTAATCCCCTCTCCCCCCTCTACTCACCGCATACAATCCACGATATGCCACACCCAAACATTCACCATCCTTGTAGTACGTCAACGTGCCCGCAATGCCATCGAACAGAATACCCACCACTGTGGGTTGATTCTCTTTAAAGCGATCCGTGTACATCAACGCCACGCCCTTGTGCCACAATACGCCCTTGTGCGACAGACCCCAGCCGTGTTCATTTTCTCCCAAAATATTACGAAATGAATTGGCATGGAGGCGGGCCTTTCGAGTGCCAATGCCGAACATAATGCTGGTGCCGAATATTCTCTTCGAGACATGTAGTTCCCAATAGAAACGGCCATTGTTGAGTGGCCGTTCGCCCTGAACTCCAGCGGTGCCTTTACTCCAATTCGGATGAAAATGTACGGTGCGATCATTTTCACCACTCAACACAATCTCTTTGGAGCGATGCCTTCGGCTCCAGGTCCAATTGTCTTCACAACCATGTTCCAGAGGTATGGCGAGTTTTTTGTTGTTGCTACAGTTGTTGTTGTCGTGGTTGTGGTTGCTGGTACTGCTACTGGGACGTTTGCTGGCATTCGTTGTGGAACTATTGTGGCTACGGACTGAACGTTTACGCTGGCGCGGTGAGGTACTGGGCGATGTGGCTGTGCTGGAGGGGCTGCCACTGCCACTGCCGCTACTGCTGCTATCGCTTGATGTCATTGTTGTTGTTGTTAGCTTGTTTGTTTGATTTCCAAGTGGTAATTCAATTGTTTTGTTTTGCTATCGTCCTGGTTGTATTGAAGAGCTTCTTTTCTTCTCTTTTTTCCTTTGTCCAAACAACTACTTCTCGAAATAATTGCTTCCGTTTTTTCGTATTACAATTTCCAAGATTGATTGAAAATCTAGGTTTGTTGTCACTCCAGCTGGCTGGCTGGCTGGTTGGTTGTCTATTCTCCCCCTATTGTTGTTGCTGTTGTTAGACTCTTTACCTCAAGTATCCTTCGGTGCCTGCAATTGCAAGTGTCATCAATTAGAACACTTTCACTTGCCAACTATTTCTGTTGTTCTACTTGTTGGTGACCATATGGAGGCCGTTGTCCTCGATTTGGCAGAGCTTTTGTGTTCCACTCTTTGTCTGCTGGCCAACCTTAAATGGAAGAAGAAAAAAAGTGGAAAATACAACAAAGTTATGGGATGTTTTCATTTTTTTTTGCATTTGTTTGTGTAATTTTTATGGCCTCGAATTGGAACACATTGTGCACCAGATAAATAAAGCCTGCAGTGTGTGTGGGTGTGTGTGGTGGCATAACAAACGAAAGGAATTTCCATTGAAACCAAATGCCGCTGCAATTTCCATTTGACAAATTGAGAATAGGAAAAGCAGGACAAGCATTTTGTAAATAATTAATTTCAAGGAAAAAAGGAAAAATTCTTTGAGATGAGAGAAATTAATTAAATTTCCAAGGCCTAGGATATGTAAATTATTGATTGGGCGCCAAGCCAACATACGGGGTGAGATAGAAAAACTGCAACCATCTTCAGACTGCTGTCATTTCTAAGTCACTCGTCCAACAGCTGTTACATATATTCCAGTGATAGCTCATTATATTGTTTACAAGCGTTCAAAAGCATTTTGGTGAGAATTTTCCAGAAAAAAGTTATTCGGGATGGAATTCAAGCGGGATAGGGTGATTTCTTTAAATTTGACTGGAAAACCACAAGTGGCTAACGATAGAGCACTCCAGCATTTAAATGTGAATAAATCTTTTGTGTCCTGTACCATCGCTCGTTATCGTGATACTGGGAGCGTAGGCCGACGTCAAGGAAGTGGACGGAAAAAACAGCAACATCAGCGGAAATGAAAACAACTTGATCGAAAAGTAAAGAAGCGACTTGATCGAAACCCGCGTCGCAGTGGCCGAAAAATGGCCCGTGAGCTGAATATATCGCAATATTCCATTCGCAAATATTGAAAAATGAGCTCGGTTTAAAGCCATTGAAATTCCAACAAGTAAAAAAGCTGTTAGTTCGGCCGGGCCGAACTTTTAATACCCTCCACCATATGGTACAAATTTGGCAATTTCAAAAAAAAAAAAAAAAATAAAATAAAATCCGTTAAAAATTCTGTTAAAATCTTAAAAATACCGAATGACTATACGGCGACGTGGACCTGCATAGGCAACTTTTGTCATAAGTTATTACAATATTTAAATGCGAAACTTGAAGAAAAATCTGTTTATAATGTAGCTATAATCATCAAAATACCGAATATGGGGGGTACCGTTATATGGGGGCTATACGAAGACGTGGACCTGCACAGACAATTTTCTGGCATGGGCTGAAGTATCCATTACATGTGAAGACATGTGAAATTTGAAACAATCCCGGTAAATAATGTCTCTAAAATCATCAAAATACCGAAAATCGGGGGGTACGGTATATGGGGGCTATATGAAGACGTGGACCTACATGGCCCATTTTCTGTTTTATGCTGCAGTATCTATTACGAACTTTAAATACCAAATTTGAAACAATTCCGGTGAATATTGTCGCTAAAATCATCAAAATACCGAATATCGGGGGTACCGTTATATGGGGGCTACACGAAGACGTGGACCTGCACATACAATTTTCTGTCATAGGCTCTATTATCTATTACGAACTTCACATGCGAAATTTGAAACAATCCCGGTAAATAATGTCGCTAAAATCATCAAAATACCGAATATCGGGGGGGGGGGGGGGGTACGGTATATGGGGGCTATACGAAGACGTGGACCTACATGGCTCATTTTTTGACTTAGGATGTAGTATCCATTACGAACTTCAAATACCAAATTTGAAACAATTCCGGTGAATAATGTCGCTAAAATCATCAAAATACCGAATATCGGGGGTACCGTTATATGGGGCCTATACGAAGACGTGGACCTGCGCAGATAATTTTCTGTCTTAGGCTGCAGTATCCATTACGAACTTCAAATGCCAAATTTGAAACAATTCCGGTAAAAATGTCGCTAAAGTCATCAAAATACCGAATAATGGGAGGTACCGTTATATGGGGGCTATATGATAACTTGGACCTACGTGGCCCATTTACGAACTTAACCTGCCTACTGGAAAAATATACATGTGTGCAAAATTTTAGCCTTTTACCTCAATTTGTTCGAAAGATAGCGTGATTACAACAGACAGACAGACGGACAGACATACCGACAGACACACAGACGGACATGGCTAAATCGTCTTAGAATTTTACGCTGATCAAGAGTATATATATTTTGTTGGGTCTGACATGAGTATTTCGAGGAGTTACAATGACAAAATTAATATACCCTCCATAGTATGGTGGAGGGTATAAAAAGGCCAAGAACTTACACCGCAACACAAAGAAAACAGACTCAAAAGAGCTAAAGAGTTGCTTCGCCGAGTTGGCCGAAAGTGGTGAACTGCCGAATTTGGTTTTCTCCGATGAGAAAACATTCATTGTCCAGCAGTTTGTAAACAACAAAAAACAAAATGATCGTGTTTATTTGCCAAAGAGGTCAGCTGAAAATGTGCAGCTTCGGTTGGTCATCAGAACTCAAGCGCCGGCCATGGTGATGGTATGGGCCGCCATAACAGTCGATGGTCGCTCTCCGCTCGCATTAATCGACCGTAACATAAGAATAAATGCCGAATATTATCTGGAGGGTGTAGTAAAGACCTTGGACATTCCAACCATCGCACTCAGCACTCAACACGTGCCACCCAAGAATGGTTACAGAATGAGGATCCTCGCTTCATTTCCAGCGCACAATGGCCAACTAAATCTCCAGATTCTCTGGTCTATTTTCCAGATTCTCTGGAGTATTTTGGAAAGCAAAGTTGGCACAAAAAATACCGCCGTCAAATGTATATTATGTCTGCAGGACTTTTGGTATTGAAAATGGGCTATGTAGGTCTCAAATTTGGTATTTGAAGTTCGTAACGCATACTAAAGCCTAAGACAGAAAATTGTCTGTGCAGGACCAGGCCTTCGTATAACCCCCACATAACGGTGCCTCCCGATATTCGGTATTATGATGATTTTAGCGACATAATTCACCGAATTTGTTTCAGATTTGGTATTTGAAGTTCGTAATGGATACTACAATCTAAGAGAGAAAATTGTATATGCAGGTCGACGTCTTTGTATATAACGGTACCTCCCGATATTCCGTATTTTGATGATTTAAGCAAAATTACACACCGGAATTGTTTCAAATTTGGTATTTGAAGTTCGTAATGGATACTACAGCGTGAGACAGAAAACTGTCTGTGCAGGTTCACGCCTTCGTATAGCCCCCACATAACGGTACCTCCCGATATTCGATATTTTGATGATTTAAGCAAAATGATTTACCGGAATTGTGTCAAATTTGGTGTTTGAAGTTCGTAAAAGATATTACAGCCTATGACAGAAAATTGTCTGTGCCGGTCCACGTTTTCGTACAGTGCCCATAGAACGGCAGCTCCCGATATTCGGTACTTTGGTGATTTTAGTGACATAATTCACCGAATTTTGTTTCAAATTTGGTATTTGAAGCTCGTAACGCATACTACAGCCTACGACAGAAAATTGTCTGTGCAGGTCCACGTCTTCGTATAGCCCCCATATAACGGTACCTTCCGATATTCGGTGTTTTGCTGATTTTAGCGCATTATTCACCTATTTTTTCAAGTTTCGCATTTGAATATTGTAATGGCTTATGACAAAAGTTGCCTATGCAGGACCACGTCGTCGTATAGACCCTATTATAACGGCTACAATTGGTGCTTTAATATTTTAACAGAATTTTTAACGGGTTTATTATTATTTTTTTTTTTTTTGAAAATTGCCAAATTTGTTTTAAATGGTGCAGGGTATTCAAAATTCGGCCCAGCCGAACTTACAGCTTTTTTACTTGTTCTTCCTTGTTTCTTGGAGTATTAAGCCCTGTCTTTCGTTCCCAAGTCCAATTACTATTCCTTCAGTTCATCAAAGTTTAATAGGGGGTTATTAGAAAATTTCTGGATAAATATGTGTTTCTTTTTGGGAATACTCACCTCTCTCCTTCTTCTGGCTTCCCTCACAAATAGCTTGTGGAAAGTGTTGAACTGGTGCAGGACACAAAACTCTGATTGGATGTTACCCTTGGCAGCGTGGGAGTGGGTGATGGGGTTCGTGGTGTTTCCGGGCACGAGCCAAATGAATATGTGGTCTCCACCAAGGATTCGCTGGGTGTGGGTAAATCTAAAAATTCTTTTGATGATTGTGAGGAGATTTCAGGTAATTGGAGAGCTTCTTCTCTCGGCTCCTTCTCCTCAACTTCCTGATACAATTGTTGTTGGGGTGTTGAGGGTGAAGAATTTTGATTTGTCAGGGCTATACTTTGATAACCCGAATCCTGTAGTGAGGAAGAATTGGTTAGACTCTCCGAGTGCTCATAGACAGAGTCCTCCGGGTCCAGGGGTATTGAGTGGTAGATATTTGAGGATCTTGGAATATTAGGCTGCTGATGATGATGTGGCTGCTGTTGCTGCGGATGTAGTGTCCTTTTCAGTTCCCTTTTGATTTTCCTCAATTGCTTGTACTCCACATTGCGTGTGAGCAGGCCACCACCACCGAGAGGACACCAAATCGATTGTTGTTGTTGGCGTTTGTGTACCTGCAGCTCCTGCAAATGGAAGTGATGACGACAATAGCCCTGTGGTGTGTTGGCACAAAAACGACAATTCTCAGCTCGTGACCCCAACGAACTTAGCACCGTGGAGGCGGACGTGGAGGGTGTCTGTGACAAGTGGCTGCTGGAGTTATTGCTCGAACCGCTGGCGTGACGCCGTCGCTTGCCTTTGCGCGTCTGACGATAGTCGTCCAACAGGAATTTGGAACCTTTGGCTTCGGCGGCTTCTTTGATGAGGCGTACGTTTTTGGGATTTATCCAGCGGTCATGAATGTGCAGGACCAGACGTTGACAGTACAGGCAAATGGATTTGAAGAATAACAACAACACGATAATCATTCAGACGAAAAGTTTCCAGAAGTTGAATGCAATGAAACGAGAGGGTGGACGTGAAGGAGTAGGAGCAGGCGGAGTTGCATTGAAACGTTTGTGATTTCGGTTTTTTTCGATTTTTTTTTTGGTTCGGGGGTGGTTTTCTAGTTTTGGCGTTACGCGGTTTTGGTTTCTTTTTTTTTTGCGGCTATTTTGGGTTCACTATTTTCTATGCTTGTTCTTCTTTTTCGTCTTTTTGCTTATACATACACACATACATTGGCAGAGGTAGTTGAGAAAGTCCAGCAGGAACCAAAAAGGGGCAAGTGTAAAAAAAGTCCAATAAGAAAATTATTGTGAACTGGGATTAGTTTTCTTCCAGGAACCAATAGGATGCTCCTTTTTTCTCAATTTTATTTACACCTACACACACACAAAAGTATTTTCTCTTGATACAATATTTTATTGCAGTTTTTTTTTTCAATATTTGATAAGAACAACACCTAATTTTTTCCTGTTCGACAACACTTGCTTTCCTCCGCTGTTTATTTCTGTGTGTTTTCGGTTCCTTTTCCTTCGCGCACTACCAACTAACTAAACGGACTGCCGAACTGCCAAATCCCAATATGCTTGGAAAACATCCAGACCAGACCCACAACCACCCTTATTATCGTCGTAATGTAAATGTAATCGTTTTGCCATATCGTTTGTGTTATCGCTCCTCTCTGTTTTCTGTTTTCGTTTTGTGCTTTGGCTGTTTTTTCACCCTCATCTGTGTTTATGTTTTCCCTTATTTTCTATAGTCTCGTTTTTTTTTGACGTGGCTTGTTATCAGTTAGTGTTGTTGTAGTTCTTGTTATTATAATTGCCGGCTTTCTTTGTTACAGGTTCTCGAACACGCTGCTAAGGGTTGTAAATATTGCATAGACCTCACACCCCTCTGTGGCAACCGAAAAAGGGGAAATGTGTGTGTTCATCCCCTTGTTCGTGACACGAAAAGGGGGAAATATTTTCGAAACAGTGATTTGTAACAACACAGAGGGTATATATCATTTGATACGGCCAAAATGTGCCTTATCGAAATAACGGTTTTAGACTCTAGTTTTTTTTTTTAAACAATTAAAAAACTGTAAGTTCGGCCGGGCCGAATTTTCAAAAAAAAAAGATAAAAATAAAATCCGTTAAAAATTCTGTTAAAATCTTAAAAATACCGAATAAAGCCGTTATATTAGGGTCTATATGACGTCGTGGAATATCGGGAGGTGCCGTTATATGAGGGCTATACGAAGGTGGAGACCTGCACGGAAAATTTTCCGTCATAGGCTGTAGTATACATTACTAACTTCAAATACCAAATTCGAAACATTTTCGGTGAATAATGTTGCTAAAATCGTCAAAATATAGGGCGGTTCCGTTATATGGGGGATATACGAAGACGTGGGCCTGCACAGACATTTTTCTGTCTTAGACTGTAGTCCATCCAATACGAACTCCAAATATCAAACAATTTTGGTGAATAATTTTGCTTAAATTATCAAAATACCGAATATCGGGAGGTACCGTTATATGGAGGCTATACGAAGACGTAGACCTGCATAGACGATTTTCTGTCATAGGCTGTAGTATCCGAATTACGAAATTCAAGTACCAAATTTGAAACAATTCCAGTGAATAATGTCGTGAATAATGGGAGGTACCGATATTTGGGGCTATACGAAGACGTGAGCCTGCACAGACAATTTCTTGTCTTAAGCTGTAGTATCCATTACGAACTTCAAATACCAAATTCGAAACATTTCAGGTGAATAATGTCGCTAAAATACTCAAAATATCGAATATCGGGAGGAACCGTTATATGGGGGCTATATGAAAACGTGGACCTGCACAGATAATTTCTTGTCTTAAGCTGTAGTATCCACTACGAACTTCAAATACCAAATTCGAAACATTTCCGGTGAATAATATCGCTAAAATCGTCAAAATACCGAATATCGGGAGGTACCGTTATATGGGGGCTATATGAAAACGTGGACCTGCACAGACAATTTTCTGTCTTAGGATGTAGTATCCATTACGAACTTCAAATACCAAATTTGAAACAATTTCGGTTTATAATTTTGCTTAAATCATCAAAATACTGAATATCGGGAGGAACCATTAAATGGGGGCTATAGGAAGACGTGGACCTGCATAGACAATTTCTTGTCTTAGGCTGTAGCATCCATTACGAGCTTAAAATATCAAATTCGAAACATTTCCGGTGAATAATGTAGCTAAGATCATCAAAATACCGAATATCGGGAGGTACCATTATATGGGGGCTATACGAAGACGTAGACCTGCATAGACAATTTTCTGTCATAGGATGTAGTTCATTCAATACGAACTTCAAATACCAAATTTGAAACAATTCCGGTGAGTAATGTAGCTAAAATCACCAAAATACCGAATATAGGTAGGTACCATAATATGGGGGCTATACGAGGGCGGGGACCTGCATATACAATTTTTCTGTCATAGGATGTAGTATCCGAATTACGAACTTCAAATACAAAATTTAATTAAAAAAAATCCGGTGAATAATCTCGCTAAAATCATCAAAATAACGAATATCGGGAGCTACCATTATATGGGGGCTATACAAAGACGTGGTCCTGCACAGACAATTTTTTGTCTTAGGCTGTAGTATCCATTACGAACTTCATATACCGAATTTGAAACAATTCCGTTGATAAGTGTCGCTAAAATCATAAAAATATCGAATATCGGGAGGTACCGTTATCTGGGGGCTGTACCAAAAAAAAAAAAAATGTCCCATTTTAAATACCAAAAGTCCTGCAGACTTAATATACATCTGAGAAAAATTTTATCAACCTACTTCATTTTCTTTGGAAGTTAGTTAGTATACCAAATATCGGGACATCGCTAAATCGACATAGAATTTTATGCTGATTAAGAATATATATGCTTTGTGGGGTCTAAAATGTATATTTCGAGGTGTTACAAACGGAATGACAAACTTTATATACCCTCCATATAAAAAAATCCGATTCATGATATTTTGGATCGATCTAGGGGTGTCCGTCCGTTCGTCTGGCTGTGTGTAACTGCCTTACTGAAAATCAACGCCAAGACGAAACGGCTGAAGCTGGAATCTTGACATTTTGAACGAGGGTCAGTTTTAGTGCTTAGGCGTGTGATGTCGCGTCGTGGTCATGGTGGGTGGCTGGGTTTTAAGAAATTCGCATCAAAATGATATAAAAAGTGCTAAAAATTCAATTTTTTGTATTTGACAAACGAAATGAGCTAGAATTGCTCTGAAATATGGACTGATGGAGTTTAGGATAGATGGACCAAAGACTTTAAGGGGAATTCGAAGTTTAAGGTTATGAAAAGTTCTTAAATAGTGCTAAACAACTAAAATTGTATCATTTGGTATCCTGTGAACGGATAATGCTGGAATTTTGAAATATTGTATTGGGGTCCCGATAACTCTGCGCACGATATCTCTCAAAGGGAGTATCCGATTTGGTCCAAACTTGGTAGATCGTAATATTATCGTCAAGCTTAGATCGAGTTCGGAGATGGGCAATATCGGCCCAGTCCTTCTGTTACCTCCCCCCGCAAAATATCGAAATTAAAAAAAATAAATATTTTATTGCACAGAAAGAGAAAGGATAATCCGATTTTGCTCCAACTTTGCAAATCCTAATATTTGCATCAGTGCTAGATCAGGTGCAAAAAATAGGTGTCAGGTGCAAATCGGCCCAATCTTTATGGTACCTCCCCCCCAATGAAGTGTATATTATGGGTACTACAGCCTGTGACATGAAATTGTCTATGAGGGTACAGTTCTTCGTATAGCCCCCCCATATATCGGTACCTCCCTATTCTCGGTATTTTGATGATTTTAGCTACATTTGCTCATCGGATTTTTTTTCAAGTTTCGTATTTGAATATTGTAATGGCCTATGACAAAAGTTTGCCTATACAGGTTCACATTTTCGTATAGATCCCAATATAACGGCTATATTCGTTATTTTTAAGATTTTAACAGAATTTTTAACGGATTTTATTTTTTTCTTAAAGTTTGGAAATTCGTTCCAAATGGTGGAGGGTATTTACAGACTGGCCGAACATACTGCTTTTTCACTTGTTATAATTTTTGTTTTTGGATTTCTGGTTCGATGATGGTCCTTTTAAAATATTCTTAAAAAAAATCCATATTTAGAGTTGTGGTCCTTGAAAAAAAAATCCCAAAAAACCCTGTATATTTTCAATATTTTTTCTGGTTCGATGATGATTCTCTCAAAATGGTGGAGGGTGGAGGGTATTCAATGTTCGGCCCGGACGAACTTACTGCTTTTTTACATGTTTTTTTTTTTTTGGGGGGGGGGGGTTATTTTCTGGTTCGATGTTGGCTCTTTTAAAATATTCTTAAATTTAGAGGTTTGATGCTTCTTGAAAAAATTTCCCCAAAAATCCTGTATATTTTCAATATTTTTTGGGGGGGGGGTTTCTGGTTCGATGATGATCCTCTCAGAATGGTGGAGGGTTTAGGGTATGCAATGTTCGGCCCGGCCGAACTTACTGCTTTTTTACATGTTTTTTTTTTGTTTGCGGGGGGGGGGGTTATGTTTCGATTTTGGCTCTTTTAAAATATTCTTTAAAAAATCCATATTTATTTCTTGAAAAAAATTCCCCAAAATTCCTGTATATTTTAAATATTTTTTTTTTTTTTTGGTTTTCTGGTTCGATGATGATCTTCTCAAAATATCTTAAAAAATCCATATGTAGAGGTCTGATGCTCCTTGAAAAAATTTCCCCAAAAATCCTTAAATTTTTTTATTTTTTTGGGTTTTCTGGTTTGATGATGGTCCTTTAAAAGTATTCTTAAAAAATCCACATTCGGAGGCCTGATGCTTCTTGAAAAAAATTCCCTGAAACTACTCTAACTTTTTTTATTTTTTTTTTGGATTTTTTTTTGGATTTCTTTGTAACATATTTATTTTGTTGTTTTTTAATTATTTATTTATTATTCTTCTTGTTGTAGTTTTTGGTTTTTTACAAGGTTACACATAAAGGATCTCTCTTATGCATAATTTTTAAAAAAATGTATTATTATTATTTATATGTATATGTTTTTTGTTTAAAATTAGTATGGCAGTTGATTTCAAATTGAAAAAAGGAGGCGAAAAACACAAAACAAGTAACTCAATCTTAGGTTGTCATTTGGTTTCTAGATCTTTGGAATTTTCACAAAAGAAAAATTTTGGATTTTTTTTTTTGGATTCACTTGGGTTGGGTTTTGTAGTTGTTATATTTTGGGTTTTTATTATTTTGTTACTTAAATTTAAAAAAAAAAACTAAATATTACATTTATTACAAAAAAAAAAACGACATATTTAAAAAATAAAGTTTTATAAATTCGTTTAAATGGCAGATTAGAATGTTGTATTTCTTCTTCTTCTTCTTTGCTTTGCTGTTGTTTTTTTTTTGCCAGAATTAGTTTCGATTTTTTGTTGATTTTCTCTTGGCATTCTAAGGTTTTACAAATCTAAGAGGATGTTGCTCAACTGGGGTTGGGGGGCAAGGAAGACAGGCAGTAGTTGGTAAAAAAATGTGTTTTGTATTTTCTTTTGTTTTTGGTATTCGTTTACTTATGTTAAGGCAATAAAAATTGTTGTTGTTGTAGTTATTGTTGTAATTAAGGAAACTGTTTCGAATGCTTAAGGTAATCATAAGAGTATAAAATAATAAAATTTAATTATATAAAAAATAAAACACAAACAAAAACAAACAAACAAAAAAGGAAACATGGCTTGATTCTGCAACAGGGAGTTGGGAGCGGGAATCCAGGGGAATGCTTGTGGGGGCTGGGGGGATACTATTTGAAATTCGTGGCTATTTTTCTTATTTTTCGTTTTCATCCTTTTGTTGTTGTTGTTGCTATTGTTTCTTGTTTTTGTTGTTGTTTATCGATCTAGGCTCTTATGACGAGTTCTTAATACACACTTGACACCTGGAGACTCTTTGCTGCAAGTTGCCCGCCTTGAGGGTAACCATGTCGGGTCTCTGGAACTGTTGGTACTCCTCGATGGTTACCAGCCAGAAACTGTTGATTGTGTCGTAGAAGAAGCAGTGGCCCTTGCCGCCGTTGCACTCAATGAACGGTACGGGACGGAAGTCTTCCAGACAGGAACCGGGCGAGGACATGTCCTGGCCACCACCACCACTGCCGACAGCAGTGTGCTGGAAATTACAAAAAAAAAAAGCAGAAGAAAATTAGCTGTTATCAATTTTCACCACTTCCCCACCCTCCCATACTTACCATCATAAAGCTGTAGCCGATCCACAAACCTTCCCAGCCGCCGGGACATGAGGGCACATCCAGTGTTTGACTGTGCACAGCAATAACATTGGCCGGCACTTCGCACACAACACAACGTGAAATGTATTGGCTAACTTCCTGGGCGGGAACAGGCATCATGGGCATGGTGGGATTGTTGGTGGTCAACCAGAAGGATTTGTCATTACGCGAGGCATAGTTGCAAATATTGCCGGCACCACAGGTCAGCATGGGCAGTGTGGAGAAACGTCTGACACAGGAACCGGGCGAGCCCAAGTCCTGATTGGCAGCATAGTCATTACCATCAACATACAGCAGGGAATAGCCAGTCCATAATTCTTGGTGGCCGGGTTCACAGCGTGGCACCTGGGCGGTTTGACTGTGACGCACCAACAGAATACCGGTAAGATAGTCAGGAGCATGGCTACATGGTGCACCGGGCTCACCCTTGGGACCCATGGGACCGGGAGCGCCATCGCGACCCACCAAACCTGCTGGACCAGTGTCACCCTTGGGACCAGGACGGCCCACGGCACCAGTCAAACCAACCAAACCCATATCACCCTTTTCACCACGTTCGCCCTGCAAACCAATCAGGCCACGAGGACCGGGAGGACCACGTTCACCCTTTTGACCATCACGTCCAGGATAACCAGGTTCACCCTTGGGGCCGGGTGGTGGAATCTTGCCAGGTTCACCCTTGTCACCCTTGAGACCAGGCAGACCATCACGACCATTTATACCAGGTGGACCTTGGAAGCCCTTCTCGCCAGGAGCACCCACGGGACCGGGCAAACCTTCCATACCATCAAGACCACGATCACCCTTTTCGCCAGTTAGACCGCGACTGCCAGGGAAGCCAGCCATGCCGGTTTCACCCTTGTCACCCTTTTCGCCTTGTACACCAGGTAGACCCATATCACCCTTAGGACCAGGATAACCCATATCACCCTTGATACCAGGAGCGCCAGGCATGCCGTTAGCACCATCTCTGCCGGGTGCACCAACCAGACCGCGATCACCCTTAGGACCCTGAGGACCAATGGGGCCGGGGGCACCGGTGGCACCAGGAGTACCTGGAAGACCAGCCAGACCCTTTTCACCCTTTTGTCCAGGCAAACCAGGGGCACCTGTAAAACAATAACAACAACATCAACCCAATTGAACCTCCGCCCTGTTACAACACCACCTACCTTCACGTCCATTTTTACCAGTACGGCCAGGCAAACCCTTCTCACCCTTGACGGTCAGCCCAGGAGCACCAACATCACCTGTCAAACCACGTTCACCCTTAGCGCCAGGCATACCATTCAAACCGTTGGGTCCAGGAGGTCCGGTCAAGCCACGATCACCCTTGGGACCAGTGAAACCAGGTGCACCCTGATTACCCTTCAGACCCATGGGACCGGGCAAGCCAATCAAACCGGGTTCACCCATTTCACCGGGCTCACCCTTAATCGTAATCGGAGCAGCATTCAGACCAGCTGGGCCGGGGAAACCACGATCACCTTTAGGACCGGCAGCACCATTGAAACCAGGTACACCACGTTCACCCTTGTCGCCCTTGGCGCCATTGAGGCCAGGGAAACCACGTTCGCCCTTGTCACCCTTGGGACCGGTATGACCGATTGGACCAGGAGCACCCATTTGACCGGGTTTGCCATCCATGCCGGGAAGACCAGGAGCACCGGGCAAACCAAAGTCACCCTTGATACCCTTGGCGCCAGTAAGACCGGGCATACCTTGATCACCCTTTTCACCGGGTCTGCCATCGACACCATTGAGACCATCACGACCACGATCACCTTTCATGCCAGGAGCGCCGGGACGTCCATGCATAGCAATACCAGGTACACCCTTTTCACCAGGCATACCAGGGGCACCAGTCATACCAGGCTCACCACGCAGACCAGAGGCACCAGGTTCACCCTTTTGACCCTTTTCGGCAGCATCACCAGGCTCACCGCGAGGACCATCCATACCAGGCAAACCACGATCACCCTTGGCACCATCAATACCAGGAACACCATCAGCACCGGGAGGACCCATGGGTCCCATGTCACCTTTCACGCCCATTACACCGGGTGGACCAGGAGGACCTCTGACACCGGGCAAACCATCCTTGCCAGTCAAGCCGCGTTCACCACGGTCACCCTTGGCACCTAGGGAAAATCAAGAGTCTTGACATCTTACCCTCAACTAATTGGGCTCTTCTAACTTACCAGGAATACCAGCAGGACCAGGTGGACCACGTTTGCCAGGGGGACCGGCAACACCAGTAAAACCTTTGGGACCATCAACACCGGGAGCACCTCTTTCACCCTTCATACCAGGCATACCGACCAAACCGGGATAACCGGGTTCACCCTTAGCGCCGTCACGACCTTGAACACCATCAACACCAGGTTTACCAGGGGGACCGGGAGGACCAGTTGGACCGCGAGGACCAGTATCACCCTTGGGACCATCAAAGCCAGGAGCACCGGGAGCACCAGGCTGACCACTGTCACCCTTTTCGCCAGGGTAGCCAGGAGCGCCATCCATACCGGGAGGACCCATGGGACCTTCCACGCCACGATCACCCTTGGGACCAGGCATACCGGGACGACCAATGCTACCAGGTGGACCGGGTCTAGCAATACCTTGTTCACCCTTTTGACCGGGGGGACCATTTCTGCCGGGGGGACCACGCAAACCATCTCTGCCGGGATTACCAGGAGCACCAATGGGACCTTGTGGACCGGGTTCACCACGTGGGCCAGTCATACCGCGAGGACCAGCAGGTCCAGGTGGACCTTGTGGACCTGTCTCACCCTTTTGGCCAGCATTGCCCTTGTCGCCCTGCGAACCAGTTGGACCCATGGCACCGGGGTTGCCAGGAGCACCGCGATCACCCTTGTTGCCCTTAGCGGGAACCTTCAAAAAATCAACATCGCAAGTACCTGGGTCACCTTTTATACCACTTGGACCAGTTGTACCTTTGTCACCCTTTTCGCCATCGCGACCAGCCAAACCAGGCTCGCCCTTAATGCTGCGACCAGGGACACCATCAAAGCCATCTCTGCCGGGATTGCCGGGAGCGCCATCACTACCTGGAGGACCAGGATAACCTCTTTCGCCCTTGTCACCAAATTCACCCTTTTGTCCGTTTAGACCAGCAGCGCCAGTTTCGCCACGCTCACCCTTGACACCAGGAGCACCTGGGTAGCCGCGATCACCCTTTTCGCCTTTTTCGGCAACGATTTGATTTAAATCGACCATAGCATCTTTACCGGGTAAACCATAGGGACCTGGAGCACCGGGGTTGCCATCTCTACCCTTCTCGCCAGGAGGACCAGGGGGGCCAGGAATACCATCAGAACCACGTTCGCCAGGATAACCACGTTCTCCGGGAGGACCTCTAAGACCATCACGGCCGGGGCTACCGTCTGTACCACGATCACCTTTGTCACCTTTTTGGCCGGGAGCACAGTCTGAGCATTTGCCGCCAGCATCACCCTTAGGACCCATATCACCTTTGGGACCGGGCAGACCGGGACGACCTTGATCACCACGAGGACCTGGAGCACCAACGGCACCAGGAGTACCGGGAAGACCTAATTTCGAGTCACCAGGAGCACCAGGGGCACCAGTCAAACCACGTTCACCCTTTGCACCCTTCAAGCCGGGAGATCTGCAAAGTAAGGGAAAAGAGAACAAACATGGATTCGGGCGTTGGTAGGGGGGATGTTTACAACTTACCCAGGAGTTCCATCATCACCTTTAGGACCGCGTTCACCGTAACCAGGGAGACCAGCTTCACCCTTTTGACCTTCAGGACCTGGGGGACCAGTGTGACCGATAGGACCCTGAGGACCCATGGGACCTGGACGACCTGCATTACCCTTTTGACCCTTTTCACCGGGAGGACCTTCAACACCATTGTTACCGGGCATACCGGGACCACCCTTGGCACCGGGGAAACCTTGTGGGCCGGGAGGACCATCAAAACCATCCAAACCTTTAGGACCTGGGGCACCGGGATAACCACGAGGACCTTTGGGACCGGGAGCGCCAGGAGAGCCACGACCGCCACCAGGTGGGCCAGGGGGACCGACCAAACCTCGTTCACCGGGTTTACCGGGACGACCAGGTTCACCCTTTTGACCAGGTTTACCGGGCAAGCCATTCAAACCAGTTTCACCGCGATCACCCTTTTGGCCAGGTGGACCAGGTGGACCGAAAGCACCTTGACGACCCTAGTTCGTGGGTAACAATTTCAAGATTAACAAATGGGAAAACAACGCACACCATTGCGGGAAATACTCACTCTATCACCGGGACCGCCAGGAAGACCCTTTTCACCCTTGGGACCTTCACGACCGGGAGCGCCCTGTTCACCAACAGCACCCTTTTCACCAGCTGGACCCATTTCACCCTTTTCACCACGTTGACCCTTTTCGCTAATAATTTCCACTTTGCCGCCACGTAATCCTGCAGATCTGGCTGGTTCGCCCTTCTCACCCTTCTCGCCCTTTCTGCCAGGCTGTGGTCGTGGGAAGCATGGAGCACCTTTTTCACCTTTCAAACCGCGATCGCCTCGCAAACCGGGGGCGCCAAGAGGACCAGTTTCACCACGTTCACCCTTGGGACCGATTGGACCTTCAGGACCGGGATTACCAGCACGGCCAGCAAAACCGGGTTCACCCTTTTCACCCTTAGCATAGTCACCATTTTCCTTGGCCGGTTCACCTTTCTCACCCTTGGCACCAGGCTGACCTGGATAACCACGAGGACCAGCCATACCGCTTAGACCGGCCAAGCCGGGCAAACCTTTTTCACCGTCACAACCGTCTTTACCGGGTATACCGGGAGCACCGGGATTGCCAGCAATACCTTGGATACCGGGCACGCCAGACATACCGGGAATACCGGGTGTACCGCGTTCACCCTTCAAGCCTCTGGGTCCAAGGGGACCGGGTTCACCCTTCTGACCCTTGTCGCCGGGTGGACCTTCGGTACCGGGATAGCCAGGCAAGCCCTTGGGACCGGGCACACCAATGGGTCCCTGCAGACCGCGATTACCCTTTTCGGCAAAACATTTGGGAATACAACCGGGCGTATTGCCGGTACAGTTGCTGGCACTGTCGATTATCGAGTAGCTGTTATCGATCGGCTGGCGGGGGGCTTCAACTTCGGGACGATAGTGTTTAGCAGTGTTGTAGATGGCACCGGTGTCGGTGGTTTTCCAGAATTGCTGAAAGCGTACGAGAATGGGGAGATGAAATTTTTTGTGAGAAAAATGGAAAATTGATGTGAGGGGGGGGGGGGGGGAGAGGGGTAAATGAAAGGCGTATGTGGGTGATAAATGTGTGGAAAGGGGTGTAACTGAGATATTTTATCCCTAGTATCGAGATAATGCAAGGTATAAACAACTCAGATAATGGGGATAAAAAACGCACTATATATTCTATTATCCGTATAAATAATATGGTTTATCCGTACTGTCTGGATAACATCGTTGATCCAAAAAACGTGGATAATGTATTTTTTGTATAGGGATAACGAAACAATCTTTCCCTGATATATGTACAGCGTATATTCTCAAAATCGGAAAATTAATACTTTGAGTCTGAAAAATATCCTACCATCCCCAAAACTGAGAAACAAATCTCAAGTATCGGGATAAAGTGGATTATCCATTTCCACTATCTGTACAACGTGAATAAACCATCTATACAAACCCTAGGTAGCTAGAACATGTGTATAGCTCTCCCCTAGTCTCTGGATAAAGTGGATAACCCACAATTAATGTCTGGATATAACATTTATTATTCATCTCTCGTACTTGGATAATGTGGATAACCCATCTCTATTTTTCATGTAACGTGGATAATGTTTCCAGACTATCTGGATAACGAGGATAGCACATAATTAGTGTCTGGATAAAGTGTATTATCCATCCCTCGTATTTGGATAACGTGGTTAATAATTCCAGACGATTTGGATAACGTGAATAATCTATTATTTGTGTCTGGATAACGTGGATAATCTATAATTAGTGTCTGAATAACGTGGATAATCCATAATTAGTGACAGGATAAAGTATTTTGTTTGGATAACGTGGATAATTATTCCAGACTATCTGGATAACGTGGATAAAATGTAAAAATGTGTGGATAAAATGTATTATCCATCCCTCGTATTTGGATAACGTGGATAATAATTCCAGACGATTTAGATAGCGTGGATAATATATTATTAGTGTCTGGATAATGTGGATAATCCATAATTAGTGACAGGATAAAGTATTTTGTTTGGATAACGTGGATAATTATTCCAGACTATCTGGAAAACGTGAATAAAATGTAAAAGTGTCTGGATAAAATGTATTATCCATCCCTCGTATTTAGATAACGTGGATAACCCCTTTCTATCTTCCATGCAACGTGGATAATGTGTCCAGACTATCTGGATAACGTGGATAACCAATAATTAGTGTCTGGATAAAGTTTATTATCAATTCCTCGTATTTGGATAACGTGGATAATAATTCCAGACTATCTGGATAATCTATAATTAGTGTCAGGATAAAGTGTATTATCCATTCCTTGTATTTGGATAACGTGGATAATAATTCCAGGCGATCTGTATAATCCATAAAAAGTGTCTGGATAGATTATATTAGTCATCCCTTGTATGTGGATAAAGTGGATAATGATTCCAGACTATCTGGATAAAGTGGATAATCCATAATTAGTGTCTGGATAAAGTGTATTATCAATCCCTCGTATTTGGATAACGTGGATAGTGAATTAATAATATCTGGATAACGTGGATAATGACTCAAGACTATCTGGATAACGTGGATAATGATTCCAGACTATCTGGATAAAGTGTATTATCAATCCCTCGTATTTGGATAACGTGGATAGTGAATTAATAATATCTGGATAACGTGGATAATGACTCAAGACTATCTGGATAACGTGGATAATGACTCAAGACTATCTGGATAATGTGGATAATCCATAATTAGTGTCGGAATAGACTTTATTAGTTATCCCTTGTATTTGGATAACGTGGATAATGAATTAATAATATCTGGATAACGTGGATAATTATGCCAGACTATCTGGATAATGTGGATAATCCATAATTAGTGTCTGGATAGACTATATTAGTCATCCCTTGTATTTAGATAACGTGGATAATGATTCCAGAATATCTGGATAAGTTGGATAATCCATAATTAGTGTCTGGATAAAGTGTATTATCAATCCCTCGTATTTGGATAACGTGGATAATGAATTAATAATATCTGGATAACGTGGATAATTACTCAAGACTATCTGGATAATCCATAATTAGTGTCGGAATAGACTTTATTAGTCATCCCTTGTATTTGGATAACGTGGATAATGATTCCTGACTAACTGGATAATGTGGATAATCCATAATTAATGTCTGGATAAAGTGTATTATCCATTCCTCGTATTTGAATAACGTGGATAATTATTTCAAACTATCTGGATAACGTGGATAATCCGAAATTAGTGTCTGGAGAAGTGTATTATCCATCCCTCGAATTTGGATAACGTGGATAATCCATTTCTATCTTCCTTGTGACGTGGATAATGTTTCAGACTATCTGGATAACGTGGATAATCCATAATTAGTGTCTGGATAAAGTGTATTATCCAGCCCTCGTATTTGGATAAAGTGGATAATGATTCCGGACAATCTGGATAACGTGGATAATCTATAAATAGTGTCTGGATAAAGCGTATTGACCATTCCTCGTATTTGGATAACGTGGATTATAATTTCAGACGATCTGAATAACATGGATAACCCATAATTAGTGTCTGGATATTGTATATTCTCCAGCTCTCGTATTTGGATAACATGGATAATGATTCCAGACTATCTGGATAATCCAAAATTTATGTCAGGATAAAGTCTATTCTCCAGCCCTCGTATTTGGATAACGGGGATAACCAATTTCTATCCTCCATGTAACGTGGATAATGAATCCTAACTATCTGGATAACGTGGATAATCCATAATTAGTGTCTGGATAAAGTGTATTATCCATCCCTCGTATTTCGATAAAGTGGATAATGATTCCTGACTATTTGGATAATGTGGATAACCCATTACTAGTGTCTGGATAAAGCGTATTGACCATTAATCGTATTTGGATAACGTGGATAATAATAATATCAGACGATCTGGATAACATGGATAACCCATAATTAGTGTCTGGATATTGTATATTCTCCAGCCCTCGTATTTGGATAACATGGATAATGATTCCAGACTATCTGGATAATCCAAAATTTATGTTAGGATAAAGTGTATTCTCCAGCCCTCATATTTGGATAACGGGAATAACCCATTTCTGTCCTCCATGTAACGTCGATAATGAATCCTAACTATCTGGATAATGTGGATAATCCATAATTAGTGTCTGGATAACGTGTATTATCCATTCCTCGTATCTGGATAATGTGAATAATAATTCCAGACTATCTGGATAATGTGGACAACCCATTATTAGTGTCTGAATAAAGTGTATTGACCATTCCTCGTATTTGGATAACGTGGATAATAATTTCAGACGATCTGGATAACATGGAAAATCCATAATTAGTGACTGGATAAAGTATATTCTCCAGCCCTCGTATTTGGATAACATGGAAAATGATTCCAGATTATCTTGATAATGTGGATAACCTAAAATTTATGTCAGGATAAAATGTATTCTCTAGCCCTCGTATTTGGATAAAGTGCATAATTATACCAGACTATATGGATAACGTGGATAACCCATAATTAGTGCCTGGATAAAGTGTATTATCCATCCCTCGTATTTCGATGAAGTGGATAATGATACCTGACTATTTGGATAACGTGGATAATCCATACCTCGTATTTGGATAACGCGGACAATCAACTTATGTCATATGTGTCTTCTGGGTATGTGGATAACATGGATAATCCACTCTAGTTCTTGGATAACATGGAACTAAATTCCTAGTGGCAGGATAATACATTTGCCGTTAATGGATAACATGGATAAGAAATCCTTTATGTGTGGATAAATTGGAAAATCAATCGCTAGTTTCTGTAAAAATTACAGAATCACAGCCCAGAATCGGGATAATGTAGATAATCCATTCCCAGTAACTGGGTAAAGCGGATAAACGGCTACCTAGTATCTACATGATGTGGATAACTGATCTCTATCCTCTGGATATGGTGGCTATACCAAACTTAGTATTTGGCTAACCCAACTTAAGTGCATGAAAGTTTTTCTCCTGTACTTGCTGCCTATTTCCGTTCCCACAGAGGAAATGTGTGAAAAAAACTGACATTTAGGTCATAACTGTAATCCCGCCATTCCATAAACCACCCCCTGGCTAAATGTTTCGGTCGGTAGGCGCGATAAAAAATGTTGTATTTACAAAAAATCATTTTTTTCAATTTCATTCACTTGTTATTGTTAAGTTTATATTTTTTAAGTTTTTTCTTTTTGTTTTGAATTTTCTGTTCCTTATCATTTATATGTCAGTTTCTTGCATCATTTCGAGTGAATGTGTGTGTAAAAGTGTTGTGTGTGTATGTGAATAATGTGCGATTGAGAAATGCATTTGTTTTGTGTACTTACAGCATTTATTCCTAAAAACGCTCCAGCAAATACAGCGGCAAACAGTAGCCTACAAAGAGAACAAAAGAAACGGAAAGAGAAATCATTATTTAAGAGTTTTAAGTATTTAAATTTCTCTTAAATTATTATGTCTTCTGAAATTCTCTTATATGTTTTTTTCAAGAGAGTGTGATTTTGATTTTACCGTTTTTGATTTATTGAATAAACAATTACATTTCTCTTATTTTTGGTGAAGAGAGATATTTAAATCTAAATAATATTTTTATCATTAAAAGTAAATTTTGAAAAATGAGAAATATTTCTAAATTCAATGCATTTTTTTGGAGAGGCTATTGCAGGATTAAGTGTGGTTTTTTTTGAACTAAGCATAGATCTCTAAATCATTTTTAAGGAGACTACTTGATTGGACTGGATTTTAGGTTTTTTTAAACAAGGTACTAAAATGTACTTAAACGTAATAAACCTTAGTTACAGCCTGTTTTTCTTATAATATAATGGGATATTTACATATGAACTTTTTTAACACACCATTTTTCCCTTGGCACATTTTGCAGGACCATATTCTTTTATTTTATTTTGCATTTTTTGAAAAATTTTGATTTTTTTTTTAAATTTGAAATTAAATAAAACAAGTAAAATAGTATTAGTCGGTTTTGCCAGCCTTGACTTATGATTATTCAAACTGTTGACTCTTTAAGGGAGAGATTCCGAAGCAGTTGGCCAATATTGACCAATTCGTATCCGACCTAAGACTGATATAAATATTAAAACGCGCCAGATTTGGACTACTTCCTATATTTTATATGAGATATGTGCAAAATGTGGAAATATGCGTGAGGTAACAGATATAGCGGAGTATTCCATTTTCATACTTCATCTAATACAGATAAAAATATTGGTATGTGCAACATATGAAGAAAATCGAACATTTATATTTTATATATATATTGAAAAAAATCGAAGACTTGTTTCGCATGTTATGATTGATATAAGTATTGAAAATTATGGCCCTTTGTGGGTGAGGTACCAGAAGGGGTTGGCAGATGTATATCATCCTCATAACATATCTTGTGTTAGCAAAAATGTTTGTGTGTGTGGGAAATTTGAAGAGAGTTGAATGCTTATTGCGCTTTCTCTGGGCGTTTTGTTTTTCAAATCTTGAACCCAAATAGAGGAAGGTACCAGAAGAAATGGTCCGATCTCTATCATCTTTATAACAGACCTTGTGTTGCTGGAAATATTGAGATGTACCATGTATGAATGGAATTGGATGTTAATTTTGCGTTTTATGAGCTTCATGGATATTCAAAATCTTGAATATTAAAATAAAGAAATATTAAAATGTGGAAAATTTGAAATTTTGATTGAAGAGAATCGGATGTTTTTCGCATTTTATGAGCGTTTTGTTTTTCAAAAAAAATTTTTTTTCAAAATTTTCTTTCACTCTATGTGGGGGAGGTACTTGATGGAGTGAATCGATATTGCCCTTCTCCGAATTGGATCTTAGTTTGATAATAACATTACGATGTACCAAATTTGGATGAAATCGATATACTTCCTTCGAGAGTTATCGTGTGCGCCAGACAGACAGACGGACGGACACCCCTAAATCCACTCAAAATATCCTGAAACGGCTTTCATCCAAAGAGACCTAGGTCTAAAACCGTTATTTCGATGAGGCACGTTTTGGTCGTATAAAATGTTATATACCCTCTGTAGCCATATGGCTATGGTATAATTATAATTCCGAATAAAAAATGAATAATAATTACTTAGATATATTAAACTTTAAATTTAAATAAAAAAAAAATTGAATAAAAATTTCAAAATCTAAATTATCTCTTGCATGTAAGATATACAAAAAAATATAGAAAAGTAGACAACACTTCGTAAGGGGCCGGACCCCTCACATCCCTGACACTATATGTTGGAATGTTTTAAAATTTAATGTTTTTATAAAGAATTATTTTTAAGATTATAATATTATTTTTAAAAATAATAATTATTAAATTTTTATTTTAACTTTGTTTTTTAATTTTAGAAAATTAAATTTAATTGTATGTTTTGTTTTAATTTTTTTTCCATTAATTTATTAAAGGACAATATTTTGATATTTTTATGTTTTATTTTTATAAAATATTAGTTTATAGCTAATTTAAAATAAAAATAATAAGGCTAATTAAATTGGATATGAAATGTTAGTAGTACTTTTTTTTGGAAATATTAAAAATTTAATTCAATATGAATAAAATTGTTTATATTTTTTATATTTTATTCAATTTAAATAAATAAGTTTTTCTCAAGCTTAAAGAAAAGCTTATTTATTTATTTTTTTATTTTATATGTTATTTTCAATTTAATTTGCTTTAATTAAATTTATTCAATTGCATTTAATTTTATTTATATGTTTTTTTTCCAACGAAATTATAATTAAAAAAATAATTAAGCTCAAGCAAAAACTTATATATTTAATTTTTTTTTTAAATTTGTTTTCTATTTCATTTGATTTAATAAATTTAATTTAATTTCATTTAATTTAATTTCATTTAATTTAATTCATTTTTTTTTTTCAAAGTAATTATAATTATTTTTTTTTTGCATTTTTTGATTAATTTATTTTTTTTATTATTTATTTATATACCCTCCACCATTCTATGGAGGTTATATTAACTTTCATTCCGTTTGTAACTCCTCGAAATATTCATAATAGACCCTACAAAGTTTATATATTCTAGATCAGCGTAAAATTCTAAGACGATCTAGCGATGTCCGTCTGTCTGTTGTAATCACGATATCTTTCGAACGAATTGAGATAGGAGGCTAATATTTTGCAAACATGCATAGTTTACCAGTAGGCCGGTTAAGTTCGTAAATGGACCATGTCGGTCCACGTTTTCGTATAGCCCTCATATTACGGTTCCTCCCGATATTCGGTATGTTCATTTCCGGAATTATTTCGAATTTCGTATTTGAAGTTCGTAATGGGTATGACTATGACAACTATGACAACAATTTTTATATGCAGGTCCACTTGTTTGTATAGCCTTAGATGGTCGGAACTTTGACGATTTCAGCAACATTATTCACCGGAATCGCTTCAAATTTCGTATTGAAAGATCTTAATGGGTACTACAACTTATGGCACAAAATTCGTATGCAGGTGCCCATATAACGGTTTTCCTTCGAGTTGTAGTTTTCGATTTTTTTTTGAAAATTTTCAATTTCCTTCGAAATGGTGGAGGGTATTATAAGTTCGACCCGGCCGAACTTAGCTTTTTTTACTTGTTATTATTTTGTTTTTCGATTTATTTTCATTATTTATTTTTTTTAAATTAACTAGTTTTTTTTTTTAATTTTAATTTATTTTTGTTTTTTTCCTTATTTATTTATTTATTCTATTTTATATTTTATTATTTATATTTTATTTTATTCTTCATTATTTATTGTATTTAAGGAGAATATATTTATAAGTGTTTCAATTTAATATTGAAGTATTTTTGTAAAGAATAATTTTTAAGATTAATAACAGTTAAATTTTAAGAAAATATTTTTTTTGTGTAAATAAATTTTTATTAATTATTTATTTTATTTTCTATTTTTATTAATTTTTTAATTTTTAGTTTTATTTGTTGCATTATTTTTATATTTGTTATTTTATTCTACTTATTTATTTATTTTATTGTACTTTATTTATTGTATTTAAAGAAAATATATTAATTCATTAATTAATTATCAAATTTAATCTTGAAGTTTTTCTAAAGTATTTTTTTCGTGAAGATTATTTATGAAAATAATGAAAATAATATGTTTTATTTTTTGTTCTTTAAAAAAAAAAACAAAATTCAAAATTCTGTATTTTTTCAAGTAAAAAAATAAAAAAAATCAATTTTTTAAATTTTGATTTTTTCAACTTTGTTTTTTTTTTAAATTTTGATTTTTTTATTTAAAAAAAAATATTAAAAAAAATTATTAAAAAAATCAATTTTTTTAAATTTTGATTTTTTTTTAAATTTTGATTTTTTTTAAATGTTGTTTTTTTTTTAATTTCGGTTTTATTTTTAAATTTTGATTTTTTTTTTTAAATTTTGATTTTTTTTTAAATTTTGATTTTTTTTTTAATTTTTTAAAATTTTTTGGAAATAATTTCTTATTTAATATTTCTAATTATTTTTTTAATTTGGTGACCTATTTTCATATAATTATCAAATTATCATTATTTATTTCTTTACTTACCGCTTCCACAGGGGCTCCATTATACCCCAATTTTGAATGCGCGTATTTCCGTTTCCTTAACGATCCACCACGGAGTTAGAAATAAAAATTGATAATTGAATAAGACAAAACAAATTAGAATTTCGCGATAACCTCCTGGGGGAATAAAGCAGAGAAAGTAGAAGAAGATAAGACACGGTGACACTTCTTTTCAAAAAAAAAAAATCGAAATTTTTTTAAAAGAGAAAAACACAAAAACAATCAGCACGAAACAAAAACACAAGAGGTCCGTGCAACACTTTCTTTTATTTTGTAAAAAAATTATTTAAAAAATTGAACACTTTTTTGCAATTACTTTTCAAAACTCGAGGATATCCGTTTTGAGTTACTAAACTAAAATGTTCCGCAAGAAAGAACTAAAAATTCATTTGAAATTTTCTTTTTTCTTTGAGTCTTGTTTTTTTAAATGTTTTTTTTTTCTTTTTTCAAAATTCTAATCCAAGTTAAAGGTGAACCCCATCCATTTGCTCCCTTTTTTCTCTTCGTGATCGTTGGCCAAAAAAAAGAGGAGAACGGAGGAAAAAGTTTTTTTATTTTCGTTTTATGTTTTTCTTTTTTTTTCTTGTGGTCGAGCAAAAAGCGTGTCGATCCAGCTGTGGAGATCGACTGGAGCGTACTGACTACTACTGGAGAACTTGGAGAAACATTGCCAATGTTGTGGCGGCTGGTTGTGCTAAGGTTCGTTTCAGTTTCTATTTTTTTTCTCGTTGTTGTTGTGATTGTTGCTGTTTCTTGTGAACTTCGTGTTTTCGTTTCGATGTTTGCCTGCTTTCTTTACTAGTTTTTTTCTTATGTGTTTTTTTTTTTGTTATTTGTGGTGTGTTTGTCTCCTTCGGCGGTCGTGGGTCTTATGTGAACAACGTTCTAAACTGTGGACCTACTACTTACTTGCGAAGGCAGAACACGACTAATTATAGTATAAATTGCAGCCAACAGTAAAGCATCATCTCACAGTACTGTAGTCAAACATATATTGAGCACACACAAATACACGTACCACACACACACACACATGTTTGGTGTTATACGGCTATGGCCAATCACACATAGCAGTATAAACGATCTGGCTGGCTATGCTCTTAGAAGAGAGCGGCCAGAGTATGGCCAGTGTATGGGTGATGTTGTGAAAGAGAAGTCACATGTGTGAGCAATGGATTAACACGAATGAATTCACGAATGATCTTCCGAAGCCAAATTGTTTGTATGAGTGGCTGTATGTATACAAAGCACATATGCTCCTTTACACATATATGACATATATGTGTGAGGGGCTGTATGGTGATGATGAAATTATCACACACACACACATACATATTTCACACCATAAGATCGTTGACTATCACACATACTACACACAAACACTTAAACATTGAATAAAGTTTAATAAAATATAGTTTTTCCATAGAATATAAAATTTCCACATGTGTGTGTGTTTGATTATATTTCGTCGCATATTTGCTGTTATTGTTGTTGCTTTTTGCTTCAAAAGATAACTTTTTTGACTTTTACTTATTGTTGTTGCTGTTTTTGGTTGGCTTTTTGGGCTTTTGAAGCCTTGGTTTCTAGGGTTTCCTTTTTGCGCACACACGATCGTGTGTTCGAATTTTGTAATATCATCGCTACTCGTGTCGATCACACTTACGCACACACACACACGAACGTACTTACATTTCATGAAAAATAATATATATTTGTATGACTTTATACATATTTATTTACAAACATATATAATCACATAAGATGTAATATATATATTTGATACTATTTGTTTTTTTTTTAATTCATAAAAGTATTCGATTGCTCAACATACATTTTTGATACCCTACGGGGGCACGTGGACCATGTTTTGGTTCCTTGAGGAATATGTTCAGGCATAAACAATTTTCGGAGAGATGTGCATTTTTTACACAATTTTTGGAGAGACTATAGGAGGACTAAACCTAGATTTTTTAAATAATTTTGGGAGAGACTAAAGGAGGACTAAGCGGGGATTTTTCAAATAATTTTTGGAGAGACTATAAGAGGACTAAACTTAGATTTTTTAAACAATTTTTGAAGAGACTATAGGCGGACTTAACGTGGATTTTTTAAACAATTTTTTGGGAGAACTTTCTATGGATTTTTTAAACAATTTTTTGGGAGAACTATCCGTGGATTTTTAAAATAATTTTTGCAGAGGCTATAGGAGAACTAAGCGTAGATTTTTAAACAATTTTTTGGGAGAGACTATATGAAGACTAAGCGTGGATTCTTGGAGAGACTATAGGAGGACTGTGCGTGGATTTTTTAAATAATTTTTAGAGAGACTATAGGAGGACTAAGCGTGGATTTTTTAAATAATTTTTGGAGAGACTATAGGAGGACTATAGGAGGACTAAGCGTGGATTTTTTAAATAATTTTTGGAGAGACTATAGGAGGACTATAGGAGGACTAAGCGTGGATTTTTTAAATAATTTTTGGAGAGACTATAGGAGGACTATAGGAGGACTAAGCGTGGATTTTTTAAATAATTTTTGGAGAGACTATAGGAGGACTATAGGAGGACTAAGCGTGGATTTTTTAAATAATTTTTGGAGAGACTATAGGAGGACTAAGCGTGGATTTTTTAAATAATTTTTGGAGAGACTATAGGAGGACTATAGGAGGACTAAGCGTGGATTTTTAAAATAATTTTTGGAGAGACTATAGGAGGACTAAGCGTGGATTTTTTAAATAATTTTTGGAGAGACTATAGGAGGACTATAGGAGGACTAAGCGTGGGTTTTTTTAAAATAATTTTTAGAGAGACTATAGGAGGACTAAGCGTGGGTTTTTTAAAATAATTTTTAGAGAGACTGTAGGAGGACTAAGAATAGATTTTTTTAAAATAATTTTTAGAGAGACTATAGGAGGACTAATCGTGGATTTTTTAAAATAATTTTTAGAGAGACTATAGGAGGACTAATCGTGGATTTTTTAAAATAATTTTTAGAGAGACTATAGGAGGACTAATCGTGGATTTTTTAAAATAATTTTTAGAGAGACTATAGGAGTACTAAACCTAGATTTTTTTAAACAATATTTGGAGATATTATAGGAAGACTAAGCGTGGATTTTTTAAATAATTTTTAGAGAGACTAGAGGAGGACTAAGCGTGGATTTTTTAAAATCATGTTTGGTGAGACTGTAAGAGGATTAAGCGTGGATTTTTAAACAATTTTTGCAGAGACTATAGGAGGACTAAGCGTGTATTTTTTAAACAATTTTTGCAGAGACTATAGGAGAACTAAGCGTGGATTTTTTAAATAATTTTTAGAGAGAGGATTACTGAGCGTGGATTTTTTAAATAATTTTTAGAGAGAGGATTACTGAGCGTGGATTTTCTAAATAATTTTTAGAGAGAGGATTACTGAGCGTGGATTTTTTAAATAATTTTTAGAGAGAGGATTACTGAGCGTGGATTTTTTAAATAATTCTTAGAGAGACTATAGGAGGACTGAGCGTGAATTTTTAAATAATTTTTGAAGAGACAATAGGCGGATTTTTTAAACATTTTTTTGGAGAGAATTTAGGAGGACTACGCGTGGATTTTTTAATCAATATTTGGAGAGACTATAGGAGAACTAAGCGTAGATTTTTTAAACATTTTTTTAGAGAGACTTTAGGAGAACTAAGCGTGGATTTTTTAATCAATATTTGGAGAGACTATAGGAGAACTAAGCGTAGATTTTTTAAAGCAATTTTTGGGGAGACTAAAGAAGAATTTTTTAAACAATTTTTGGTGAGACTAGAGGAGAACTAAGCGTAGATTTTTTAAAGCAATTTTTGGGGAGACTATAGGAGGATTTTTTAAACAATTTTTGGAGAGACTATAGGAGAACTAAGCGTTGATTTTTTAAAGCAATTTTTGGGGAGACTATAGGAGGATTTTTTAAACAATTTTTGGAGAGACTATAGGAGGACTAAGCGTGGTTTTTTTAAATAATTTTTGGGGAGACTATAGGAGGATTTTTTAAACAATTTTTGGAGAGACTATAGGAGGACTAAGCGTGGTTTTTTTAAATAATTTTTGGAGAGACAATATGAGGACTAAGAGTGGATTTTTAACGTTTTTTGGAGATACGAGGACTAAGCGTGGATTTTTTTTTAATAATTTTTGGATTTGATTTTTGAAGAGACTGTTGGGGGACTTAGCGTGGATTTTTCAAAGCATGTATGGTGATACTATAGGAGGTCTTTTAACAATTTTTCGGTAGACTATGGGAGGACAAATTGAGGATTTTTTAAACAATTTTTGGAGACACTTTAATATGGTTTTAAAAATTTTTGGAGAGACTATAGGAGGTCTAAGAGTGGATTTTTTAAACAATTTTTGGAGAGACTATAGGGCCACTAAGCGTGGATTTTTTTTAACGATTTTTGGAGAGACTATGGCAGGAAAAATTAAGGATTTTTTAAACAATTTTTGGAGACACTTTTTGAGTTTTTTTTTTTAAATTTTTGGAGAGACTATGACAGGACAGATTAAGGATTTTTTAAAAAATTTTTGTAGACACTTTTTGAGTTTTTTTTTAATTTTTGGAGAGACTGTTGGGGGACTAAGCTCATATTTTTTTTTTAAATAATTTTTCGAGAGACTATAGGAGAATTAAGCGTGGAACAATTTTGGGGTGCCACTATAGGAGGACTAAGCGTTGATTTTTTTAACATTTTTCGACAGTATATAGGAGGACAAAGCGTGGATTTTTTAAATAATTTTTGGAGAGACTATCGGAGACCTAAACTTGGATTTTGTAAATAATTTTTGGAGAGACTAGAGGAGGACTAACAGTGAACTTTTTAATAATTTTTTGAGAGACTAGAGGAGAACTAAGAGTGAATTTCTTAATAATTTTCGGAGTGATTATAGGAGGACTAAGCGTAGATTTTTAAGCAAGGAGACTATAAAAGGACTAAGCTTGCATTTAAAAAAAATTGGGGAGATTTTTTAAACAATTTTTAGAGGGACTATGGGAGAACTATGCGTAGATTTTTTAAATAATATTTAGAGGGACTATGGGAGGACTATGTGCAGATTTTTTAAATAATTTTTAGAGGGACTATGGGAGGACTATGCGTAGATGTTTTAAACAATTTTTGAAAAACTATAGGAGGGCTAAACGTGGATTTTTTAAATAATTTTTGGAGAGATTTTTTAACAATTTTTTGAGGGACTATAGGAGGACTAAACGTAGTGGGGAGACTATAGGAGGACTAAGCGTGGATTTTTTACTTAATTTTCGGGGAGACTATAGGACTAATCGTGCTACAGAGTGTAAATATTATTTGATACGACCAATATCTTATCGAAATAACAATTTTGTAGCTTAGATCTCTTTGAACCAAAACCGTTTCAGGACATTTGGGGCCGGATCTAATTATCTTCAAAACTATATCAATCCACTCCTTCTAGTACCTACCCCAGGACGGGTAAGATTTTTCAATACTCTCATAACTTACGAAAAAGCTCACCGATTATTTTCAAAGTTTGTATATCTCTCTCTTAATATATCTCTTCTTTTCATACAAGACTTAAAGGAAGTATTCTCTTTCGTAAGGTATCCAAAAGAAGACCTCTTTTGGTAAAAGACC